GTGTCAACAAGCAATTAGCCCCGGTCTTTTATGTGACCATGAAAAACAATGTCGAAAAGGATTGTTTCGTGAAGAAGTTGATTTAGATTCTTTAGAATTATTCAGAACAGGCTCCTCTAAAAAGGAATTAGAAATTGTAGCTCCAAAAAGACTAATGAGCTTCATTCCTCAACATGTTAAATCAGCTCCTAAGCCCCAAATCTCTTACTTCTCTCATGAATTCGATGTCTCGCAACAATATGAATTGTATGCGTGTCTCCTTCTCAACCAGGAAGAAAATCCTGATGATCCTCATTTAACCCCTTCTATGCTTAGAGCCCAGACTAATCTTAAATTAGGTTTCTGGACAACTTTCGCTAAAAAGTTAGACCCATCCGCTCCTCTTGCTGAGGAAGAAGAAATTACTCAAAGTTTCGGTTTTCCCCCAGTCAATAAATACTTAAATTGCAAATCTCGCCCTCGTACCATTAGATGGTCATCCGTTCCCCAATACTTAATCGACGATAGCGAAGAATGGTTAAGATTATCGGAGGGAAGATTTAGTTACAATCTACCTCGTGCCTCTACTCACATAGCCAATGACGCTGGTGAGCCCATTACCCCCTTTACCAAGATTAACCCACTTCTTAGGTTAACTCCTGAAGATCAACAAACTGTTCGCTCCCTTATTGGAAAATGGTTCCCAATATCTCTCCGAGATTTCGTTGAAACCGACATTGGTCCAACTTGTACTAATCCAAATAAAATTGCCTATCGCGCACATCGACGTCAAAAAGCTGTTAATCAATTTCATGACATCACCCAAATCACCCTCGAAGATTTGAAGACTCAACATCAAGAATGGATAAATCTCCATATGAGTGAACATCCTGATCGTTTGAACACTTACAGCATTCACGCTGCTTATGTACGGATCGAAAGATCAAATCGATCTGGTTACCGTGTTCTCGCCCCTCATCCTGTTTGGATCGTAATTGTTGATGGCAATTGCGATATCGTTTATGAAACTCTTGTTTCATACAAACATGTAAATTACATGGATTCAAAATTCCATGGTCTCAGATATCAAGACATCAAATTGGCGAAACCTCTTCCCACTATACGTGATCAAGTCATTACCTTCTTGGCTTCAGCCAAGTACATCATCGGTTCTGGACTAATAACACTCTTCCAAGCTTTCGAATTTGCCCCCTGTGAAATTGAAATCTTACGTCCAAAACTCCGAGACGTAACCATTTACTTTTCACCTTATCGTGCTGCCCCAGCCTCATTATCTCTCGTCTCTTTCCTCGTTTTCTCCGGCTTTACTATTCGTGGTGGACCACACTCTCCCGCCGTCGAAGCCATCGTAGCCATGCGAATGTACATGGGATTTTGGAAAGAAATCGAAGTACGAAGTGCCGCTTGTCAACAAGGTGTTCATAATCATTCAATGAAACACTTCGTCCGAAACAAAAAAGTTTCAAAACTTTTTGAAAAATTTACAAGTTTGGTAAAAGCTAAGAAAGCTGAATGGCCCACTAACTGGTCATATTATAACCATCACATTGCTCGCCCTGAATACCTCGAGTATAATTGTGTCACCCCATCATCTTCAAGTTGTGCTACTCCCACTGGATCTACATGTCCAACTCCTCCAATCTCATCACCTAATCAACATGGTGAAAATTCATCACACAACTCAAGCATCAATTAACTCTACCGAATCATCATCCATCAAGCTCCTCAGGAACAACCAATGATTCCTCTGGAACATCAAAACTCATCATCATCGTCGTCATCTCAAGATTCCGACCCACCTCAAGATGCTGCTCCGAAGCTCACAACAATCATTGAACTTATCACCGAAGTTCCAAACCAGGAACAAGTCCCGGAAAATCAAGAAATTGAACAAGTTCAAGAAGATCAAGAAGCTCAAGAAGCCGAACCAGCCCAGGAAAATCAAGATCGAGAACAAGATCTAATCAATCTCGAATCAAGTCAATCTCAAGATGAAATTCCTGACAATAACTCTCAAATCCTCTCCACTACTTCAGATCCTCCGGATTCTCAAGCCCTGAGTTCAAGCCAGGACTCAATTTTATATCTATCATTAGATTTCCCCTCATCTCAAGTTCGCCCTGATAATTTTTACCCTGTCGGACCTGATAACATCTCGCCAAGCCGAAGGATCCAAAAATCCGTCTTACAAAGGATTCTTGATCAAAACCGTGGGGAGTGAAGGGTAGAAAAATACATTCCCCTGTAATCCCGATTATTTGGATCATTCAATGATTTCAAATTGATTTTATTTCTTTTCCATTTTAATTACTCTTAATTTCCTTTGGAAATCTTATTCTTTTTAGGTCAATCTAAACCTTCATTTTCATTACTTTTTAATTTTCCCTAAATTTGGTAAATTTAGTAAGAGAACTAAATTCTCTTTCTTTTCTCTGTCTATTTTACTTACTTTTCAATTGTTTGAAAAGCCAAAGGTTTAACCTTATTATCATTTAATTTGCTTTTTTAATCTAATCAAAAGGCTAAGTCTCGACTATAGTCGTCATCTTGGTTACTTATGATTAACTTTTTATCTCTTTGTTTCTTATCATTAATATGATTTAACCCCATTAATTATCTTCCCCTTTTCTTTGTAATCTTTGATTAATTCAATGACTTCCCCCTTTTTGATTTTGTTTAAAAACTCTTACTGTTCCCTCTAAAACGAGAGACCAATTCTAACTCTGGTTCTCGCAAGTTCTAAGGAACATTCAGTTTTCTTCTTTAATAAAAAGTTCTTATTCTCAAGTCTTCTTAATCTAATTGTGATTGTTTGCAAAGTGATCATTTAATGATAGAAATAATTAGTGTAGGAATTAGTGACGGAACGTAAAAGTGGTTGTGATCCTTGATCGAATCTTTCCCGATCTGAAAATTGTGGCAGATCGCATCTTCTGTCCTCGTTGTTAAGTTCATCTCTCTGAGATATTGAATTCTCAAATCTATTCCATTGTGGAATAATCTCCTCAACTCAATCTAAACCCCACATATTCAACAATAAATAGTAAATAATTCAATTGAAAAGTATAATTATGCTCAATGAGTAGGAAAACTATTAGCGATTCAATGAAAGTCCAGTTAAGTCAACGAGTATTTGACCTCAACTGTTATGAAGATAATCAAGTAATCTTAGATTTGAAAGAAAAAGTCTTGACCATTAAAATAAATGACCAACAGATCTGAAAAAAAAAACTAAAGCCGAAACTTTGAGTTGTGAACCAGAACTTTCAAGACAAAATGTTGTTTTTTGTTTCAAATTGTTTGATGAGAATGAGAATGATAATGAAAATGCTCCCAGTCAAGTGGTCAAGATGGACTTTTCTTGTTAAAAGGTTACATGGAGCGTGACAGTTTAAAACTCATTATATTCCAATTGTAATCATCATTTTTTTGTTCCATCCTCATCCTCATCATTCCAACTTCTTTTAGTAAATGATGTTTTTTTCTGGCACAAAGTTGCTACTTAGAACTGAGTAGAATCGTTATCATCAAGATAATCGTTATAAGTGATCATTAACTTGTTTAAAAAATGAATATTCTATTGATATTAATAGTTAACTTTTTGGGTTCGAATCATTTTCCCATACTAAATCATAGTACATGAGAGTGGACTGAGTAATAAGCTGATTCACTTTTCTGAGAGGATGTTCAAGGTAGATTATACTATTGATGGAGATGAAAATGTTGACAAAAACTGATAAGTTTCAATTGAATCACCATTGGATCTGAATGAATAGGTCCATTTGATAGGCAAGAGATTCAATGTGTTTTTATTTTCGATCTAAATTGTCTTGACCAAACATCTTTACCTTTACTTAACTACTATTCTGGTTTCATTGGTCATTATAAGAGAAGATATTTCACTATGATCACCTTAAAGGTCATTTCTTGTTCTTCCCATCGATTCTAAATGGATTAACGGTATCAGTTTTACTACTTCTTTCAATGATCATCAACATCTTCCCATCTTCATCTTCAATGATAATGTTTTTATCTTTAAATAATAGTCTATGTACTTTGTCCGTGTAGTTTACTCTCATTGAGCATCTTTTAACTTCGTGTCAATGAATGTCAGTCCTTTCTTGTAACTTTTGCTCATTGGGATGGGAAATGATATTGTGTATATAAAAAAGATGAGGGAAAAAAGATGAGGTTGATTGGGTGAGTGAAATTGTCCTCAACCTAAACAATTGGATTTCGAGATGTTTAAGACTATCAGTTACAGATGAACCTGTGAGACCAAGTTAAAGGATGAAGAGGAAAACGTAAGTGATGCTCCTGGAAAAGGAAAAGATGAGGAAGAAGACAAAGTTCTAGAAATAACTCACATCATGTCTTTATCAGTCTACCCAAGGGATTAACCAGACTCAGAGAGAAACTGGTAATTTCTTTTCAGAGGAGAAAATAACACAAGTGAAAAGAAAAAGTAATAAGATGATGATGATTATGATGATGAACAACCAGATAGAAAAAAGAAAAGTATAAAATAGGTTATTGGGATAGTTGAAAGACAATGAAAATGATAAAATGGATAAAGTGATGAGGATGAAGAGAAAAGTGAAACCATAATAACACTTGCAAGAGGAAAAATAATTCCAAAAATGAAATTATTTTTATCTCATAATAGTTTCTGCTGCTATTTGCTAATGAGAACAATCAATTTACAATAGTTTAATTGCCGCTGTTGACAATTGAATTGAAGTAAAACATGATCAACATTGAAGATTATCTGATTCAATTAAAATTAATTCAACAACATGAACACACCTAAATCATAAATTCAATATTATTAGCAGAATAATGAAAGGTGTTGGTCATCACTTGTTTGACCAATGTTAGAATATATTGTAATATAATTTGAGATAATTGAAGGTTTCAAGTGTAAAACCCACAGTAATTTGTTTGACTGAATGAATGAGATGTAGTTTTATCGTTTCATCTTCATGTAATCATATACTCACCACAGCAGCCATCCATTTATTTTTGGAAGATGCCTTAGAGTCATCACTTAATGTACTATCATCAATACTTGGCTCTTTACCTCCTTCACCTCCTCCTACTTCCCGAACAGTATCAACTCCTTCATCGAATTTAATCTCACCCCCAGGACTTGGAATTACGATTGCGTGACGACGCTCTTCAACTTTAAGTTTCATTATTGACGCAAATCTATTCTGAAAACCTCCACCTCCTCCTGAAGATGTCGAGCTCACTGAATCTCTTTTTTCAGTGTCCCACATGAATCCAACTGCTGCTCGAGCTGCTGAATTATTGGAAACATGATTATTTGGAGATGTTTCTGATTCCTGATTGTTCATTGTCGGTGGTGAGATAGCAATTGTTGTGGTCGGAGTTGTTGCTTGTTGATTATTTTGTTTATCGTTTGCAACAAGCCCATCAGTATTTAGTACACCAGGAAGTGGTGATGTATTTGAAGTTAATGATTGTTGATCAGTTTCGTCAGCTAAACTGTTACGATGGTCATCATTGGCACTACAAAAGGCTGAATCATCATCACCACCTCGACGATTTCCTCCTGTTGTCCGAGTTCTTGATTCACCTTCAGGTCCTTCTGGTTCAGCAGATTCCATTGAACCATATTCAGACTGAAAGAATGAACTTTGCCTTGAATCACCAGAAACACATGAGAAAAATGTCGATTCCTCAGACATACTTTTTTCCAAAGATAAACCCGATTGTGGACCAGTATTACCATGACTATCTTCACGATTCATCGCTCCTCCTCTTTTACCACTTGATGGAGTCAAATATTGACCAGATCGATGAGAACTATTGTGAGGTGTTCGGTGTGGACTTCGATTGCTAGTAGATGGACTTGTTTCTTCACAACTAATGTTACTATTAATTTCTGTTATCACTTTGTCATTAGAATCTGCAGCTTCGTCTGGCAGGGATTGAATACTTTGTTGTCTATCAATCTGAGGTAATTTTCGTCTTCTACCTGAACCAGATCTTCCCGCTCGAGGTGATAAACTATGCTGCTGTCTTGCCCCTGAAGATATCTCCTTGTTATTAGAGTCTTGGTGTGAGGGAGAAATGCTATCAGAGATTTCAGTTACCTCAACACTAAGTTCAGGTAAAGATAATTGATGAGTTTGTCCAGTAAGTTTATTCCTTGCATCTTTTTCATCAGCCTGTACACTCATGGATCTATCGATTGCAGAGTGTTGGCCTTTAACTACAACTGATGCTGTTGATGTGGCTGGTGATCGACGACCAAAAGAGCCAAAGAAGCCAGAAATCGCTGAAGCACTTTTTTTAGCGAATGAGCCATCGCCAGATCCTGTTAATGAGCCGGTTGATGATGTGGATGATTGTTGGCTAGTAAATCCTTCATTGATTCGAGTTGTTGGCATCGCTGGTGTTTCCATCAAATTTTCACGTGAGTCTCGTTTCAACATGGATGGCATATTGATTACACTTTGATATCCACGAGAGACACTATTGGACAAACTTGAGAAAAGACCTCGACTTTCATCAACTGATGGCACCCGACGGTGTTGATTGGATTGTGATGAAGAGGGTGAGGTTGATGCTTGAATCTGTGGAGAGCTGCTAGTTATATGTTGACTGGGTGATCTATTGTGATGATGAGGAGATGATGATGCTGAGGACGTTTGAGTGAACGACGGTTGATAGTATGTACCTGATGATGGATGCGATCCTTTATTGTCGTTGATCATTTGTCTGGATGAAGACAATGTTGAGGTTGGTGTGACAGGAGCAAAAGAAAACGATTCATTTTGGTCTTGTTGCTTGGTTTCTCTATTCTCATGAGTGTGAGTTGATGGCACAGATGATATGGAATCTGAACTGTTTTGGTTACAAGTCGAAAATGATTCCAAAGGTTTTGCGAGGGAAGGAGAAGGTGGAACTGAGGGCAGTTTTCGTTTTCCGCTGGGTGTTCGTTGAAGCAGAAGCAAAGATCGATCGTCATTCGTATTTATTGAGTCAGAAGTAAATTTCTTTGGTGATGTTGAGGGAGATAATGTCGACATTGATGTTCGATTATCAATTTTTATCGTCAAATTTGGTTTCAGCGTTTTCATATCTGAAGGTGAAACTTGATCTCTTTTATCATGAATGAAATTCTCATCTTCTCTTTTATCTCCATTCTTGTCTTTCATTTTCTCATTCAATTGATAATTAAGTCCATCTTCTTGTTCGTGATTATCTTCTTTTTCTATTAACAACTTGTTCGATCCTGAGGATTCATTGGTTGAATGAACTTTTTTCTTGTCATCTTGCATCTTGAAATTACTAATTTTTCTATCACAAGATGAAAAAGATGATTTTTCTTTCACTTCCTTAATCACAATTAAATCAGATCGCTGGTCATTCATATCAATCTTATGGCTAAATTGATCAACTGAACTTTCTCCAGATGAAATATTCCAATTATCGTCATTATCAACATCACCTTTGCTCGTTTCTCCAGTTCTTTTGCTCTTTATTTTTCTTGGTCGTGATTCTTTCATCAATATGATATCAGTTTTCTGTTCAATCAAAACTGAGGATAAATTGTTTTCTTTATAAATATTATCTTCTTTTTTCTCTTCCAAATTGATTAATCCTCGAGTAACAGTATTTGATTGATTAATTAAATCATCATCTTCGATATCATCGAAACTGTCTCGATCGAATGTTTCAAAATTGGATGATGACAATTTATCTTCCGCATCTTGTCCTCTCATCTTCTTCTTTTCAGCTTGTCTTTTCAAACTTTCTTTTCTCAGTATAAGTGATGTTTGAGCCGAGATATACCTGTTTGGTGTTGACGATTTAATTGCAACGCAACTCGAGCTTGAAGGCGATTTTTCAGACGATGAAACTTTAAACGATTGCTCAGTGGAAGTTTTTACCAATCCTGAGATTGTTGTACATGTTAATGAGGTTGTAGTAGACACGGAAGATGCTAATTGCTGACAGTTTATATTTGCAATCAAAGGAACTTGTGAATTAATCTCACTTGATACTGATGACGAAGAAGAGGAGGAGGAGGAGGGAGAGGATGTGGTTACGGAAGTTGAAGGTTGGATAATTGCATTGGTTTTTTGAGCAAATTGTTCATTTGACGTTTTCGTCCCTCTTTCAATCAGATTATCTGTTGCAAGTTTATCATTCAAATCCACTTTAACTCCTCTACCTTGAGCATAAACTACTTCACCGCCTTTACCAAATCGATCTTTCAACCATAATTCAGTTGAATTTGGCTTATTTTCTGAATCTTTTGAATCTGAAAAATCCTCTTCATCTTCATCTTCATTTGCATCATCCACGTCGCTTAAACTACTTGCTCCACTTGATGCTCTACGGCTTCTGATCCCTGATAAGTTATAAACTTTTCTTGGTATTTTGTACGTTGAATCAGATGCTAAATGAACGGCAGCGTCGTTTAAAGCATTTATATCAGTCTCCGTTATGAAAGGTGTGTTAGCACCTTCACGATAATTAAGATAATCTGATGAGGTGAAAATATCATTATGAAGAAATGACCTTTCTCGCCGAGATAGATTACGGACTTGTCTTTGGTATGCTTTTGTCGCTTCACTTGATGACGATGGAAGAGGAGATGTTGCTTGAGATGAGGATAGACTTTTGAGCGCTTGAGACAAGGCTTGGCGAGATACCAGTTCTTCAGAATCAGCTTGGCGTTTTGATGTACGAAGATGATAACGTTTATTTTGATTCTTCCTTGACTCGTTCTTCTCAGAAGAACCCTGATCAATGGATAATTGAGAAGGATCTATTGATGGATTAACAAGTTGATGTTGTTCTAGTGATGATACTGAATCTACTGTAGTTGATTTAGATAAAGATGCTGGGGAATTATTTGGTGGAGGAGGAGGTAGATGTAAAGGTTGGTCTGTTGATGATGTTGGTGAAAGAAGAGATTGATTAACTGAAGCATGTAAAGGCAATGGTGTTGATAATGAATGTTGAGGGTGAGAAAGATAATGTGAATGAAGATGATTCTCAGTTAGTAAAGAAGATAATGAATAGTGATGGGATAAAGGAGCAGAAGAAGAAGGTGGTCCAACTGTAGGTTCTGGAGGAGGTGGTGAAGATAAACCATCAGTTTCATCAAGTGGAATTTCCTCTGACGATGAAGATGAGCCTGGACTATCTAATCTACCACCAATTGTCGAATCGAGTGACTCTAATTGTTCAAGAAGGCCACGAGTATTTGTAATACCAACTCGAGTCCATCCAGGGATTGATGCAGATGAATTAACAGCTGATGATGAGGTTTCATTCGGATTAAATCCTGATCCAGATAAATAAGGGAATGTTGTAGGCGTAGATAAACTTCGAGCATAATCTTCATCAGCCATGGAAATAGTTTCTTGGATTCTTCTTTCAAGATCAACATCAAGTTCGATATCAGTACCAAGCCAGTTTAGATCAGCACCAAAATCTTCGGACGTGGAAGCTGATTCCTGATATTTTTTAGCAGAGTCTCCGTCTCGAGTTTTCAATGATCTCGATGATGATGGACCAAGCTGAAAATTGGAAGCAACTTGTGGGGAGAGGACACAACTTTCTTGAATAACTGTCAACAATTGAGAGATTACATTTTGTTGCTCATGTAAAATTCCCTCAAGACGTTCCAGTTTTTCCCACATCAGAATATACTCATTAGATAGTAGATCAACTGCACACCAGGCTTGACGGAGTTCAAATTCTAGGTCACGAACACGGAGACTTAAACGTCTAATAACATCATTCGAAGGATATTGAGCTAAAATGTTTGATGTCAATTGGTTGGTCAAAGCATTATAATTGCTTATTCGGATCATTCGTCTCGGATCATCTGAGAATGATGATAAACTTGGACTGCATCTTTGGTTAATCGACATTGGAACTGGTGGAGCCGGAGGAGGAGGAGGAGGTGATGGTGTTTGAGATCTTCCTGCTGACATTGGAAGCACAGAAGATGATGGTATTGTAGATGAAGCTCCTGGAGAGATACGTTGAGGTGAAGTACGGTGAGAGTGATAGGGTGACCTGGATGCCGAATGGTGCGAAGGAGGTGGAGGAGGTTGAGGACTCGGAGGGAAGGCATGAAGAGCTATTTCTTGTTGCTGTTGATAAACTGGCACATGATGTGATTGTTGATGATGATTAATTTTAGATGGAGATACATTTGAATTGTAGGGACCATGATGTTGACCAACATTGGCCAATCTATTGACATTGTTTGACTCACCTCTAGTTGACCTTGGTAGTAACTTTCTTCCCTCCATGTTTTTGACTTCCAACACACTTCAGGTTCGTTGTAACGTAAGTTTCAAATAATTGATCAAAGTTATCGTAAACTTTGCTTGTTTATCGTCACAACGAACATAATCACATTTAACTAAAACAATTTTCAAACGTTGTAAACAAAACACAATAATCCAAACTTGCGACAACTTATATAATCATAATGGTGATGAAATTTGATGTTAGGTAAATAAGGATCACAACAAAATTTATGAGTTATTATAACAATTAAAACCTCATTGATTATGTGGATAGAAAAATATACCAATAGCACAAGAAGAGAACAACCAATTAATCAATCAGCAATTAAACAGCAATTGAAGTGAAAGCAATAACTCAGATAGAATGACAATAATTATATTTAGAACCAAATGAAAATATATCAATGGAAATTCACTTCATGGTTTTCATAGAAACTATTCATTGAGATTATATGAAGATCAACGAGTTGATATTGAACACTAATTGATTTAATCTTCAATAGGTAAAAAGACAATGGTTAATATGTGAAGATGAGGATAACTCTGAGAAGAAAATAAAATAACGAGATGAAAAAAAAGGAAAATGATTAACAAATTATAAGCATAACTAATGTTAACCCGATTTAAGTAACCATGTTGATTTCATTGTTGTAGTTGGTTCTTGGTGCATGATAAAAGTAACTTGGTCATTCCGAATCAATGAAAGGTCAACATGATGATGATGAGTAACTATTTTCTCAAAAATCATACAATAAGATCAATTGTGATGATAATGCTTTCAGTTGTTATTATCATCAAAACAATAAACAAAAGGTAACACAGAAAGCAGAGGCTGAGTGAACACAACCATTGATGATTTTGACAGTGATGGAGATGCGGAGGTGGAGGAGGAGATGCAACATGATAATTGATAAAATATACACATTATATCCATTATGTTATCATTTGATTAACCGGCTTGTGATTAAATCACCGTAAATGTAAAGAGATTTACTAATTTTCTGTTGAAATTCAATTTTCACTAATATTTAATTTGATTAACTTGAGAATTCAATTCAATTATTAAACACAGACAAAAATAATAACATGACTATAATTGATGATGATTATAAATACTATTCAATGATGTAACTTTTTTCACGTTGCTGTTGTTAAGGTTCATTTCCTTAACCGATAATTATAATTTCAGGATCAATTTGTTGAAAATAATTCACATTTTAAATGATTGATTAATTTTGTTGCTCAGTTTACAATCAATTTTCACAATCATCATCATTATAAGAATTGTGTTTATTTGTTTGGACTAATTGAGACACAGTGTTGCTTCCTATTGCCAATACCTCACATTTTCATTGTATTGGGATGAAAGAAGAAGAAAAAGTTTCAGCGATAAATTCAGCTTACAGGGCATGACGGCGATTCGTCGCTGTTATCATGCGAACCAAGGTAAAATTGATCAATATTTGTTTCAAGAAGGATGAGAAAGAGGAGGTAGACAGGGAAGGTAGATAAATTCAGGGAAACAAGCACAAGAATAGAAAGAGATATGATGAGTAAAATCATCATTTGAAATTCATATCCATGAGTTCTGAGGGCTTTTCGGGTTCATTATTATTATTATCAATATTGTTTTGATTAATAATATCCTGATGCATGTGACTGAAATGCTAAACAAAATTAAATAAATTACATTGAATCAACTTAAATTTCCAACTAAAATCAAATATAAGTATAATGGTAGAAAACAATGTTATCATTATCTTAATCTAACAGTTTACATGATGAATGATTGTTATTATTGAACTGGTTGAAATTCATATGTTAATATCAGGTAAGTGGTTATTTTATCGAGTATCATAACCACCGGAAGGTGAAAGTGAGAAGAAGGGGAGAGATAAAAATGTCAGACTGGGAGTTGATAATAAACAAGAATAACACCAAATAGGAAATGATGAGCATGAGAACATCATTTTTTTCTTCTTAATTCTGTTTGTCAATTATATTATTTAATAATAACAAGATGATGAGATAGTTGAGATAAAGATGATGATAAGTTTTGTTGTCAAAAGTCAATCGAAAAGGTTTGAGGGCTGAAAAGCAATTGAGAAATCGTTAGAAAACTGGACTAACAATTCAATGAGTTCCAAATAATTTGAAGCAACATCTCAAACAGCATAAAAAGGTCAGTCAATAATAATCATCATCATAATAGTGATGACCATTGGTCACTTTGGTTTCTTCTTTTTACTTTTTTTCCTAACAATCAATCGATCGATAAATTATATAACTCACAAACAATTTAATAACCATTAGCATCAACATATATCGTTTATCAATGTTTTCTTCATCTTCTTCATCATCATTATCATCGTCATCAAATGAAATAATAAAAATTCATTTTTTCCTTCTCTTTGTCTTCATTTTTAATTTAGAGAGAGAGAGAGTGAGGAGAGAAACCATTTTCTTTATTTTCTCTCTTTCTCTCTTTCTCTCTTCTCTCTTCTTTCTTTCTTTCTTTCTTTTTTACCTCAGAATAAATTGAGAGACTTACAGGTTCTGACAATTTATATTATTTCTTGAAGATGAAATGAATTCTTACTTTTTCATTTTCTATTTTTGGTTAACTTCATTATTCTCGTGAGTTCTTATTCTGATAAATTCGTTGCTCATCCCATCAACTTTCTTCGATAAACTTAATCATTTCAATTATACCATGAAAAAGCCCGAATTTCATTCAACTATTATACTTTTTCATTTCGCATCTACAATACTGTTTATGCAATTACGATTTAATACTCTACATGGTTTACGAATTTATCATTATTATTATCATTAGAACTCGACTTTTGTCATCTGTTTTCTCCCTTTGTTCATGATGACCTCAATTGAAAATACATCAATTCATAATTCATCTTTTTCTTTGTCATCTTTTTTTACCTTCGATAATCAGAGTAACCATAGCAACTGTCTCACTCAGCTCATCATCTTTTTATCAATTCTCATTTTTTCTCATCTCAAATCATTTTAAATTCTGGTCAGTCAATAATTCAAAATCTTGTAATCATAACACAGAAATACAATAATAATTTATCGAAACTTTAATTGTGGTAGATTAACAGGTTAGAAGTACAGGGCGTAACAACCAAATATCCGGACTTTTGACGCTTTACCATTTCTAGGCTATTTATTAGGTCAGATTTTTTTCTGCGCGATTCAACAGAGAAAATGTGAAAGTTTTGTTGTGTTCTAATTCGGAACTTTTCCATAAAGCCGTTACCGAGCAGTGGCCTCTCAAAGTCGGAAAAGTGGTACATTTAGATGCAAAACTTTTTTCGGGAAATTTTTTCCGGCCATTTGAAAGTTCTAAAATTATCGAACAAACTGAGCTAATCATCTTTTTGATCTGACTTTTTGTTCAGGAGTAATTGGCCTTCAAAGGTGCGTACTTATCCCGTTGACATTCACATGAAATTTTTGACCTTTTTTGATTGTCTTGAAATTGAGTCCTAGTAAATTCCCGATGCCGAAATTAGTATCTAAGACAAAAAAATTCATTTCAATGTACTAGCTGGTCTGGAATCAGCGCCTATTTGTTTTATTCAGTAGCCTAATTGGCCTTATGGTAAACTTGTTAAACGACCAACGATGAGGATAAAATCGGCTTTAATACTAATTTCGGCATCGGGAATTTACTAGGACTCAATTTCAAGACAATCAAAAAAGGTCAAAAATTTCATGTGAATGTCAACGGGATAAGTACGCACCTTTGAAGGCCAATTACTCCTGAACAAAAAGTCAGATCAAAAAGATGATTAGCTCAGTTTGTTCGATAATTTTAGAACTTTCAAATGGCCGGAAAAAATTTCCCGAAAAAAGTTTTGCATCTAAATGTACCACTTTTCCGACTTTGAGAGGCCACTGCTCGGTAACGGCTTTATGGAAAAGTTCCGAATTAGAACACAACAAAACTTTCACATTTTCTCTGTTGAATCGCGCAGAAAAAAATCTGACCTAATAAATAGCCTAGAAATGGTAAAGCGTCAAAAGTCCGGATATTTGGTTGTTACGCCCTGTATAATTTAATCGTCACAATATATAGTCTATTATTATGGAAGAGTCACTTTGAAAAATATTGAACTTTAATTAGGATAATGATTAGTTAATTGTTAACAGAATAAACTTGGCAGTTGATGGAGAAACAAAGTTAAATCATATTGAAAGAAAAACAAATTGATAATGGCAATTTAATGATTCCCTTAAATTCATTATTATTATCATAACGGTGCTCATCATGAAAATGCTAAGCTTCATTTGATAATGATAATGATGAAACAAAAAAGTAATACAAGGAGTTTGATTACATAAATGAGTTACACAACTAATAATCAAGTTAATTTCTTTATGGATATTGTTACATTTCATGATAATATTACCAGAATCAGGGTAGTTTTTGCAGCTATTCTTGTGCTATTTCAATTCTTTGAGAATTCGAAAATATTCATCAGGAAAGAATTAATTATGATCTTAATGAATGATGATTATGATTTCGAAAGAGATGAAAAAATAGAAGCAACCGTTCATAGTAGCGACGAATAAAAATCCTCATGAGATTCATGCGAATCTTCTTAATGGATGATATTTCGAGCAAAATAACATGGAATATCAACCACCTCAGAATAATATGAAAGCGAAAAGAAAATTTCTGCTAACACTGCAGAGAAAAAAAAGAGAAAAAGAAGGATAAATTTTAAGAACTGGGAGATTAGAGTTCAATGGGATATTCTTTTTTGTTAAACCTTGACAAAAGTTGTAAATCTACAAACAGATTTCAGGGAATCCACTGGATGGACAATAGAAGAGGAGAAAAAAGGATTGAAATGATGGGAAAACTTTCTGAGTGAATGAAAGTGCCACAGAATTTGAAATCAACATCAATTTAATGTCATCTTTTTGTCTAAATTCGTTTTATTTTTGCATTAACATCATTATCTGAAACACTATTAGTATTATGATATCATTTACATTGAGATTCAATTGTACCCACAACGAGTCATATTCACTATTATCTGTCTGAAAATTCATGTTAACTGCAAAGTGAGTAAGTTGTTTGCATGTCACTTTTTTACGTTATGATTCTGGTTTAGCAAAGATGATAAAATATAAGTAAAGGATTGAATCAAAGTTTGTGTACCTGATTGGTTTTCTCAATAGTAACTTCATCTTTTTTATCCTTTTTTCTGGTGTTATTGTTGTTATATTTCATGATAAATAGTGAAAAAGAAACTCAATATATTTTATATTGTGTAAAAGCAATGATTTTGCTTGAGCTTGTCAAGTTTTCCATTCAAGCGAAAGATACTTTTTCTGTATTTTTAATACGATAAGAAATGAAGTCATTTGGGAGCCATTAAAAAGGCGGGAATCAGTTCATGGAATCAGAATCAAATGAAAGCTCATTGGGTGACAATGAGGCTCATGTTATAAACCAGATTGTTTTATCAATCTTCAATTTGTATTGTTTTTTATTTGATTCGTTCAATTTTTTTCTATTTTATTGAATCTAAGATCATGATGAAACTCATTCTAATACAAATTAAATTAATAGGTTTAAGATTCTCAATGAATCATGCTAATTTACAAAACTATTAATACATTCGAGGCGAAATTTGAGACGATTGCTTTCGAGAGATAAACATGGAAGTTTGTAAGCAAATGGATGAGCAAATGATGTGGTGAATGAGACAAACTGAGAGAGTGAAAAGTAACAAACTCGATTATTGGTTTTATTGATGTTTCATGAAATGAAGTTTTCGTTGCCTTGGTGTGAATGAGCAAAGCAATTTAAAATATTCAGATGAAAAGAAAAAGATGAAAATCATGATTGATTTCAAATTTAGTAGCAAAAAGGTATTGTATTATTATTGTAAATGGGGAAATGATAAGGTAAAAGATTAAAGGACGAGAAAGAAAAACCTCATTTTCACAGAATCAAGTGAAGCAAATGAACATGAAAACAAGTGAAGATTGAAGATGATGAAAAAAAGGATGAGGTAGAATAAGAACTAAAGGAAGATGATGATCATGATCAGCATGATCATCATTCAGAGTAAGAACAGGATGAAACTAGAAAAAAAGAGAGAAGTAAAAATAACTATATAAAAGGTTGACAGAATGTATCAAGGAAGAAGATAAAGAGAGAGCGAGAGAATCTCCATCTTCTATCCTGGTTGTCGGTGTGAGTTTTTACTGTTATCAGATTGTATTACCTCAGGAGAAGTTTTCAGAATAGAGAGAAAAACCTATTTTGGAAACAATTCAAGCAAAGGAGAAGATGAAGATGATAAGAAGATAATTCAGAAGGATGATGTTGATGATAAAACGAAATAATCGAGGAAAGAAAAATACTAAGCAATGTAACGATAGTAATGATAATTATAATAAAAGCAATAAAAAATAGTCTGGTTGTTTAGTGTTACTATTTTCTGGAGAAACAATGAGAATGAGTTATACGTGATTGAATGATATTAGGAATGACTCAGTTTCCATGGAGGAGCATCAGGATTGACCAAGGGAGGTAAATATTATTATTATTTTCATTATGTAACTAAAAGTTAGCCTACAAATGTCAGGCAAGATTGAAGATGACCTTAGGCCAAGAGACTTAAGAGATTTTAGATTGGACAAAAAATTAGACAGTCAGTAAGTGAGAGAGAGATTCAGATGATGATAATGATTCTGATAAAAGTGATAATGTTCATTTTCATCGTCGTTTTTATCTTCATGATGAGTTTGCGTTACCTGTCAGTGGATGATAATCAAAGGCAAAATATTTAGCTTCATGTTAGAGTTCATAAATCATTCATGATGAACTGAGAAAATAGAGAAAAAGATTTAAGAATCAATGAAATGATAATATTAATATTTATTAGTCTCCATGAATGTTAGTTTTTTTCTTCCTCATCCTAATGGCTAATACTTTTCATCTTCATCAGTTACTTGTTTAACATTATTAGTTTCATTTGGTTCATCGTTACCGTTGTCATTTGATTTAACGTCGATTATCATTTATAATCAGATTGTGATTAAATTCATCAGCCAATTCTGATCATCATTTGCACTGAAAAAATACTCTGATAATAATTGTTTACTAGATTATCATGAATTAATGAGAAACAGGATTATTCATTAACCTAACGTTACCTATTATTATTAATGGACATGTAATAACATTCACTTGAATCCAGTCAAAGTTAGTAATTAATTCCTGATTAATCTTGCATATAATTATAACATTAATTATGACGATAAATAATTATATTAGCAGTTTTCAGTTTCCATGATGCTAATCAATGTACATCAAAAACTGAATCTCAACCAATTTAGTTTTGAAGGATAATGAAAAAAATAAAGTGCTCAAAGTGTTTGGTGAAAAAAAAGATACATATGAAAAGTTATAAAAGTTCAGTGTAGTTAATCAGTATCACGAATTTGAATTAACAATTTAAACAATTTATCAAATGATAAACAGTTAAGGTAAAGTTTGGTAACATGCAATAAACTAATTACGGACAATGTGACATTGTTGATTGTTGATGTGATATTGTGATCAAGGTAATTATTGATTTTCATATGGGGTTAATCATCAATATGGAAATTATCATTTCCATGAAAAAAATTCAGTATCATCAAGATAATTCAATAAAAAGACTCAGGGTTTCAGGTTGAATTGTCTTATTTTATTTAAATGGATTAGTTTTCCTTTTTTCTTCAATATTATCTGAATGATGATCTGAGAAAAGTTATTTATCAAGTTAACTGGACAGTTTTATCTGGACAATAAGGAATTACAATCAAGAGTAATCATTGATTAAGCTAACAAACGTTGTGTTGAGTGGCTATCATGATGTTCAATCTAAATTTATTTCAAGTAACTAATATAATTGTTGTTTACTCAGTCAACTTATTATTCAATCAGAGAAACTATTGCTTAATAATTGGATTGTAAATTGTAATTTATTGAAAATGATACAAGTGAACTGATTGGAAATTTAATATCGATTCCGAATGAGCAATAAATTAAAATTTCGTCTTTTAATCATATTCAATTGTCGGTATTGTGCTGACCTCTGCCTTTTCATAATCAAATGATTAACATCATAATTTGTTGACTTAATTGGTGGATGATTGATTGATTACATCGATTGGAATAAATTAACAGACTAATCAAGGTAATTGTTGTTATTGAATTAAAATGTAATAGAATATAATTTTAAGGAAAGTTCTGAGAACTCAAGACTTGCCCTTGAGATGCTGAGATGATTATAATTGATGAAATTTATGATTGATATTAAGAAATAATAGATCATAACAATATAATAGATTTTGAAACGAAATTGATTAATGTAATTGCTTCAATTTAAGAAAGTAACTGAATCAAATTCAAGTTTATATTTGATGAATCCGAAAATTATTTAAACAATTTTAAAATTGTAGAAAGTTAAATGTCTTTTTGGATTAATTTCAAGAGACTTAATCCAATTGGGATGTTAAATTTCTTAGGGCAACTCAATGTAAACAAGCAATCGATTGAATTTTCATTATTCTCAATTTGGGAATTGTAACGATTTTTAGTTTCGTAAACTCTGAACTTCGAGCAAAAGTGATGATTAAATGATGGAAACTGAATGATCAACAGTGAAGTAGAGGATAAACGGAAAGAGACTTTGATTCCAACAGATTATTTGAGAATAAGTGAAAAAATGGATTTTGTCTGATGGAAACAATGTTTACATTTGTCATGAAGATAAAGACGAAGCTCAAGTATGATTTTGATTCACCTGAAGGCACAGAATCCATCAGAGTCTTTATTTAGAATCAATGTTCACGTTTCATTCTCTTAAATAATACAATCCTCTAGAGAATAAACTTCTTTTCAATCATCACTCTCATTTGTAATACATCAATGATGGAAACATTAAGTTGAGTAACTGAAAAGATTTACCAATAATATTGCAATGGGAGACAAAATCAAGAATCAAAGACTATGAATGCCGATGAGAGGAACAAAATATGATTAAATACCATAACGATATTGATTTGGCAAAGAGAATATTAAGATAATTAAAGAACACAAGGTGGAATTGAGTGTTAACGATGATAAATCATCAGCGTATTGTGATCACTTGAGTATATTAATACTTGGATGAAATGAGACTTAGTCTCCCGAGTGTCAAAACGATTGAATGATAATCATTAGAAAGTAAAGGAATTGATTAATTGGTTTACTCACCAAATCGAAGTCATTAACAATCTTATTGTAAGCAGTGAGCCAACGAAGTCGAGATTTTGACATTCCCGTTGAGTTTTGAGGAGCAAATTCGTAAAAAGCACTTTTAGTTTCACTTGGAAAGTTTTCATTGGAAGCATGAGGAGTAATTGGTAGGCCACTTATATCACTTGCATCTTTTATTAGTTCATTTGGCTCATTTGTATCGATTATCGATACTGAGCTAATGCCTGAGCTGTCGATGGTCGATCCTCGTTCGGAAGAAAAGGTTTCCTCTTGAATTTGATCTGAGAAAGTCACTGTTTTAGGTTCACTTTGGGCTCGGGACTCACTTTTCAATGCACTCGGTGGAGGTGGTTGGGTTGATGATGTGGTTGTTGTCGAGGCTGATGGTGGTGGCATCAATGATGGAGGCAGGTTAGTTGTTATTGTCGAGGCTTGAATCAGCCCTGTAGATGAAGAGGCAATCGTGTTTGATATATTAGGAACAGTGACTGGGATAATCAATGAAGATGAGCCCAAATCACCGGTGGAAACAGTGTTGAAAGACATTTGGTTGTTTGAATCGCCGATAAGCCCAGAATCTAAACTGGCAGTTTTTTGATAATTGGGCAGTGACATTGAGGTTGAATTACTTCCTGTTATCGATTCCATTAATCCAAGAGAACCTTGATCACGAGTATTGTCCATGTCAATTGAGGCTTCTGGTGTTAAGTAAGGAGGGGAAATTTCATCTTTTTCAGTTGATTGGTTATAATAATTATTCACATCTTGTAATGTATCTTCATAGTTATCATCTTCTGAAACAGTTTGCCAAATCATTGAATCAGTTTGAATTGAGTTTTTCCATTGTTCTTTATGGTCATTGTAATTGATGTAACGTTGATCATTTCCTACGATTCCGCTTGTATTGTTGATACTATTTTGTTGTTGATCATCGATGCTATTTGATTCTTGACTATAACGTCCAAAAATTGAACCTGATTCACTTGGTTCATAGGCATCGATACTTGGTTGCGATCTTAATATACTCGAGTCCAGGGAATCGCCTCGAGTATTTGTTGAACTGACTGCATTTACCATTCCACCAATCAAATTGGTAACTTTACTTGCTACAGAATTTACCATACTAAAAGAATTTCATATGAATAGAAACAATTAGAAATTAACAAAAAAATCAGCTTACTTAATTACTCACCTCGAACTCTGATTCTGATTCTGATTTCCTGAAATATCAGTAGTGATCATTGGAGCGGAAGCTGATGATTGTTGATACTGAGGCTCAGATGATTGAGATAAACTAGCATCGTTATCAATAGATTGATAATTTCCTTGAGTATCAATTGATGTCCAATTGTCTTGGTCATAACCTGGAAGATAAAAATAAATTCAATTACTATGAAAAGATTCAACTAACCACAATATTTTACCTTCATTTGTACATTGTAATTGTCCATTGTCATCATAATTCGCATCCATTGTGTCACTCCTGCTCATCCAATCTTCATTCATTTCTGGCTCTGTCCCGATACTCGTTGCATAACTTTCGTAACTGTCTTGTCGAGTTGTTTCTTGTTCGTAAAAATTGTACAGTTTATTTTTATCGAAAGGAGGAACTGATGGCATCTCAGGTAAAGATCGTTGAATTATTTGTGATAATTGTGGAAGCTTCTTGGGAATTGCTGATGTTGTCGTGATACTTGTTGGTCCAATTGATTGTGATAAACCTTGTTGATCTAATTGTTGACTATTATTTGATATCGGTTGGCTCATAGCCGATCCAATTTGACTTCCATGAGAAGATGTATCTTCATATTGCTCGAATCCTCCTTGACGTTCGAGGCTACGTTTTCTAGGGATCGGTGGTTGTTGTCGACGAGTTCGAACTGTTGTTGGTGGTGGGGCAGCCATAGAGGGTGAACCAAATTGATTGAAATTCGTGGGAGTTGATATGCTTTTAGTTTCGTCGGAAAATAATGAATCGTCAGGTAAATATTGTTGTTGATTCAAGTTACTATTTTCTTGGGTCATTTGACGGTTTAAAGGTATTCTGTTTGATCTGAGAAAAAGAGAGAAGTAAGAAATGTAATCGATAACAATTAAATTAAAAAAATCGTTCGCCAAAAATTATATTCTAACCTAAATAAGTTCTTAACGATGAAATGAAATTACGATTAATTAAAAGATAATCAAGAGAAGCGAAAATGGTTGATTAAATAAGATAACAATTGAATCTTAATAGAGTCACGATTTAACATTAACCACATGACATGAGCTAATTTTTATATTCAATTGATAAATTATCTTAAAACTTGATTGTTTGGTTTTTCGGGTTCAAACAAGTACCTAAACTACTCAATAGAGGACACTAGAGGCTACAACCTGAGACTCATTATTAATCTGGTTCATTGAAAGTGAGAGTTAATTGTGAATCAATTTTTGTGATTACGGAAGAGAAATTGTTACTATCAGATGATTTGATGGAGGAACGTTTCACTCAAGCATAAAGTTAATGGTGTCATAAAGTAAGATCGATAAAACGAAATAGTAAAACGTACTTTTCATTAAGATGAAGATTGGGTAGTTTTCGATGAGGTCGACTATTGTACGAAAGAGGTTCGTTCTCATCGCTAAGTTGTTTCTTAAATGGCCTGGGAAGTTTTCGAGAACCAGCCATTTGTGATGTCATTGATGATATTGATTCTCTGGTTGATGTTTGTTGAGCCGATGATGATGAACCGGGAACTGTTTGATATTGTTCAAATGAACCTTCATCGATATTTGATTTATTTGGCTGATCAGTAGATAATAATTGTACAGTTGATGATGAGAGGCCAGAATTGGTTGATTGTAGGTGACTGGATGAAGCCATTAATGTTGAAGTTGATGCTCCCATCATCTCCATTGATGTATTTCCACCACCACCCTCACCTCCTCCTCCCACTCCACCATCATAGTCTTTAGTCCATTTCGTCAAATTTGGATACCCACCGAACTGAGAGGCTCCCGCATTTGCATGATGACTACTGTAATTAGGATGTTGTTGTTGAATTGGATAACTAACATCGCTTGTGTAATCACTATCTTCTGAAAGACCTGCTATTGAAAGTAAACACACAAACAGGAATAACAATTAGTTTGAAGAAAGTTAATTAAAAAACAATAACACAAAACAATCGGTTTTTAGATGATTTCAATTTGAAAAGGTGATCAGATAAATTGATAGGAATATGAAAAACGTCAAAATAAAAGCTAATGAAAAAAAGGACCATTTTGTTAATTCACACTCATGGTAATTAGAGTGATGATCAGGTTAATTTAAGGTCAATAATTAGGATAATAATTGAACAAACTCTTCAAAAAAGTGTCAAAAACATTCCCATGGTAATAATTTTCACTCTGTCAGTTGATTGTTTAATCATCATAATCATCAATTCACTTTCTTATCTCATCACAATTGATTGGATTCAATGGTAAAACTATTGGACAATATCAATCAATAATCAACTATCAGCACCAATGAAGTTATAATTAGGTTTTTTTTTTCGTGGAGAAAAAAAGTTCAAAGTGATTATGTTGATTGTCCTTCGAGGTGATGAGTTGACTCTATTATTAAAATGGTCCGTAATTGTAATTAAGATGATGAAATTTAGCTGATAACTTATTGACGTAAATTTGATTGACTATTTTCGAGGTGTTGAGTTAATCATTTAATGTAATATACATGATAATGATTAAGGAGGTAAAATTGTTCACCCCAATCAAGCAATTAATCAATGGCCAATAAAATTGCTTATATGTAAGTAATTTGATGTCTATTAATTTGGTAAAGTTTATTATCGTTAATGTTATTGAGATTCAAATTGTAATCAGTTAATTGTAACTGATTATCATAACGGTGAAAGTTAAATTGGACAAATGATAGAGCTTAAAAAAGGATAATAATCAATAAGGAAATTGATCAAATATTAAGCAAAATAATTTAAATTGTTGTAACTCAATGATGTATTATTAATCACTTCTAATCATAAACATAAATTATGATAGTCAAATTGTGACAATCAGTTAATTTAGTTTGTTTTTCTTTTAACTTTGATGATCAACATCGATTCTTAATCATAATGATCATGATTAGTACTAACGAATGATCAACAATCAAGTTATTACGAAAATACGATTGGGAGAAAAAGAAAGTTAATTTTCTACGTCAACAATTAACGATAATTAACATTTGTCACCAACATTTTTCGCACTCATAGTAAATTAATTGAAATTTATCATTGCAATTATATTAACCAGATGCTGTCAAGTAAATCATCAAATTGTACATCATTTAAGGTGAGTAATTAGACAAGGTTAACATTAATTGTAATGGTAGTCATTAGTCAAATTACAATAATGATTAACAATTAAATAAGTTATTTACATGAAAACAATAACAACAATCAACATGAGCCACTTTTTAATTTAAGAAAAGTGAAACTTATTAAAGAATTGATTACTTTTAAATTGCTCGAAATTACAATTAAACTTTTTCTTCCACTAATAAGATGACCATTATAATCATTTTCCAATGCAACCATTAACCTGATTAAATGTCATCATCAACCAAAGGCTGATGAACATCTAATTTACCTGTTCAGTTCTGAAAGCAGGTCAAATGACATTCATCCTCATCCTTTTTTTGTTATTGTTGTTTGGCTATTATATTCCGACCTAATCGTCTTTTATTATTCTGGTTTGTTGTGTGTGTTATTTAATCAATAATAACGGTGACCTACTATCGACAATCAAGACTCGATGTAGTTACACTTTCGTTTTCCGTTATATCAAGAGAGAGAGAGAGAGAGAAATTGATAATCAAATTACAAGATTGTTGATATTCTTTGGTCAGTTTGTGGTCACATCAACTTATAAGATGATATTTCCTATTTACAATATGATTTACACCAAGTTCATTTTGTGTATTTACTTATAATTGAATGTCAGTTTAGTTGTTCAGCCAGATAATCAACCTAATTGTCTTTTGACAAACTTAAATTGATTTGGATTCATCACCATCATCATTAACTATTATCGCGTCATTTTGTTTGTAACTTTTAATCAAATTATATAGCTATTTGTTTACAGCCTTATTCTAGTCCTTTTAAATAGTAATTAGCTAATTATCATAGATTAATTAACTGATAACCTTATTCAATTTGTTTTCAATCTGATTAGTGGTTTGAAAAGTTTACTTTGATTAAATTGTTTCAAATTGATTGAGTGAAAGTGAGAAAAACTTATGCTAATTGTTACAATTAAATGAAGTTAGTCAATATTCAAGTCTAATTGTAATAAGAACCTAAGTAAACAATTGATTCAATTGTTCAACGTGGTACAAAAGTGCCCATGTAAACTGTTAAGGTCTCATTTGATTCTGAGGTGTTCATGAAATTGATATTAATTATCTGAATTTTCAGGTTTGTAATGGTATTAAAGGGCAATCCTCGATTATTGATTTCTGTTAATCATCTAATAGACTAATGATTATAAAAGTATTCTAACTCGAAATAAATTGAATGTAAAAGAATACAACTTACAGTAAAGTGAGTATTGTTGCATGGCCTTTGATGGATCTTGATGTTCGGGTTGCCAAGTGATTTTTCCTGGTCAATGTAATTATTAAGAAGGTCCAAATTACGACTGAATTCTGTGACATCTTCAATTGTATATTCTAAGAAAAGAGGAAAATAATACAGATGAGACGAGATTACACCATTGTAGATGCTAAAGTAAAGAAAAGTAAACATACCAAAAGGAGGTTCGAAATGAGCTTCAATTAGAATATAATTGCCGGTCGATGTATGAGTACCACACACTTCGCCTTCTTCGATAATAAATTCGGCATCCAGAGATAACCATTGGCCTTCATCCAGAGCCTGAACATATCATCAATACAAATACACAAATATTCATCCAATTAGAAGAGTTAAATTCTAAATATTCAAGATATTATAAAGACGAAAGAGATATTGACCTCTGTAGCCATTGGAATCACTGTCAGGGGCATCCAGTGGCATCCTAATAGCTTGTCCCATAGTAAACCCTTATTCCATAATTCAACTATCAAACCGGTGTCCATACGATTAGTTTCACTGAATAATTTGAAATATAAACAGTCCAAATGAATATCGAATTCAGGGTAAAAGAATAAACTGAAAAATGATCTTAACCGCACAATAATCGCCTCCAATACTTACAATAAAAAGTCCTGTTCCCAATTGGGATTGGAACCTTTGACTGTGATTGTTGTTGATTTAACATTTTGCAACTTGAGAGTAACATAAGTGCTGAATTGTGATGCTATTGAACGTGATTAAGGAGAATTGATCCAGATAATTAATAAGCGATATCACAATTGATTGTGATCCGATCCAATGGAAAGAACCAGGTGAAAACGTTCAATCGAAATAATAATAATGATGAGAGAGAAAGAGAAAAGAGAGAGAGAGGAAAGATGATGAGAGAAAGACATTGGGAAGAATAAGAGAAACAGAATGAAAATAGAAATAAAAAGAAAATGAGAAAATTGTTGGAAAGAGAATAGAAAAATAATACTCACCATCAGGTCCTATTAATCGTGCTCGTCGGACTATCGAGCGAAGGAAGATCATGGGGATCGATTAGTCGATGAAATAAAGAGTAAATTGGATTAGAAAGTGATTAGAATATCAATTTGGCTCAATGGGAAGGGTTGCATGTCTATTACTTGGTAATAGGTCACAGAGAGACAGAGAGAACTGAGAGAGTGGGTCCTATCGGTGTGAGTAAACTCCTTTACGAGGGATTCAAGAGTTAACTTGAATCTCCTTAAAGCTTTGGAGTTGATTAAAGGGAATCCAAGGGTTTCCCGAATAAATGGAATTACAATCAAATGGACTTACCGTTAACGCATAAAAGGGACATAACGGATCAAAATCTTGATAACATGAAATCAAATTGAATGTATTTAATTGAGAAACATTCAATCCAATAATAAAAAATGTTCTCCATTCAAACATTCAAAGGAAATTACATTTTTTATATTCTTTGTCTATTCTCACGAACCTTTTATTTCTCTGTAAATAACCATAACTGTTATTCGTACGGAGGCTGTTTCTCTTACATGGGATCGACATTTCCAATTGCAATTTGCGTTAATTGTTTGGTTGTTTCTCTCTATTTAATTGGATCATTTTTTCTCGTTCATTCAAATGAGTTAGATTTTCATTGTTTCTTTTGGGTCTTCGATCAATTTGTTGTTGTCATGAATTTCCTATGGAATTGTAATTGTTGCAAATGTTTCGAGTGAGAATTGAATGTTTATATTGATACTTTTGATTGTATTCTCTTTTTCTCAATCTAATTGGTTGCTATTTATTTCTTGGATTTAAGCTTTAACCTCAACATGATAAAGGTCACGTTTGCATTGGTTTTAAACTAAAAGCTCGCATTGATTAGTGAGTTTGTTGTTGTTTACCTGTCACTTGGAATCCACTCTAATCCACAAAGATCCGGTTTTGACCAGAGAGAGACTCAGGTCGATTTTGTTTTCTTTTCTTCTGACCTTGACCTGACCTCTTACTCTTGATACTATACATTTACTATCCATGGACGGACTATGATATATGTTATCATTTACAAAAAGTTATTCTTTTCACTTTCAAAAGGTAAAACGAATCAAAGTCAAAAGAAGAGACTAAAAACTTTCCTTTTATAATTTTGTTTCTTCTTTTATTCACAACATTTGCTTGAAATTAACAATTGAGATCGACAATTTAATCTAATCCAATTTACTCAATTTCTTGAGGTACAGAAAAAATCAAAATAATTTCAAAGAATCGATTGACTGGATTGAAATTCAATCAACAACAAATTGATTGTTGTCAATATGAAACAATATTTCTCTGTTTTATTAAATAAATTGCAGATCATCAAGATTTGAGAAAATTGATTCTCACCTGATTCGGATAAATGATTAGATATTTTAATCTGATTGTTGATTGAATTATTCCGCCAAGTATTTAAACTCCACCTTGTTATTAATGAAAAAGTGAAAAGTTTCATGAAAAAAGAAAGAGAATAAGAAAGGAAAATGGTTAAGCCTTTGGTCGAAAAAGAAAGAGATTTTCATAGTGACATCTATTGGATCCTAGAATTAATTTCTCCAAGTGTTAGAGAGTTAATTTCAAATCGATTTGTTTGTATATTCAATTAACTTAATTAATTGTGTTTTGTAAGTAATTGATTTTATTGCAAAAGTTATTCTGTTATTCTGTCTTCACTTTTTCACTCGTTAATCCATTAATCGAGTCTATTTTATGGCTAAACGATAGAAATGTTTCCAATTCCTTACTGTTTATACCATTAACATGCTTTCAACATCTGATGTCAAGTTGATTTTTGTTTCTTTGCTTTTTTTGTATTCATAGCTTGCGATAAATTAATTGATTATTGAATATTCAAAGTCTCAGTGATAAAATGTATTACTGTGACCAGAATCTTGTTCTGTGAAACTTTTATCGGATCAGTTAACCTGGAAAAAAGTTCCACAGACTTAACATTGATATTGTCTTTTTTTTCATCCGTTTCCATTCACATGTTGATCCTTAATCATGTTTTTATTTACTCTTTGGTAGTTGGAAATTGGAAATTCTCAAATCAACTATAACCATCTTATTCTGTTAATTGTCATCTAGTCATGGAGTCACCAACGTAATTATATTCTACTATTATTATTTCCAATTTCTTCTAATTGTTGATCTAATTATTAAGTTTTAGAAAGTTCGCCAATAAATCCATGGGAATTGATGTTCTATTTGATGAATGTGATAAAAGGCCGAGTTGTAAACATGGTAAATATTGAGAATTGTAACAATTTAATTTGAGTGAATTTCATTTAGTTGATGTTTTATCTTCGTTTCCAAGGTCCTGCTTTATTATTGTCCAAGAAGGTTGGTAAAGATACGAAAAACTTTTTCGCCTGTTCTGCTTTTCGAGATAACAAATGTCCTCTATTGAAAAATCCTCTCGATACCTCGAAATTTGTTGTTCAAAGGAAAAAGATTCGAAAAAAGTTGGTTAAAATTCTTCAATCTCGTAAAGAAGAGCGAGCTTTTTGTCGGCGATGCGAAGAGCTTTTTCTCTATCGTGATTATCATAAGCACCAAAGACACGATGTCATTGATAAGGTTCCACTCAAATTGATTAGAAGACCAACTTTATTACTTCAGGCGACTACCAAACGGAAAAAAGAGGCTCAATATTTTTTCGACAATGTGACAGTTGCTTTTATTGTCCAAACCTTTCAAAAGTTAGAGTTCGATAGGATCATTTGTATTGGATGTCCATCTATTCACGAACAGGTAAAAGTTTTTGTCTGCGAATCATAAACAAGAGAAACAACTTAAAGTAACTTTGTGTCTCTATTTACCTTTAGGTTCAAAGTAATAAACGAAGTTGGAACATGGAAAGTGTACTTTTAGATATTGACCCTCGTTATTGTCAATTCTATCTGAGGAAACATTTCATCATGTTCAATATGTTCAATGGATTTTTCTTTGAGGGTCGTGAAGGTGAATCTAAATTAGATCGTTTTCTTCGAGAATGTAAACCAGGAAAAGCTTGTATTGTGATAGATCCGCCGTTTGGAGGTTTAATTAAAGCTCTCAGTTTGACTTTGGACAAGATTCATGATCGATATCTTGAAGTACATGGTCATCCGGGAACCACAGGATCAACTTCTGTTAAATTACATCGTGATAGCTATCAAATGGCGGTCATGTTATTCTTACCCTATTTTAATGAACCAAAAGTGACTCAATACATGAAAAATTTAAAATTAACTGATTACAAAGTGCATTATACTAATCACCGAGCATTAAAGGACTGTCGGTGTCGCTCCTCCTTAGGGTCAATTGTCAGGATATTCACCAACATCCAAGGATATATTTTCACTCTGCCCACCGAAGAGGGTTACAAATACTGCGAAATATGCAAACGATACGTTTCAGAAAACAACAGGCACTGTGATGATTGTAATGCTTGCACCTCGAAAGATGGACGATCACCCAAACATTGTAATATTTGTGAAAAGTGTGTTAAAGATACTTGGACTCATTGTCCGGCCTGTAAAATATGTCGCCTTCCGGGTACCTGCAAACACCCACAGAAAAAAATGTCCAACAAAAAGTCATCGCTCTGAGAAAATGATATTTATTGATAATAAATGAAACGAGAAAGAAAAAACTATTTTATATCAATACAATAAATCATTTTACCTTTTGTTACCTTTAAGACTCAATAGTATTGATTATATTGTGAATTAGATTCTCACATCCAAGATAATTTACTTTTTCTATCAAATTAATTAGATTAATCAATTATTGATCAGTTCGCAATTGTTTCAACGATAATCGAAAGAGAGAAAGTGAGAAAGTTAATCATGTCAAACAATCAAATTGATTCAAGAGATTGTTACAAACAAACCAATTGCAATCAATCGGAATTGATTTAAGACCAGGGGAGAAATTGAGTGTGAAAAGGAACAATTTAAATTCAATTAATTTGGTTGTTGAAACGATTCAATTGGAGACTTGAGTGTTTACCTTTACTACTTAGCTGAGTTGACTCATCAGCTGCCACCGCCTCTTTTTGCTTGTTAACTTATTGTCAATTGGAAACATTTTCATTTAACATTTTAATTAAATCGATTCTCTTCCTATTCCTCTCTTGGTTCTTATGTTACTGTAACAATTATCTACTTAATATTCATCTTATATTCACTCCTGAAGGTCCGATAACATTGATCCTTAGGGTATCATCATCATCTTCATCTTCATCTTCATCGTGTCTGTAACTCAACATTCATTTGATTTGAAACCCAAAATGGCTAATGAGGAATACGAAAGGATCCTTTTGGTTAAAAGCGAGGTTTTGTTTTTCAAAATTCCTCCAAGAACAACTAATCGAGCTGTAAGGTGAGATTCGTTTTCGTAATCAACTCAAATTTCATCTTTTTTCTGATTTCCTTTTTCTCTCATCGTTTGTTTACATTTCAATCTCTCTCTTTCTTATAGAGCTTCAGATTGGAAATTAGATGCTCCTGATTGGACTTGTCGCATGAAATTGGTTGCGAAAGGTGACAAATGTATTCTCAAGGCTGAGGACAAGACCAGTGGTCAATTGTTTGCCAAATGTCCGGTGGATGGATACCCAGGGCCTGCAGTCGAACCGGTTTCCGATTCAAGTCGCTATTTTGTCATTCGAGTTCAGGATGACAACGGAAGATCGGCTTTTATTGGAATGGGTTTTGCGGACAGGGGAGATTCGTTTGATTTCAATGTTGCTCTTCAGGATCATTTCAAGTAAGAATTGGACCTTTTATAGACCAATTAATTTGCCTTCTTACCATTTGTAATCAATTGATGGAATCTGTTTAATCTATAGATTAATTTATGCTTCTAATTGCATTTCCATTTCTCTCTCTCTCTCTCTCTCTCTCTCTCTCTCTCTATTACTCCGATTTTCATGATTCTCTTTTTCTGTTATTCTTTTTAAATCCACTATCCACCCATTTCTTGATATGAATGATGTGTATAAATAGATTGGTTGAAAAGCGGAGTAAATTGGAGCAAGAAGATGCATCCGGAGATAATCAGCCCAAACTGGACTTGAAATTTAAAGAAGGAGAAACAATCAAAGTTAATCTGAATATCTCAGTATGTAAATTGATCCACTTTCACTTTCCAGGATTTACTTTTACTCTAATCTCGTAGAGATATTTTCTCTCAATCACCATAATTCTAATTGTTTTTGTTTTTCTCCTTTTCATTTCAATTGACCAGAAAAAATCAGGGTCTGCGTCTAAAGCTAAAAGTAAAGTGTCTTCTGGCCCAATAGGTATTCTACCTCCTCCTCCGGGTGGAATTAAGATTCCAGGCCCGCCGGGTAATAACAGCACCATCACTACAACCAACTCCAGTTCTAAACCAGTATTCAGTGAATCATCTGCTTCTGATTCTTTGCTTCAAACTTCCTCGAAAGAGGATAATGATCTGCTTGATGGTAAGAGCTTAAAGCGATAAAAAATTAGTAAAATTTTAGTGTAATGGTTGCGAAAAAAAAAGAAAAGTCACTTGAATGATTATCTTTTTTTTCTTCTCATTACTGTTCATTCAGATGCTCTCAATTTAATTTTCTCTTGTTCTTGTCACTTTCACAGATTTTGACAGTTTAAGTCTCTCTCGCTCATCGGCTCCATCAACTGTCCAACAGGACATCACAAAGATATTTGATTCTAACAGTAAACCAAACAACGATTTGTGGGCTGATTTTGAAGGAACCTCCGATACGAATACAGCCAATACCACGACTGGTGTTGACGTGAATCAACAGTCATCCAATAATTGGGCCAGTTTCTGATGAACACGACATAATAAGCGCACATTTGAAGGCAGAAACGCTTCTCAACTCACTTACAATGCAATAACTTCGATACTTATTATTACCTGTTCTCAATCACTTTCAGCTGAATTCAATCATTGATTAACTTTTTCTTTTTCTCTATTTGGTAACTTAATCTTTTATTCCAAAGTTTAGATGATGAAGATGAATCAATCCGAAGAATACATTACATTAATAGTAATCGATAATTAACCGGCAACACAATTGGATAAATTCTATAGATTGATAAGGAAAAACTAATATTCAACTCGTTGATTAACTAATCAACTTCTGTTACTCTTCTTCTTCTTAATTAACTATTATGATCTTCATGTTATTTTCAATCTTCTTCAAACATTCACATGTACTAATGTTGATTTAATACTAGTTCTTATTGAACGAAACAAATGATTTATTTTCTTGGGATTCCAATTGGATTAATATTTATTTTAACAAACAAAACCTGATTTAAAATTAACTATTTAATGGTTATATTATGTTTACAATTCTATTGACTTTAGAAAACAATATTTTCTGTTGATTAGAGTTTATCATAAACATTTGATCGTTACAAAAATCACTCTAATTGTGTAACAATCAACTTGTCAAATTATAACTATTGATTGTTAATATCTACTCAAAATCTACATTGTATGTAAATAATATGGATAAGGTTATGATTATCTTAGAACTGTAATTATGATAATAACAATGGCGATAAAATATAAACAATTTTATTAATTGAAAACATAATTTATCTCGAGCTTTGTAACAATTGATCAAAAGGTTAATCAAACAATCAGCTGATTATCACGAAAGACGATTGAAAATTAAAGAGAATGAAATTAGTTATGATTACCCAATATTACTGTTCATCTCGATTGGGGAAATGTAATCATTTAATTTTCTTTATAATTTACTTTTATTAAATTGTATAAGATTTAAGATTAATTAGATTTTCATTAATTGATTGAAGGATTATTATTACACCTCCCCTGAGGTTAATGTTTTATACATTCAGCATCAGACTGTCGTCTGAAGGCCCGAAGGCACTGGGCTAATCGCTCAGTTTACAAATTTTTTCTTTCAGTATAAATACGATTTTTTGAATATGAATTGTTTTTCTTGTCCTTTGTCCATTTTACATCTTTGATTTACATTTGTGGATATTTTATGATGGGAAAGGCAGCCAGTTCAGCATAAGCGGTGTCGACATTAGGGTTCTTCTCATGATGTTGTTTAGATATTTAGGTTTAAATAGAGAGTTTAAATATTAGAGTTTGAATATTAGAGTTTAAATATTTGGTCATTTAAGACATTTTAATCAGAATTTTTAGATAAAGCTATTTTAAATCAAGGAAAGAAAAAAGAGGGAAAATTAGTAAGATGTATTATGTGATACTAACCTTAGATCAGAGGTGGTTGTAGTAATTACGACGCAATAAGAGTCTCAGTTTTAAGAGTAACAAAAACAACCAAAGTAACTGTCGAACTATCATAATTTTGGCATCGATTTGATCCGTGCAATGAGATTAACAATAAAAGCACAAAATTAAATTTTTTGATTCACAGGTAGAGTTAATCGAATTAAAATTTAACAGGAGCACAAAAAAAGATGAAGGAGATTAAGGTTACTCTTTATTCCTGTAGGTGGCTCTTGATTCGGTTTTCTGGTTACCATGGAAACGAAATGTTTTGATTTGTTTTGTTTCATTTTAATTTTCATGTTAATTAACTAGATTCAAGTATTTAACTAGTATTCCGTTTCTTTCTTGTTACAATGATAACTAATCGATTAACTAAATTACTACGTCGTTCTATTCACCAAGAAGTTCGTCATGCTATCGTTTACATCGATGGTTCTTGTATTAATAATGGTCAACAAAATGCTCGAGCTGGAATTGGTATTTATTGGGGACCAGATGATGAGCGTAATTTAAGTATTCCTTTGAAAGGATCACAGACCAGTAGTAGAGCGGAATTGAATGCTGCCCTTTGGGCTATTAGACAAGCGAAAGAGCAAAATTTTTCATCTTTAACTCTAAGAACGGATAGTGAATATTTGGTAAACTCAACAACCAAATGGATTGACAAGTGGAAGGAAAATGGTTGGAAAGCTCAAAATGGATTAGGGATCAAGAATAAAGATGTTATTTTCGCTTTAATCAAAGCTCTAAAGACGATAAGTGTTACATTTGAAAAGATTCCCGGACACTCTGGAGATGCTGGAAACGATGGAGCCCATAAACTGGCCAAACAAGCGGCAACTTTAGCTTATCAAGAATGTAAATTACCAGTTTGACAATTTCTCTATTTTAAAATATTGATTATTGACAATGAATTAGTTTAATTGTTTTGACTAAAACACAATTACATGTCAAAATTAAATGATGCAATATACTAGATTCATTGTTTAGCATCGTTGTAAATTCAAGGGTTTTTTGGTTAAAAAACTTCTTCGAGTGATCATCAAGCTAAATCGATACAAATTCCCATGTAATTCAGTTGAACTGACAATCCGATTAGCGAACTTGATAAGATTTTCACAGACTTAATTTGTATTTTCATTTGTAATCAATGATTAAGATGATAAAAGTGCCTTACCTGCCCTCGAGATGGCGCATTGACTAAGGTGATTTTAAGGCGGAGCAAAGTGTAAGTTATATTGGTAATGAATTAAGGTCACGACCTCCTTAGACGTGGTGAAGCGTTTCTCAAGTCAAAACCTTTTTACTTTCCTTTTTACCTTTAGAGAGTAGTGATTTCAACACCATCTTCCTTACCTTTTCCTCTAGATTGTTTGATTAACAAAAGTGACCTGAGGATCGCCAATTTAACTTGAAATCTTTTTAACTTTTTTTACTTGTTGAATCTTCATCAGCCCCGAAATGGGTGCACCAAAAGATTTAACCGTGTGTAGCAACAATTCGGTAAAAATATCGGTTCCGTGGCAATCACCATCAGCAGCACTTCGTCAACAGTTATCAACTTCATCATCGTTGTACAATCATCTTCATCACTCAACCACCAACAATTCCAATTCTTCGTCTTCTCCTGCTACAAATGGACTTGTTATTCGTGGTTTAGGTTATTTGACCAAAAAGAAGGAGGAAATTCTGAGGGACATCAACATGACGGTTCCAAAAGGTACAATTTACGGCCTATTGGGACCCAGTGGATGTGGTAAAACAACTTTACTTCGTTGTGTCGTCGGTTGTCTTCGACCTCAATATGGACAAATCATGATTTTTGGTAAACAGCCAGGCCGTGAAACCGCTCAAATTCCTGGTACTGGTGTGGGCTATATGCCTCAAGAAAATACGCTCTATGAGAATATGACCATAGAAGAAGTTTTAATCTATTATGGTCGAGTATTTTTTCTATCGATTGAAGAGCTTTATGAAAGAATCAAAGGATTAATGGGAGTTCTTGAACTTCCGGATAAAGGTCGAATGATCAAAAAGCTCAGTGGGGGACAAAAGCGACGTGTTTCTTTCGCTATCGCTCTCATTCATCGACCAGGTCTCTTGATTCTAGATGAACCTACTTCAGGAGTCGATCCTTTATTGAGGGAAAAACTTTGGCAACATTTAATGTGCATTTCTAAAAATCAAGGAGCCACAATAATCATAACAACCCATTACATTGAAGAGGCTCGCAGGTCACATAATGTGGGCTTCATGAGACAAGGAAGACTTTTAATGCAAGAAGATCCTGATCGCCTTTTAGCAGATCGTGGGGTCGAAACACTGGAAGATGCTTTCCTCGATATCTGTAGGAATCAAGGTAGAATCAGTTGTGTTCCTGAACAAGAAAAGATAGAGTACAAGGGAAATGTTCCAACTGCAACTTTCGTCACCGATCCAGTCCTGATTAAGAAACGAATCCGCGAATGGTTTTTCATATTCTTTGGTGCCCTTTGGCGACATTTAGTCAGTGATATTCGAGAACCTTTGACTATTGGCTTTCAATACGTCATTCCAATTCTGTCCATGTTACTGTTTGCCCTTTGTATCGGTGGTCAACCATTTGACATTCCTCTTGGAATTGTGAACGAAGAAGTTGGATTTGAAGGATTTTTGGGTCGACAGTTTGTTGGCTCTTTGGATCCTCATCTTTTCAATGTTTTCAACTATTCGGATCTTAGTGAGGCAGCTGAAGCGGCCAAAGTTCGTGAAGTTTGGGGATATCTCCATATAAAAAGAGGATTCACTGAATCGCTATACGATGTTCTGTTTCCCGATAGTGAACCACTTAATTCATCAATCCAATCAAGTCATATCAACCTCCATGCCGATCTAACAGATCGAGTAATCACAACTACGATGCATCGCTATTTAGATGAGTCTTTTATCAGTTTTGTGCAACAGGTTATTAAAGATTACAACAAAGAGGATCCTGATGTCCGAATGCCACAATTTATCGCCAATCTTCCAATCAAAATGGGATCACCGATCTATGGACGATTAGAGAAGAAAAGTTATCGTGGTTATCGTGATTTCATGTTGCCAGGATTAATTGTCAACATAACTTATGCCATTGCCTATTCTCTTACAGCACTTAATCTAATTAATGAGCGTAAAAATCAAACTTTCGAGAGAAATTATGTCGCTGGTGTTAAACCTTCGCAAATGTTATTAGCGTTCGCCCTAAGTCGTGTCATCATGATGTCCCTTTATCTCTTCTTGATCATTTATCTTCCCATCGCTGTCTTCAGTATGCCAGTCGATTGTATTCATATTCTTCATTCACTTCCACTTTTGATGCTACTCAATATCTCTGGAATGACCTATGGAATGGTCGTGTCCGCTCTCTGTGATTCAATTGAACAATGTGCCGTTTTCTCGGCTGCCACTTTATTTATAATTCTTTTCATGAGTGGAACAATTTGGCCTATGGAAGCAATTCCAGCTTATTTCCGTTGGCTGTGTGAATACGCGCCGACAACGGCGGCCAATGAAGCCCTGCGTGATATTTGGTATAAAGATTGGAGTATTTTCTCACCGCGAGTGGCCACCGCTCACGGAATTACACTTGTCTGGACATTTGTTTTCTTTTTAATTGGTTTAAGATTTTTTAGACTAAGCAAATAATTAACTTTCAATTTTTACAAACCATTTTCTTGTAAATCATCATCAATCTAACCACCATCGATAATTTCATCAATCACCATCATTTTTATCACTTTTATATTTTAATACTTTTTGTAAAACCCAAATGCCAAAGAAAACCTTTTTTTGCATATTCATTGAGCGCAAAAAAATGATCAACAATCAACACAAACACACAAACACGTATAAAGAAATTAAAATATGTATTTTTTATATTTATGATTTTAAAATCAAGAAAATAGATTAAAAAAGTTGAGAATTAATCAGTTTTGAAATTAAAAAATATAAACGAAACACATTAACCGACTTATCAAGATAATTTTTTTCTTCTTTAATTTCGCCGTTAATTTTCAATTGTGATAACAATTTAAAACATTTCCGTCCAAATTAAAGCTAATAACTCGTTGTGATGATGAAATAACGGGATTTTCATACAAAATGATTGAAGTAAAGGTGAGCAACTCGATAGCGAAAGTCCGGTTTCAAGTAATTCGGACATGATTAATATCGTCATCATCATTCACTTTTAAGTGAAAGTGAAAATCATTCACGGAAATTGGACTTGAATAACATAAATTGTTAAATAATCTTCATGATTGAATACAATCATTTGTCCTTATGTTACTGATTAATATTATAATTGCTGTGATAACTGTTGATTGTTGTGATTGTTGTTTTTGGTAAATCCAATTTGATAGATGAAGCTGAAAAAAACAAGGCTAACATTTGATTGAAAAGCTATCATTAAACACTATTGAATTTATAACCTGTTAACATAATACTAATAGTGAAAGTAATGGTGGTTAATTATTTAATGGTAAATACAATTGGCGAGGTAACAATCAACAATCAACAATCAATAAAATCAACACAATAGAGTTAAAGTAAACCAGAAGTAAATAAAAAAAGTTAACATCAAAAAAAGGGTAAAAATCAAGACAATTGTCTCTTTATTTATGTTATTTGGTTACAGTTCAATTTTAATTGTGATTAAATAATAACAATAGACAAGGTAAATCAACAGAAACAATAATAACTTTTGTTTAATTGAAGATCCAAGGTGATTAATTAATAGCCATTAGTGATTAAGCTTAAAGGAAGGTGAAGTTTAACTTTTCAGCTTCAATTGATTCCCTGTTGTTTAAATGTCTACCCTTCATTATGTTTTATTGTCTTTCAATGTATCGATAGCTAATCCAGTTAACTGGATTTTTTGAATAAAGTTTAATGAATAAATTGTTCCCAACATTTTAATTGATTGCACAAAAGATTAACAAAATCAGAATAAATTTTCCAAGTTACTGTTAAAGTTGCACTTTTTGCTTCATTAATCTAATTAGTTTTTCTCACAATTATTGATTAAGAATTAATATCAGTTTTATGATTTAATTAATTAAAATTTCAACCAAACTGCTTAATTGTTATTGCGAAATAAGGTAGTGCAACTGAAAATTGACACATAACTTTAATTATTGATTATTAATCAATCAGTTTGTTTTAATCATTTAAATTTTCACCAACGATAGAACAGTTTATGAGCATTCTAATGATATTAAATAATATTAAATCCGATAATTAACATAAAATTAACAACTATTTTAAGACTAATTGTTGAAAATTAATGAAACCTTAATGCTCCCTCTATGGAGAAAACAATGTAAAGCGCTTCATAGGCAACCATTATAAAAAGAAAAAATGATTTTTAATTTACTGATTATTTCTTCAAATTGAAATTATTAGAAAACTGATCAAGTTAATTACAATTTTTACATACCACCAGGTAGATGAAATTTCCATCTTTAATTTTCGATTTAAAAAATTTAAAAAAAAATTTTCCTAAATTTAAATTGAACAAAACTCCGACGTACATTACGAACTTAACAATTAAAGTCCGTAAGAATTAATTTAACTGATAATAATCGAATTTTTTCTTAATTACGATTTTTTTGGTAGCATCAGAATTCTCATAATTTTCGCTATTAATTATATCAATTTCAATGATTAAAATTCACTGGCTGATGAATAATCAACATTTAAAATTGTGTGTCAATTTTCAGTTGCACTATAGTAACAATTAAAGTGACGATGTATCGAAATTTATAATTACCATCGATTCTCAAGATGAGAGAATGATTGATTTTAATGAGAAAAGCGCCATCTAGGGTTTACATTTAAATTTCATTTCGAAATTTTAATAAATTGACCTTAGTGGACATTAGATTTAATTGATAACAACTAGTTGACTGAACCACAATTAGTCGATTTTCGAGCTGATCGACAAACCTAATCAACTTTTTGGCGAAACCCAATCAAAGTTATTATCATTTGATTGACCTTTCTGACCTGGATATCAATCCAATTTAAGTAATTATCAACTTGAAATCGAAAAGTTAATCTCTATGATCTTACAATAAACTGGAAGCAATTGATTTTGATTGAACAATTAGTATTTTAAAAAATCACAATCAAAACAATTCGATGATTTTTTTAGCTGGTGGTTTAATTGTCGTTTGTTAATCTTTTGATTTAAAGTAAAACTTGACAATTTTTTCCAACTCGAATTACCTGATTTTTTATTCACGTGGCTTTCTCAATAAATCTCGGCTTCTAATCAGTAGATTGTAATTTAAATTATCATTAAAATTTAGAGGCACTGATCAGGATTAATCAGGGAATTGTTAACCACAATCGAAAACATAATATCAAATATATAGTAAACTATTTAATCTCTGAACTAAACTTAAGCCACGAGCAAGTACTTAATACTTATTATAATATCAATCCAATTGGTTATAGTTTAATCCAAGACAAATCAATGTTTGCAATCATTTTAATCCAGTTGGTGTCATTTACAATCATAATAATATTTGTCGATGGTTGTAACAATAATCAATGATGATAATCATTAAATTTAACTTGATTTACTTCTCATGTCAATCCAATCAATTAAAAGCAATCGTATCACTGACCAAGCAAATAAATACACATCAAAACAATCAAACAATTAAATTCATGGGAAGAAACCGAAAAATGAATTACAGCAATTTAAGATGGAGCAAGAATCAATTACTAATGGTAAATTTCGTATTGAATACTTCGAGAATTCATCATTTCTAAAGTTACAATTATGTCCAAAACTCTTGATACTAACCAATTGAATTGCGTCTTTTTTCATTGTTTTTATTTTTCTATTCAAAGCAAAGAAACCGTTTCGATTGTTATTAGTACCATTATGAAATTGTACCGCAAGTAATTGAGGCCAATTGGTCAGGTTTTTTGCTTCAACTCGAAGAAGTAAAGACGCTCAACATAAAAACCATTCTATCGTCTAGTGTAGCTCAGTTTTTGGCATTTGTTATCTTGAAGATCAAGCTTTGTAACATTAATCGATTGGCTCTTTCATCAATTGAACGAATTACAGGGAATTCCGCCAAGTCATGTTGACCTTGACGATAATCTGAAGGTCATTGTTGACTCAAAATAGTGACCAAAAACTAAACTTTAACACGAAGTTATAAGTTCGAAAGTACGAAATTACAGAAATACACTGGACTTACCTGATGAAATTTTCGAATTTTATTTTCGAGTTCGATCATAAAATGACCTTGATATTCAGATATTTTCTCATAACGTGAATATTTATCTAAATACTTGAGAGGAAAAAAGTTATCTAAAAGAAACTTGGTGAAATACACTGAATATGAATTTTATTAATTGATTGTTGAATTTTTTCAAGATTTTCAACAATTAACAGTCTATGTTAATCCATTTTGTTTAGATCTACATTTAAGCTGATATTTAAATCTCCTGGGAACTGATGTTTTTTTAATTGATTCAGTTATCAGGATTAACAGTTATTAAAAATTGATATTGGTTATGTATAAATTGTCACGAGGATTAAAAGTTGTTTTAAATTACCCGGAAACGCAGTCAAACTCATTAAACTTGCAAACAAACAATTTAAATTAAATCACAGTGAATATAAAGTTTACAAACCTAATAATAATAATAAAACATACGAAGTAAATTGCAACAATTTATGCAAAGTGATTGATAAGTAGTAACAAAAGTTTGAATGGCGATGAAAAATTGTACGAGAATTTATTTTCTAAAGTAACCTAATCACTAGTGCGTCGATTTTGCTGCTCCAATTGATTTTGGAAAATTATTATTATTGTTACAACTTGTTAACTGGTCATAGAAAATAAGTGAAAGTAAAACGCGTGCCAAGGTTGCAACACGCGGTCTCAAACACGCAATGTGATATTCAACAAAAACATTGTTATGAAAACCAAAAAATGTGATATCCACTTGAAGATGTGAGCCAAACTATAATATCAATAATAAGTCACGAGGTTTTGTGGTCTTCTTATCATCTTTATCCTCATCCTAATCTCCATCCTTGAGATTCTCATGGTAATAGATACATTTGTCTCTCTCAAGATCATTTTCCAATCAATTTAATCTTGATTACCAATGATGAGAGAATTGGTAAATTGTTACAATTGAGTATTTTGGTTGACCAAATAATTGTTGAATAATGATTCTTGCCAAGGGTTGATTAAGCAATTAACCATTAATTTTACATCATTAATAACAAACCTTTTTGTCCAAGTTTAGATACATTATTGTTTCTAATTAGGTAACAATAAGGAAACAATCAAATTGATTGTGTATTCAACTAATTAACTAACAGCTTTTTGCCAAGAAAAAACTGAATTCAATAAAATTAATTACTTTCATAAACTACTTTATATTGTTGCATGATGATTAAATTGTTTAATGTTAATCGAAAAGTTTTGCAAGTGAAATTAATTATTAATCAACAATTGATTTTGATCACATTAACCTAAATCTATTGTTTGTAAATAGAGATTGAGAAATAAAAAACTTATCTAACAATAAGATATGATAATTTTTATATTAGTTGGACATTCGCAAGCAACAATTAAGGGCAATGTGATCGCAACTCTTTCATTGAAATCAACAGCAATTAAATGATTGTTGATGATTAGAATCAAATAAAGGTAAATGACATATTAGAGGAAATGATTACAATGATGATTATGATGACAAGGATGATGACGATCATCATTTCCATCATCTCTGTTGGGAAAAAAGTTGATCAACATTATATAAGAAATGAAATAAATGTTGTGTTACTTTTTCGTGGTTCCTTTTTGAGACTGATGATGCCTCGTGTTTGCCACGCGTTGAGTTTTCATCTTTTCTTAAGGATTCAACATATTCTTGGGATGAAGATGATGATGATGAGGATGATGATGATGGAGGAGGAGGAGGATGGAGATACAGTTGCCCATCAAAGCGGAAACAAGCCTTTAACAAATCATCATCATCAACATTATGCATCAATTTTCAACATCAATTATCATCATTTTCATTATACTTAATCATTATTTTTTTACCAATCATAATTGTCACCCAAATCATTAGTTCATTGTTTTGTGAACGTGTGTTGATCAACAAATGATTTAAATCATTATTACAATCAATTAGCAACGTAAATCAATCAACAATCAATTGTGGTTGACATAAATATACTGTTAACATATAATTGTTTGCGATTAAGTTTCAACAATTACTTCAACTCAATGAATTTAAATGATACACTAATTTTGTATCCATCCAATAATTCAATATTCGATAATTAATAATTTGTTAATTCAAAACAATCAATTTTTTCTTTTGGTTCATAATTGATTGTTCATGTAAATTGATAGTGTAATAAGATTTAAACTTAATCTGTGTTTCTAGTATTGGATTAGCCACTTGAGCAATCAAGTTGACCAATGGTCAGCACAATTTAAATATTTGTGAGTAAGTTGTGATTCAAATTGCTATTTTATTTTGTTAAGTTGGTCACTTTATTATTATAGATTATCTGTTGATTCATAATTTGGATAAACAGTATTTACATTTTGAGTGACCACAGGTTATTGTTATTGTTACTTTTTCATTGAATTATAATAATAATAGACTAGGAAACAATAATAAACAATAATAATGTTTTCTGAGATCAGCAGGTTGATAAAAACACTGATAATTAATTTGAGTTGCTACAAGCTAATAAATATTACAATCATTTGGATAATTTTAAGTTTTTTTCTTTGTTTTGATTGCAAAGGTGATTAGTTAATTGCAGAAACGATTAGAATCATATTCCTCCTTCATATTTAGCTGAGTAATAAGGATGATGAAGGTGATGGTGGTGATTATGGTGATGATGATGAAGTTGATGTTGGTGTGGGTGTGGATGAGGATGAGGATGATGGTGATGAAGGTGAGTATTATTAGGAGGTAAGTGTGGAATCGGATTAGATGAAGGTTGGACTGGAACTGCTATTTCAGGTTCTAATTCTTGTAACTGTGATGAATTAGCTGAAAATTGAGCTAAAAGACTGGCGAAATTACGGAGATTAGGATTAACACCAAGATTTTCCCAATTAATCCAATTTAATCGAGCAGTTAAGTCTAAATTTATAATAAAAAATTAGAAAAGAATTAATAAAAATCAGAAACTCAGTTTACTTAGATAAACTCTATGTTAACCTGAATACCCTTGAATCAATATCTACTCTCATCCTATAAAACATTTTACTTGGATGATTCAATATAGGCTAAGACTAAATATTTATCGAAACTCGAGATTATAAAATCAGTTTATCTAATACAATATAGTGAACATTTTACTAATTCAATTTTATTCCTTCAAGTGAATTATCAATTAAATGACGTGTTAATTATTTCTAGTTAGATGTTGGAATTTAATTCTGAAAATCGGACAAATTCGCATTTTTTCAAACTAATTCGATTCGTAATTCCTGAAAAATATATCGAGCTAAGTGATTTCTTCGCAATTGCAATTGAGCTTCGCATTCGAAATATTTAATTTTATCAAATGAACTCACCGCTTGTTTTCCAGCCTTCGGTGTTTTCTTTTCGAACTTGACCATCCAGACATTTTTCGAAATAAGTAATAGTATCATGTTCTGAAGATAATATCTCTCTTAGAAGTGCAATGTAAGCGATTGCTAATCGAAGAGTATCAATTTTAGATAATCTGTTAGAAGAAAAGATAATTACGATTTGAGAGTAATAATTAAATGTATTGATAGATTATTGATTTTTACCTTTTTTCGAAAGGAAATGTTGGCACGTGAATTCTTAATTCTTCGAATCCAGAGTTAATTGAGATCATCCTTCTTCGTTCACGGACGTTTGCAGCTCGACGCTCGACTTTAGGTATTATGTTCAGTGAATAGTCAGTTGAACATTGACCGATCATTTCGATGTCGCCATTTTCATAACAATTAGTGGCGTTGTTTGTAGAGTTGTTATTATCCGATTCTGTTATTTAAATGGAAATTAATTGTCATTACAATTGCTCGATTAATTTGTTGTTCAATTAGCCTTACCATTATAAAGAGGAACTAAGTAAGTTGATTGAACGTTTGTGTTTAAATTTTCACTATAATTAGTAAATTGTTGATTATTGGAATGATTAACAAGTGAATATGATTTCAACTGTTGTTGGTGATTAAGATGATCAGGTGAACAGTTCAATTGTTGCAATTGTTGTTGATGTTGATGAAGAATTGAACAAGATATTGATCCTAAATCAGTGATATCCTTTGTTGGGCTTGGAGTACTTAAGTTACTTGAATTATCCGAGAAATGAACTTGCTGATTGTTGTTGATTAAATTTGATTGTATCGATGTCGTTGTTGTAACTATCGTTGCTGATGGTTCAATGATTGTCGTAACATTTGTAATTGTTGATAAAACTTGATTGTTATCAGTTGTATTATCAATATCACTTTTATTATTATCGCAATTATTACTTATGTTATTATTATGAGTATAATTTAATTCCAGTTTGTTGTTGTTATTTATATTTGATTGTTGTGGATTATGTTGATTCTGGTGCTGTGATTGTGATTGTTGATGGACTGATGATTGAATTTGTTGGGACGATGACGGGTTAACTGAATTTGACAAACTATTAATAGGAAAAGAATAAGAATTGGAGGTAAAAGAATTCGAACAACAAGGAGAAGATGAAGATGAAGACGATGATGAGGATGATGAAGATAAAGAAGACATTTTGCCTGCTGATGACATTTACTAATAAAATCTCAATTCTTATGGCCAGAAGGAATATAACAGAGACAGCAAACTGGGAGGGAGTCAGTTTCAGAAGGAGGGAAATGATGAGGATGATGACGAAAAGATGATGAGGATGAAGAAAGTTGAGATTAAATTAAAAAATAATTCAACTGAAACAGGGGAAAATCTCAATCAGAGATCTGGAATCGTGATGATTAAAGTTCCAACTGTTATTATCTAAGAATTATAATGTTGATTTTTTGCTCATCGAAACTCAGAATCATCTTGAAGTTTGTTGTTCATGGAATTATCTTCATTTGGTTAGATGAAGTCTATTTGGTTAAAAAAAGTGAAAATCAAAAGGAAGATAATCTAAGAGAAAAAGGAAAACTGGATGAGGATGAAAAGGAGATGAAATCAAGTGAACTCACCTCTTCCCTGTTGGAATCATTTCCAGCATCAGCATCATTATTGTCAATTGAAACTCTTGTATGGTTATGACAGTTTCTTGATTACACAAACAATTCATACATTTTATGATAATGGCCTTTGCTTGTCAGTTACAGAGAGCTTGAGGATGACAACGGGAGAGAGAGAGAGAGAGAGAGAAATGATAATATTACAATAGCTTCAACTCCCAGTTAAATCTATTTACAAAAAGTCTGTAAAAGGAGGAGCCAATATCGTGATTCTGTCCAATCACAAGCGATTCTTTGAGCTAAGAACCATTTATATCAACTTGAGGTTATGTTTGTTTATAAGTTTCACTTAATAGTTAATAAATTGTTGTATAATTACATTAATTCATCTATTTATGTAAAAACATTTAGTATTAATAGAATTTTTGAATATTGTAAAGGGTGAATGATTTTATAGTGATTATTTTTTATTATCTACATTCAGAGTAAAATTCACAAGGAAATTTGCATAAAACCGTAGTTCATTTACCAAGAAGCTTCAGCATCATGTGATTCTGAGTTGATCCTTTCTCTAATTAGATTAACATTTAACTAATACCCATAGATTGGAACAATTTAGTGATGTTGAAAAATAAATCAGTAGCTTCTTGGGTAGTAAAAGTTTCTCCTTGGTTCATTAAATAAAGAATCTTGGTTAAAATTAAGGTACATTTTCTCGCATTGACCGGTGTTTCATTGAAACTCCTCGCATCTTGAAGAGCCGATGTTTTTGTTACTTTGGCAAAAACGTTACCAAATCTTCATCGTCTTTTTATTTCTTTCATATTCGCTTGATAAATTCCAGTGGATTAATAATAAGCTTCATCTAGAGATTAACAAGAGTGATTCAAAGATAAAGTTAATCTTGTATCGATGATCAGTTGAAATCTAAATAAAAGAGGATAAATACTTTCGAGGAGGTTGAGTTAATGTCGTTAATGAAGATGAAGAAGATTATAATGATACTGAGAAGAAAGAGGATAAGGATAGAAGTACTATCATCTTCCTCTCTTCTTGGGCTCTCTCTTTCTCTTTTAGGGTTTTCAAGACCATCTACCTGTGTCCGTCTTGAGAGAGTTTAGATGAACAACAGCGATTGAAAAGTTCGATAAAAAGTCACAAGTGAAGTTATTGTTTCAAATTGAATGTTGTGCTTAACCATTGATGTTGTTTCCCAATAATTTCTAAGTGCCAATAAATTACAATATTTTTGTTAACTGTACAATTAATTTCGATCATGATTTTAAAACTTCATAGGAGAAACAAGTGCTCTTCACAAAGTGAATCATCGCCTTTGTCACCTTTGCCTTCATCCCCGTCACCGTCTTCATATTATTGTCCATCATCTTCATCTTCATGTTTATTCACCAACTTCAAAATGCCATCAATCTTTTCATATTATTTCAACTATTTAATAATTTCATCATTAATTATTTTATTTTCATCGCTGGTTCATGGAGCCGATTCAAGTGCTCGACCTTTTTACAACATTGCCCACATGGTGAATTCAATCAAAGAGATCAACACGTATCTTTCTCGTGGTGCCAATGCAATCGAAGCTGATGTCTCCTTCTCGTTGAGCGGATCAGCTCTCTACACTTTCCATGGTTATCCTTGTGATTGTTTCCGCCATTGTACCGAAAGAGAGGATATTGAGACATATTTGGCCCATGTTCGAGAAATTACAAAACCAGGTAAGATATTTTCTCTTCTTTCATTCTTTCCTCTCCTGTTGACACTTTTATTTATCGCTGAGAAATTTTGAAAACTGTCCAGTAATCGTCGTCTTTTGTTGGGTCTCAAAGTTTCCGAATTAATAACAATCAAATTCTCGTTTAAATCTCGATAGTGAAACCACCTGTTGATCAAAATTAGTTAAAAATTAGTGGATTAATCACTTTCTCTTTCTCTAAACAGAAAATGCAAATTACAAGAAAGATTTCGCTCTTCTCTTTCTCGACTTGAAGATTTCCACTTTACCTGCGTCAGTTAAAGCGAATGCTGGAAGTGATTTGGCACAAAAAGTGATTGCAAATTTATTTGAATTTGGATCAACCACTTCAAAGATCAAATTACTTTTATCGATTGGCCATGTTTATGATTACGATTTTGTCTTAGGTTTTCAAAATGAACTCGAGAGCAATGGTCTAGAGCATCTGAATAAGAAAATCGGTTGGGATGTCGGAATGAATGACCGAGTCGAAGATGTGATCGGGATGTGGCAAAGACTCGAAATCACCAACAACATTTGGTTGGGTGATGGATTTTCCAATTGCATATCTCCTTTTTATAATCTCGGTCGATTAACTCAGGTCATTACAAAACGTGACACAAGAAGCGGGATGATCCCCGACCCAGTTATCGATAAAGTTTATCATTGGACAATTGATCTGCATCATAATCTAAGAGCTTCTCTCAAGTAAGTTGGAAATTTTTGCTTTTATTATCGAAATATCAGCAACTTGCTAATCAATTTCTTTTATTGTTTAATCAAAATTAGATTTGGTGTCGATGGAATTATCACCAATCATCCAGAGAGATTGTTTAAAGTGTTAAAGGAACCAAGTTTTCGATTCAGGTACAGATTAGCGACAACGGAAGACGATCCATGGGAACGAATTCAGTCGGACCCGGAAGAGAAACCAGCGCCAAGTGCCAATGTAATGCCACCTGTTAGTCTGAGAGTAGTGACCAGTGCGGCCGATATGTTCACTTCCTTCACCAAGTATTTAAGAGATTTCGTTTTCTTGAGATTACCGGTTTACGATGATGATTTTTCGATTTAGTAAAATTCAATCGCCACTTTATGGACTTTGTCTTTTCCTCAATTTCTTCAAATATGCGAATGCGAATTCGCTAGAGAAAAGTACTTTTTTAATTAATATAATGATGTAAGTTTATTTATCTCTTGGAACTTTTTGATTTTGTTGACAATTGATTGATATGAAATTGATTACTGGACAAGAATCAATTCGATTCAATAAAACAATTTCACTTTAATTTAAATCCGAGACAATAATTTATTCTTAATTATGATTGTTGCTTTCCAATAATTAATTGATTACACTTGTCACTTTATCCATTCAACGTAATTTTCCAAACGCTGTCACAGGGAATCTTAATTGTCTATTAACTTTGTTGAGACGACGGAAAAAATTCAACGTTGATGAATTATAAGTATATTTATATAATAATAATAATTTTTAAAAAAGGTTTTGCTCCGTATAAAGTGAGAGAGGCTTTAATTTAGGCAATTATGGAAACTATAAAATTGGAAAGATCCAAGTTGTTTGATCTGATTGATAATTTCATAGTAACACCATCACTAGCAGAGGTTGTTACAGCTAATTTGGCTCTCGCCAAGATTTCGTCATCTCCGTGAAATACACCAGATAGATATAGAGAATGGGACAACTTTCCTTCAGGAACGACGTCTGATCGGTCACAAGGAGCCATGCCCATGAAGCGAACGATATTTGTTATTGCTTCACCGATTGTTTTAAATGATAGAAGAACAAAAGTCTCTTCAACTTCGGCGTTTGGTCCCAACTCTTCCCATGCTGAAGCAAAATTGGATTTAATTGTTCCTTGTATGTAATCTGATATATAAACTTCAACATCTTCCAATGCGTACTCATCATCATACCTGAAGAGAGAAGACAAAAACAGTTAATCCAAGGAAAGTAAACAAACATATGAGTAAACATCATACTAACCCAACTTCATCATCTGAAACTTTTCCAGTATCCGGATCACAATCTTTTACGATGTATTTCAATAAAAGATTTTCAAATGTTCCAGTGTAAGAAGTAACATCTTCGGCCACAAGTTCCACACATGTGTAAGTTACTCCGGGCACATCATATTCGAGTCTTGGACATTCAATTATGCAAACTTTCCTGTATCCCTCAGGAACCTGGGAAGAATAGGATAGATTTTCAAGTTATTATTATGATTATGTTGTAAAATTGAACGGAAATGAAAAAAGATTGACTGAATCTCACCTGCATTGAAACTCGAACATTTTCGAGAACTTGATCGTTGAGAGTGTTGATACAATCAAATTGAAATACAATATGTCGTTTGAAAACATGTTTGATACACTTGACAACATATTCCGTCTCTGACTCGGTCAATTCAATAGGTTGCGAGGATTTGGTTAGTGGTCCTAATTTCAACTCTTCTAACTCGGGGAAAAATGTTAATAACTCCTCGTATTTAGCTCGTCGTGTTTCACCAGTTTCAACTGAAGCTAATTTCTGATTTTGATTAGCGTCAGCTGATGGTTTCACTCCATTCACTTGTGGTTTTTTAATTATCTCTTCGATGGGCTGTGGATGTGTGGCAAGTGGAACCGTTCTTATATCGAATGGACTTTCTTTCGGATTGGAGACATATTGCAGAAGAGCTTTTTCAAGGTCTACAATTGATACTTGTATTGGGTTTAAGATGAATTGATTATACAAAGATTTTTGATTTGTCATCAAGATACCAAGATAGAATACTGCTCGATCTCTCACTTCGTCGTCTGTCTCCAGTAAAGATCGGCGTAACAGAACTAATATATCAGGTAACAAGCCTTCACATTGAGCACCAAACTTAGCAAGTGAACTAACAGCAGCGGCCTGAATGGGAGCAGATTCCAATATCAATCTGTTGTAAATATATCTAATGTATCGGGATGGTCGTGTAGTCTTGGGTCCCTCTTTGCCAAGAAGATGAAGGATTCTGATCATTAGGTCAGCATGTTCACAGTCTTCGATGAATTCACACAGATGAGCTAAACCAGCTTCTTTTGCATCGGGATTATCTAAGATGATGTTGAGAATAGTGTCCACAATTGCTTTCTTAAATTCACTTCCACCGTCTTCTCTCAACATGGTCTCCAAGAAATTCATCATAACTGAATGTTTACGAGGGAACTTTTGACACAACTTTCGGGTTGCAGTGATGACTACGATTTTAAATTCGTCGGAAATTTCATTCATAAATGTAGAAATTTGCTTAATAAGACGATCGACAGAGCCTTCTTGTCCTGTTTTGAGTAACGTTGTAATCGCTAAGGTAGCAATTGATCGGTTGGGATCGGTTATCAGGTTTTCCAATTCAACATTACACAATTCGACATCTTTCGGTTTGACCATAGCGATTTGATTAAGGGTTCTGACAGCCTCAAATTTGCCCGCTGGTCTAAGGGAAGGCATAGTTAACTGCATAAGCCCAGCAGCAACCAATGTGTCTACTGGTGCTATACACCCAGCTTTTAAAAACAGCTTCAAAGCTTCATACATGACCATATCAGATGAATGGTCGAAATATTTGCTAATCAACTTAAGATATTGAAAGTTAGTTGTATCTTGGGAGAAAAGGTGAGCTGCCATTCGAAGCATCATGATGAGGGCATAGGGTGATTTTAGCCCGGTCTGAGAAAACTTCGCCAGAAACTTGGAGACAGCTAAACGATCATTTTTCTTAATATGATAAAGTAATCCCAGAGCATGATACTGGACCATAACATTATTAGAATTGACCGATTCCTGGGCCTCATTAACCCATCTCTTAACACCTTCCGGAATGTTCTTAGCCATATGATAAGCTGATACTAATGCTGCAGAAGCTACTGCTGGATTCTTATCAACTATTGCTTGTTTCATGTATCGCTCAATGCCCTGGGTTTAAAAAAGAAAAGCAATCATTTAGAAAACGGAATAACAATTAAGTAAACAAAAATATAACAAACCTGGAAAGTGGTACCATCAGTGATATGACAAAGAGCTCGTAGAGCTTGAGGTCGACAAAGGTCATCCTTGGCATTCATATCGGTGGTTAAACTAGATGTGACAACGTAAACATTTTCAGCTATTTTCGATAGCTCTTTTATACCAATGTAAACCAAACGCCTTAAAGTTGTATCCTTAGATTGGAACAATTTAGTGATGTTGAAAAATAAATCAGTAGCTTCTTGGGTAGTAAAAGTTTCTCCTTGGTTCATTAAATAAAGAATCTTGGTTAAAATTAAGGTACATTTTCTCGCATTGACCGGTGTTTCATTGAAACTCCTCGCATCTTGAAGAGCCGATGTTTTTGTTACTTTGGCAAAAACGTTACCAGCAATTGCCAAATCTTCATCGTCTTTTTTATCCTTTTTGTGATACATTTTACGAGAGCAATGAATCCAATGGAACACCAATTACCAACACCAGCCTAATAAAAATTAAGCTAAACAATAAAAAACAACAACAATCTAATTGATAATTAATTAAACAAATTGAGACACGTTGACTTCCAGATCAAAAACAGTAAATACCAATTGTCAGACATTTGATCTGTTACACAATTCGTTAGATGGAGTTACCATCACGTTGGAAATTCAAATTGGAATTTGGTAGAAGCGCGATTTCCAAATGAAAAGAACCAGAAAGTTGATTATGTTTATTATTGAAGGAAATTGTTTCATTGTTTGAATTATTTGAGTTAATTGTCTGATTTTTTAGATAAAATTTAGTTACACACCATCGAAATTGTCAAAATGATGGAGAGGTGAAGAAATTTATTATTTTCATGACATAGACAAAAGAACGTGAATATGTTTAATTAGTAATCGAGTAGAAAAATAATCTACAGGTGAGATAAAATCAATACAATTGAGTGATTTAACTAATTGTCTGATAATAAGATTGAAAATGATTCACTGATCAAAATTGATTGTTTCCAAATGATTTTGATCTACAATTGGATAAGTTTCTTGAAATGAATAAACTGCTTTTAAAGATCCAAATAAATGATTACTTATACTAAATATTATTTGAATATTTAAATTTTCAGATCATAATTATTAATAAATAAAATTACTATTATTGGCTATTTGATTTTAATTGTTTAGGTTGATTGATTAAAACTCAGTCATTAGTAAATTTAAAATCGTCACAATTTTAAAGGGATAAAGATCATTGATCAAGATGAAAGAAAAACAATCGTTAATTGCAACATTATCTTTAATGATAATTAACTTAATCATCAACTGTAATTTAATAATTGAAGTCAAAACTGATCCCAATTAAATTAATTCATTATTTAGTTTGAAATAATTACGATCATTAAAATGTAACTTTATTAAAAATGTTCGAAAAAAGGTTCGAAGATGTTTTCGAGAAAAGAAAAAAGTTAAATTGTTGTGAATTGATTGGATTGACCTTTAAAGGAATTAGAGGTCTTTTCCTTTTATTATTAACGGAATAATCAATAAATTGCTGATTGTCCAACAATCAGTAAATTGTTAAAAGAGGAGTGAAAGTGTTTCTTGTTTACGCTGAAAAAAAGTTATCAGAAAAAAAGTTCGAATGTAAAAAATGAAGTGAATTAATCTTGTCCTTGGATGATAATGTTGTTAATTGTGATGATGTCGATAATAATTACTTATCTTTTTGACAGGATCCAGTTAACTATCAATGATTATCACAATCAAAGATCAGGTAATTTAAAGTTTCATGATAAGAAAACCATGAAGACCGAGCAAAGTTTCAAAAACAATTTCATTAAGTTAAAAGGTCAAGTAATTTAAGAGAAACAACAACAAGTTATTGATTCTTATTGATTAAAGTTGATCTTTAAGTAAACATTTAATTAATTATCATCAATATAATTTGACATCAAGTTAATAATTTAAATTAATTGATTTAATGCTCGTGTTATTTGACCAGAAAATGCTCATTGTAATTGGTAAGATCTTTAATCTTCCACAATCTATTCAAAGTTTTCGATGAAAGTTAATCAAACGATCATGAAATCGAGAAGTGAATTTGAAATTGATTGTTGAATGATAATCATGATGATACGAATTTCGTTTTCTGCCCTTCGGGGTGAAAGTTTTGTTGTTCTCATAATGGATAAGCAATTAAGATGATGATGATGACCAGAAGAGATTAAAGTCTTTTTATCATCTCAATGAATCATCTTCTTCTTAAAGTTTTCATCAATTCAATGAATTGAAATGAGAAGAAAAAATTAAACGGAAAACACAATTTACTTATTTATTTCAAGTCTATGTCAATGAAGATAAACTTTTGTCCCATTTAAAGACGATGATGATAATCAGGAAGATTAAGATAATGTTCAAGATGAATATAATGATGTGATTTGTTGATGATGATGAGAGAGAAAGAGAAAGAGGAGGAAGAAGAGGAAAATTGGAATAAAAATTCATTAAGATGAGTGTGATTCCATTTATTTGGACTTTAATTTGAGCATGATATTCATTATAATTACTTAAATAGTTAATTTCCATCCTTAATTACCGTTGGTTGTGATATGTGGATGAGAAATAAATTAATTCCCATAGGTATAAACATGAAACTTGATAAACAATTAACTGTTTGTTGTAAGCTAATGATGATTAGATGGTGAAAGAATCATGGTAACCCGGTAATTGTGATTATAAATGATTATCTGAAATGAACCATCATCATTATTTAGATTGTTAACTAATTGTTGACTGATGAACATAATGATAATAAAATGAATGCATAATTTACCGGTAGAAATGGATGATTAATTTATTTTGATAACAATTAATAGTTTGACATCAATACTTGTTGTCTATGTCCAACTACATTATAATGTATCATTAATGATCAAATGAATGATAATATTAATTATTTTCATGATGGAAATTTTTAAATCGTATGAATCTGAATGAAAAAAGAAAATAAAGAAAACACAATTTATCATGAAAAATTCTGCTCTTTGCTATTTCATTGATGGTGTAGAAGAGCAAAAGATTCAACCTCAGGATGAATAATCTTGAAACTGAAGTTCCATCAATTCTAAAAATAAGAGATTGAGAGGATCGGAAATTTACTCAAGATTAGAGTTAATTTTTATGCTTCTTCTCACTCGTCATCATCTTCATTATCATGCTCTCTCTCTCTCTCTCTCTCTCTCTCTCTCTCTCTCTCTCTCTCTCCACCAAGAATGAGGCTTTAGGAGGATAAATATATCCAGTCAAGTTAAACAGGGTCAGAAATGAGATCGCGCTTCATCATCATCAGCGTCGTTTGCATCATCATGGTGATTATGACGATCGTCCTCAAACCCACCCAACTGGCCACCGGAAAACTTTCGCCGTCCGAAAATGATATTACTGTTGATGCTTTCATTTTCTCGCATTTTCCTCTCCCCCTACACCATCATCATCTTCTCATTCCATTCATCATCTTCATCTTCATCTTCATCCTGCTTCTGGTTTAAATTTATCTCTATCCTTTTCTATCCTGGTTCACATTTTCTACTTGATTCGTTGTCGCTTTTATCTTCTTTTTCAGGTTCTTTTTCTTTTAGAATTCATTTAACTAAATTCGTAATGAAAATTCTTGTTTTTACTTATCCTCATCTTCATCTTCTTACTTATTGAAAATTACTTTTGTTCTTTTCAAATTCTCATTCTCATGATCTTTTCTTAAACTTGTTACTTTTATCAGTACCTTGTTAGAATCTTATCTCATTTAATTGCTCATAAATATTATCCATGGATAGAGTTGGATTCGTGAAGAAAATAATCATGAGATAACAAACAATTGACTAACTGTTGTTATAATTAAAATTTCTCGTTCTTTGCTTTTTATTACCATTATTATCGACTATTATTTGGCTTTTCGCGTTAATGTTTATCAGATTATAATACATTCAGGATTCAACTAATGAATATCAAATAGTCTTTGATTAGAAGAGAGAAACAATTATATAAGTTTACAAAAAAAGAGAGAAGAGAAAGACAAAAAATGTGATTCTTTGAAGTTGAATGAATTGTACTTAGACAGATTTCAAGAAGAAGAAAAGAGAAAAAAAAGAAGGACCAACAAAAAATCAACTTTTTCAGTTCTGACACAACTTGGTGACAAAAAGAATTGAAGACGAGGGAGGGGGAGGAGAAGGAGTGGAGAGAGAGAGATAAACAGACAACAAAATTCTGCAAAAGCAAATGAAAAGATTTACAGATACAGATTAGAAATAATGAATAGAGAGAAAGAGAGAAAGAGAGAGATAGAGATCCGGCTTGAACCTTTGGGCCTTTTTGGGTCTACACATCATATCCATCGTATGATATTGCGATTATTTCTTCTTCTTTGACTTGTGAATATGTAAAACTTTAAATGCTCTTTGAAAAAAACAGCGTGCAGATGCTGAATCTCAATCAATAAGAATAGAAAAAAGAGAGGGAAGAAAAGTAGAAATAAGGGAAGAGGAGAGAGAAAAAGAATAATAATAATAATGGTTAAATTAGAAGAGAAAAATGAATATAGTAAATGGATTGAGTGAGAGTAAAGAGAGAAAGGTTATTGTAGATGTGAATCAAATTCCATCTTGTTCATCATTAGTAGTACCATTATCGTTAACTTCCAGCGCCATCATAATCAAAAGACCATTTTCTTTTCAAATCACCTTTTCTCTTTCTCTTTTTAATAGTTACATAAGTATCTCTCCATTTGACCTTTTATGTTGCTTCATTGTGAAGATACGTTTATGGAAGTTAATAGAAAGCAACGTTGCAGTAGAATCGCAGTTTTAACCCTTTTAATTAACCCTCTTTACGATGCCTTTTTTACTTTAATTACACTGTTTCCATTTCGATGACCGTTTCTCAAAGCTTTCTTTTCTGAACTTTCCTCCATTGAGGTTGAACAAGATGATGATTTAATTGATCCGTTGAGAGATGGCTTCTTGTAGGTCTTCTTATAAAAGTCGGTGAATAGGAACCAGAAAAGTATTCCATGGGATCCGATCCAGAGACCGAAAAGCTTAGGGAAATTACAATCACGGAAGAAGAGTTGGAATGAGTGACCCATGATAGCGATGAATTGGACAAGCTGGAAAGCAGTGAGATACTTTTTCCACCAAAGGTATTTCCTCATGGATGGACCGACACTTGAGAGACCATAATAAATGTACATTACAATGTGAACAATTGAATTAGCGAAGCCGAAGAAAGTTGCATGACCACCAGGCACAAATTTCATTCCCCACCAAACACTGAAGGGCATGATACCGTGGTGAATAAGGTGAAGTTTAGTGATGTGGTCAAACTTTTTCCTCAGTAGGAAGAAAAGGGTATCCGCAAATTCAACAAATTTGAGAATAAAGTAAAAATATGAGTTATACATGGTACGCAGTCCATTTGGGCTATTTGAATAGTCAACTGGATCACATTTGAAACTGGCTTCTGGTGTTAACCAATGGTATTTTAAATCGTTGTAAACAAAAATTATACTGCATATGACCATTGCAAAATTGTACATAATCATCAGCTTTTGGACCTCAAACGGTTTTCGATTCTCCATCAATCGAGGTCCAAGGACTGTGAAAAAGTAAATGTAAGATAAACATATTGCTGCTGTGGGCAAAGGAGAGTCCATAAGAGGCAATCCAACCACCCTTGAGTCACCTTGTAACATTAACTGGTGATATTTGGATATTCCTTTGGATAATAGGTCCATGGTTTCAGTGATTTTTTATCAGGTTACCAATGGTTGGATGGACTTTGGGTGGGGTTAACAGGGAATCAGATGAAATGAGAGAGTGAAGAGAGAAGAGGGAAATCTGGTAGAGAGAAGAAGAGTAAAATCAAATGGAAGAAGAAGTAAAGAGATTGTGTTGATGATGATATTAATGAGAGAGGAAGAAGAACCAGAAGATGATGATGATGAATAAGAAGACGATGAAGTCAAAGGCAGTCGAAGAAGAGCGAAAAACCAATTGGGCAAAATAAACAAGCCCCACTCAGAAAACCACCGTTATAACGATGGATCGTTCAGCGGATCACCGAGACACACAAGGTACTAATTAAATGTGAGTTAATTGCTGATCCAATATAACGGAGTTAATGTTCCTTAAACCACATTTTGGCTTGAACACAATTTAAGTTGAATTAGTGAATCTCTCACCAACTGTTTCTGTCACTCACTGAGTCTCTTCAAGTCTGAGGAGCTTCAGGAGATTTGCTTTTCCTTTTGTAGCGCAAGCGTAAAGTCATCGTAAAGCTTTTCACCTGAACATCTAAAGTACAGTTACAATCATAATAATCATTGGGAATCTCGAGTCTCCTCCTTTTCATTAACTAATTTGTTTCAGGCTTTTCCTTTAATTAGTAAAATATGATCATGACTTTAAGATAACATTTGAACTTGAGCTAATTGGGAAAAGGTTGAACAGGTTGGTTCTGATTCTGGGCTGATTCTCTTTCTCAGTTTTTCCTTTTTCATTTTCCATCTCTTTCTGTGTTGATTAACTCGAATCTCTCTCCTTCAAGCAATTAACAATTTAAGAAATTGTATCATCATGATGATGCAGTTTATTCATTTATCACTTTACTTTTTGTGTGAACAATTTATTTCATCAGATTCTACAATTGTTAACTTGAGGAAATTGTTAATTATTTGCAACAATTTAAATCTATGGAAGTTTGTAATTTGATTTAATTGCTTTCCAAATTCTTACTATCATGATTTACTGATTTCGTGATGTTGATAACCCACAATTCAATGAGATATCTCTTGAAATATCAAGGTAATAACAGGAGATGACTGATTGATCCTTGTGATATTTAATTCGTTAATTTTTGATTGCCAATCAAATTTCTTACGAAGATAAGGAAACAAATTTAATAAAAGTTAATTAGCTCAAAATGGTCATTTGAAAGTAATTAATTGATTGCGTAAAAGTTTTCGAAACAAAACTAATCAAATCTTCATCTGATTGATTTTTAATTCCAGAGGGATCGCTCATTCAATCACATTAACATACAAACAGTCAATCGGGTTTAACCTTTACAATTAAATTGAAGTTTAAATTACTATCATTGATTAACTAAACAGGCAAATACATCGTCAGTATTAATTATCTCGAGGTAATTTTCTAGTAACTTACCAAACTTGATCAATTAATTTCGAATGATTGTTTATATAATTATAAGTTTGCTAATCGAAATTAAGTAGCCATGAGCCAAAATTATCGCATTTATATAATTCGATCCATGAACATGAAATTCTGTCCAGCCTTCGATTAATTGAGTCAATTTTTCCTCTTGCCTGAAGGTATTGTAAATTATTAAATCCAAAGAATGGGAAGATTGAAGTGGATTATTACCAAATCAAGGGAATTATTTAATCATTTGAATCGGGATCAAGTTTAAACGAAAATAATGAAATTACTTTCATTCGATTTAAATTGTTGAGCACAATCAAAGGAAGACTATTGAATCATTGGAAATATTATCACCTTCAAATCATAGGAATTTGATACGAAGGTTAAACCATTTTGATTAATTAGTTGATGAGTAGGTGTTGAATGGCTTGTAACTAACCTTTCAATTCATTTGATCATTAAAGGGAAATCGTATCAATTATGATACAATTGACACTCTATGAAACCTGATTGCAAACAATCAACCCTTGATTCAGTTCATTGAAACTCAATGGAAAACATAAATAATCATTATCTTAATCATTTTTTAAACTTTTTATTCCATCGTTACTTTAATCATTCCAATCAAATTGATACAAGGTCTAACTGTTGTCGATAAAAAGTTACAGTCCATGAACAAAATTGTCTTTCTTTTCTTGAATTCTGATTGATAATCTTCAAATGGCTGCAGTCAAAAAGATCAAAATATGAGAGGTTTAACAGTATTAATTGTTTTCCGCTGGTTTGATGAGATCATATGATTGACACTTTTCCAGAATATTTTTTGCGATTAGTTTTAGTTTATCATCGATATCGTCTACTTGAGGAAGTGTTATTGCCATGAGAACGCTGAAAATTTTTGTTTCAATAATTTTCTCAGCGAGTGATTTGTTGGTGAAAATGATGTTCTTCACAATGAATAAGGCTCGATGTTGAATATCCAAATCGGAAGCCGAGCAAAGTACTAAAAGCATTTCCTCCCAATCTTTCGCAAGGAAAATCTTTTCGCAACATTTCCCGCTAACTCCTGTTATCATCGCTAAGCCACCAGACGCAGCAACGATAGTATCTCGATCATCTTCACCACAGAGATAGAGCCAATATTTAACTCGGTCATTATCCTCTTCAAATATTTTAACAACTTCCGGATTTGTAATCAAGTTGGCAATGCACTGAGTTGCTGCTCGTTTCAACATCGGATGATCATCATAAATGTAATGTTCAATCTTTGAGAATCCACCATTTTTGAGAATGGCTCGTTGAACAGTTTCATCAACTTGGGCCAAATTTGTAAGAGCCATGAGCGATTCAAAATTTTCTAATGCTGAACATTCAACATCAAGTAGTCTTATTAATGGACGGATAACTTCAATTGATCTTTGACCTTGAAAAGAAATAGTTGGATCTATCGAAATCCCGATTCGAGCTAAGGCTTGAGCAGCGATTACTTTTCCTCTTCCAGTGTTACTACTCAAGTAAAGACTGAGAAGAGCCTTAACGCCTCCTTGAGCCACGACTTTACCTCGAAGTTCTGGTTGTTCGCAAATTGCACTGAAAACTCTAGAGATCATTTCACGACTTGAGATACTTTCAGTTTTACAGAGAGAGACCAGCGCCGATGTAACGTCCATTGAGGCCAACATTTTAACTCGTTTTTCTATGAACTCTTTTGAATCTTTGGGATGTTCCTCAGGGACATGTTGCTTTGAAAACTTCGCAAGTTCAATCAATTCAGGCATTATCTCCTTTTATCATGACTGTTGGTGAGATTCACGAAAGTGGTAACGATACCATAAAGTAAAGACAAATCACCAGTTCGTGCCAAGTTGATCAAAGCTCTCATTGCATCTTTATCTTCAACTAAATCCTCCTTTATTTCAGCATTTAGAGTGAGGTAAGCGAGTCCTTCGGAAGCCCATTTTTTTATATCACGATCTTTACTCTGGTCAGTTATAATCTTTTTACATGCTTTGGCGAGTTTATGAATAGATTCATCTGGAAGAGGACGGAAAGAGGCATCAGCTCCGCCAGCGGAACCGATTTTACAAAGTCCGACAAGCGCTCGAACTTTGATACTTTCATTCTGAGATTGATAAAGATTCTTGAGTATTCCCGTTCCCATAGAAGCGATCGAGGTACATTTCTCTTTCTTCGAAGCAGCCGCAATAATCGCTTCCGCTGCAACTTTTTGTTGTATTTCGTCGTCGTCAGATTTAGCCATTAACAACATCATCTCGACGATTCCTTGCTGACTGATGCAGAAATTTCCAACATCAACTGGACCCTGAAGTAGAACTGTTATCACTGCAATTGCTCGAATTCTGTTCTCAACATCACCCCCACGTAGTTTATCTTTGATATATTCCATACATTGTTCCCTGAAAAATGCTCGAAGTTTATCCGAATCCATACATTCATAAGTACGTTCAAGAGCGATTGCAACTAAACTTCTAGTGTTTCGAGTGATCAACATACTTGATTCACACTTCAAGTCTTCGAGCTCCGATGCGACATCTAAAAGGTTTCCTAAACAGTCTGAATCGGCTAGAAGTCGACCTTTGCTAAGAGCATTATGGCCAACATTACGTGAGACAAGTTCGAGTAGAGCATCTCGGCCTTCAGCGCACATCGCCCTGGAACTAGTTCTTTTACCGATTGCAATCAGGATATCATCGATCACGGCTTTATTAGTGGACATTTTCTCTGCGAATGGTCGAACATTATCTTTGGGATTAAATCCAGTTAAACTATTGATTATCGTTTGAACCAAATATTGAACTGCCATCACATTCTCTTCAGAGGTGAACTTGTGAATGAAATAAAAATTGGATTAATTGTTATCAATCTAAATCATTCAAACAACCAACTTACCTGATCAACCATAAGTAACAAAAAAGATTCGATGCTGAATTTCCGTAGCACTTTAAGAGCAAAAGAGTCTTCATGTTTACAAATCTCACTTAGAGCTCGAATCAGTGGTAAGTAGATTTTAATTGACTTTAGAGTATTGGATTTGTTATAAATCTTTTCAATTCCTTTGTTTTCAATTATTAGCTCAGCACCGGCTCTTTCTTTAGCCAATACAACGAGATTGTTAGCAGCTATTGCTTGTTTATCCTCGCCCAGTTTAGGATCAACCAGTACATCAAGTGTTTGCAACACTCTTTGGGCTGTGTCCATGATTGGTTATTAGTAATGAGGAAGAGCACCGAAGTCGAAGAGAATTCAAGTGAAATAAGTCCACAGCGATAAAACACCGGAACAACAAGAAACAAACACACAAGTTGTGTGACACAACCAAAAAAGGTAAACAAATGAAATCTGTTATGTAAATAGACCGAAGGAGGAGGAGAAAGTGAGAGTTGCGGTGAATTTGAATGCGAACAATTTAATTGAATTATTTTTTCTCTTGATTTTCTTTAATTTAGTTTGAAGAAAATTTCTAATTGTAAATGATTCCTTTTGGATAATTGTAGACATCCTGTGATTCCCTTGTTCACCCGAGAGAATTGATATTTTTTAAATTTCTGTTTATTGAGTAGAAAGTCAATGCGATTGAGAGAAAGAAAATAAAATGGAATCAATTGATTTTCAACAAGCAACTTAAATTATATAAATTTATTTATCTACCCTTGGAATAATAAATAATTGTTTTCCATAACAATTAACACTCGAAAAAGAGAGGAGGCAAAAGAGAAGAAAAAGAGAGAAAATGGTGGGAGTTTCATCGATAAAATGATTGATTTGATCAAATCAATCGGATCTTTTGTGGATCTTTTGTGAATCAACATCTCGTTTCGTATAAACCACTTCGGCCAATGTAACGGACCCATTTGATGACATCGTGGTCGGAGTAGTTGAGCTTTGGTTCAAATACTTTCAAATACCGAACCTTGAGGCCAGAAGGAGCGAATGGTACTTCGAAATTCATCGATATCGGAGGTCGATTCCATTTCTTCTTGGTGTCCGTTAATAGTAACTCGATCTCAGCACTTAATTGTGTCTCCTTCATTCCGGCCATTTTCTTGATCTTCCAAACAATCGCGTTATCACTCGCCTTGTATTTCGCTTTTCCTTTCATACAAATCAGTTGACAACCACTTGTGTTCAGGGGCGTTGGTATTTTAACCTCGATCTTTTGCCCGACCACCGCAGGCTTGAAGTTGCTTTTGAGGACCACTTTCACCTCCATCTTGGTTCGGCCTGCTTCTCGGACCAAAGGAATGATTCGGAAGGGGAATGAGATGTCTTTAGTAATTCGGTATCTCATCAATTCAAATTCACCATCGGGGGGAATAAAACTAATACTATGTTCCGACTCGAATTTGGACAGTTTAACACACTGGTGGAATTGACAATCGTCTATTGCGATGGAAGATTTTGTTGGGTAGCCTACGTTTCCACCTCGAGTAGTTGGATCATCCAGAGCTGAGCTTGTCTTTCCTTTGCTCTCTAGAATTAGTTTGTCATTGATTCCAAATTTACACTCGGGCATTCCCGATAGAAAAGCCTTCATGACCACTTTTCCAGCCACATGAGCACTTAACACTTGTCCCTGCGGGGACATCAACAGGTTGACATATTCAAGAACATCAAGGAAAAGCTCATTCCGTCTATATTTGATTCCTTCCCTTCGCCAACCAATTTGTCCAGTCACTTGAGAGGTGATTTGAGACTGTTCCTCTTTAGTCTGAGATTTGACACCTTGTTGGGTGATGAATGTCTTAAGGATTCCAGTGTCGGTGTTTTGAGGGTAACCGAAATCAAGGATTTCATCAAGAAGTTCATAGATGAGAACAAAATTGTTTTGACATTTTCCTCGCTGATTTTCCAAAATAACTTTGCATGACCTCGCACATTTTCAGGAGAAACTCAAACACCATTGAAGCATTCAGATTCTGCTTGGTGACGGCGGCCAACCACAGGTTGGATCGTTTGATATGGAAAAACGAGGTTCGGGCGATGTTGGTAACTGGTGATCTCACTTGTTGACGGGCGTGGATAACGTTAACTCTGAAAGCGTCAACAGCATTGCGACCAATGTCATCTCGGTACATGCGACTGATCAGGACTTCGCCCTTGTGGTTATAAATGAACAGTCCACCGATCATTTTGTCCCCGGACTGTCAGTGGAAACGAAATGAGAGAGAAAGGGAAGTGGAGGAAAAGGTAAATACAAGTGATTCAGAGAAAGAGAGAGAGAGAGAGAGAAAGAGAAAGGAAGTGTTTTTCTTGTCTCCTAGTTAGAAGATGAAAAGAAACAAGTTGTTACTCTTTGAGTTTCAGTGAAGCTCAAAAGGAGGCGGATCATCAGAGGAAAAGGGACTTTATTTAAATTTCATTCAATCAACAAACTTTTTCATTTTTTATCTTTTACTTGGATAATCAGATTGAATTGGAAACAATTAAACGGTTGATGTTAGATACTCTCACCAACAACCTGTTAGTTATTGATTCTTATATCCTGCACACTTTACATAATGTTTTCATTATCGACACTTTTTATTGGAACCATTAGCAACTCTCAACAAGGTCTTATGACAATGAACATAATTTTCTCATCATCATTTAGTTAATGAACTAACGGGCAAATGAAGATCGTAATGTTAATGAGCAAATGCAAATACAGTTCATTGAAAGAAATTCATTCCATTGTTCATCTCCAAGTCGCAAAGCAAAACTTCCCACCTTTTCTCATGTAAATCATGGATCATATTGACGGACTGAACTTACGATTGGCTCTTCTTGATCGTTCTCCCATTTTCTTTGTAAATTCGTCAACACTCAAACCCGATGGTGTTTTGTCCAAGTACTTTTATGATTGGGCTTTGATATTTTACCAAGGATTCAACATGACCTGGTACAATGGAGGGACAAACAACTATGGTTGTAATCGTGGTGTTTGTCACCAATTAGCTCAATTCATTCAACTGAATGGCTCTGACATGGACCAATTGGCAACAAGTGTCACTTTGTATGATTCAGTTTATCCAAATTTAACATTTTCACCTCCAGTCGACGAGAAAAGTTGTTACTTTTTGACTTATTACCGTTATCCATATGAAACATCATCATCACTTGATTGTTTGACTTCATTGAAAACGATTTCACCAACAGTGGCCTTACTTTTGATTGTTTTGTTTATTTTCGTTAAATTGTTACCATTTTTTGTCCACCAACACAATAAAAAGTTAAACTTTCAAAGTTTAATCAAGTTAATTGTCTTCGATGACCAATATTATCGAAAATCTTCATCATCGTCGACAATTGGATTAACTAGTATCTGTTTCTCAATCATATTAACTTTCTTCCAACTTTGGTACTCAGTAAGTTTTCAAACTGATTTAACGGTCACCAAAAGCGCACCTCCAGTCACTGATTTCCAAGATTTGATCGATCGCAATTTAACTGCTAATACAATTCAAATTAATCCTTGTCAAAGAGGAATTGAACTTTTAGATGAGGACGATTATAAGACGGTGCTTTTATCTCATATTGAGCCACATTATTCATCGTTAACTTTTACCAAAACCATTAATGATACTCTCATGTTCGTACTTCTTGCTGGACGATGGGAAGTGAATGCAGTTAAAAGACAAATGGAGATTTATGATCTTGACCAGCCTTCGTTGGGCACTTATTATGACGTTTCCACGACTTTTGGAGCTGCAATTTCCACCAATCTGATGAATTCGCTGATCGAAACCCAACTATTGAACAAACTTAATGCTCGAACTTATCAGCTATTTGAATCTCGCGTTGCCGTGAAATATCACAAAAAAGCGTCAATTGGACCAACTTACACTTATCTACATAAAACATCAACAACTAACGATCTCAACTTGAAAATTCACTTCAATCAATTAACTATCAATAACTTTTTCTTCTACTTTGTTACTCTTTTTACCCTGATTGCTCCAATCTCTACTTCAATATTAATTGTTGAGATGTTAATTCATTTCATCTCAACCAGAATGGATAGAAAAAGTTCATCAATTGGTTAACCAGATCATCATTAATTATCGATGTTTTGAATTTTTTTGTATCAGTACCTTGTGATTGGTTCAGATGAAAACGAAATGTTATCAAAGTTAATCTCGATAAACAATCTTACCATTTCAATGTTCTTTCTAGTTTAATAATGATCTCAAGCAATCTAATCAAATAATCAAATGATTGGAATATATTGTTGAGAAATACTTCGCCTTAAGGTTCATCATTCATCAGATTAAAACTATTTGTTTAACAAGAAAATGAAACCTCTCTCCTTATTATTATTGTTCAGTTAAAACTAGAATCTTATTCACTAGAGTTTAATATCTTCAATTAATTTGTAATCAACAGTCAATCTAATTAATCTTTCACAGTCTCTTTCGTAACTCTTTGAACGTAGTTAATCAGAGTAAGATAGAGAGTAAGAAATATGATTTAGTTGAACAATCGACACAATGATTTAAGGTAAATTACTTTTCGAGAGCACAATCAAGGAAGGTAACAATTATTATTCACAATGAACATTATCGTGATGAAAATAACGATTCATTTGGACTCCATTGATGTTGAATCATTAATGGTGACAATGATTATGTTGATAATTTAGTCAATAAATAAAACATAAGTTTATGATGATGATGGTTTTGTATCAGAAAAACAAGATTATTTTAAATTGTTACAAAATACATTAACCAATTTGATTTTCATGTTAATCATCATGATTAATATTATCATAACAATTGATTTGATAATAACAATAAACAACTTGTTATTTTCTCAGTAGGAATCAATTATGATTAAACGAATTGAATTATAGTTATTATCATTTCTACATGTATTGTTAAAAGCAAATCGTATTGAGAATCAGTAGTTAATTATGTTTGAGTTGTTGAGTTGATTGCATCTCTTAAATAGCTGATTGAGATTATAAATAAATTAACAGTTGATCGTTGATTGAGTAAACAAATTTCAATTCGATTGTGTCTATGATGATCTAACAAATTTACGATAAAAACAAAAAATAGACAATCAATTGGTTGAATTACTGATTGTAAACCTACTTAATTTAGTATTAAAAGACCAATTTATCATCAACAATTAAATGCGGAAATAAATTCTAATCGTCAATTACAATTAACCTTTTTCAATTTTTTTCCAATAGCAGGAGATGATTAACTAGCCGCTAACTAATCGAGACAGAAACGATTTAAATGCTTAAAAATTTTGAAAATTCGTAAATTGTTAAAATTTTCAGGTACCATAATCAACCATTGATGGCAATTCCAATTTACTTGATGTTTTCCATCATAATCAACTAATCAGATGGTTAATTGTCTGATAGCAAAGATTTTACAACCGTGATTTGAATTGCTTTGGGTTATTTTAATTAACTTCAAGTTCATGATTGACAAAGAATTGGGACCAATTATTGATAATCATTGTCTTCCGATTGTTAACTAAAAGAACCCAAGATGATCACTTAAATCTACAATTTATCCTTGAACAATTTAACAAGCCAACAGCTAATTAAGTGAAGACAATGATCAATTTTATCACAACTCATCCCAATTACAAAGTGATTAACTTGATTACTATTATTAAATTCATCCACTCAAACTCTAATTATTCGACTCTTTAATATCGTGAATTGTTGTTTCCTTCCGTCGAATCAAATAAAATTAATTAATCAAAACCAAAAATACCCTTAAACTTAGATGCAATAAGAGAGTGATTGATTGATTAGTTGATTGTGAAAATGAAAATTGGTCACTGGACCATGTTATTCAATGTCAACTGGATTAAAAGGTAGCATTTGATTGTAAATTTTGTAACAAAAGACAATAAGTTTAATTGTATGATCTAAAATTGAATCGTAAATCATAATTGAAAGCAATTGCTTAATTAAAATGCTTTCGGTTTATTAAAATTAAAGTAATCAGATGATCGTCAAATTCACGATCAAATTGATTTTGTCCTGAAAACATGTTAGTAAATTAAGAATAATTAACAATTCGAGGTTGTCCACATCAACAATTTACTCATTTACAATTTGTATCATTAAATTTACTTCCTGATTCCATCTTCATCAGTAGCATTAATCTTGATCCAGTTAAATTATTGAGATCATTAAACTAATCAGCTAAAGTTCAAGTTAATTGTCGTCTAATCCCAAATGATAAAAAGTCAGACTGAAACAGAGGCAGAATTCAAATTTCAATGGAAACTCAGCCAAATAAATTGGACTTTCAGAGCAAAGTTCGAGCATCAATTTTCAATCAACTCTTATAGATTTATTACCTTTGATTGAGACGCGAGAGTATTCATGTTTAACCGATGATGATAAAGAATTTACATTGAAAGATACTCGAAGGTATTAATAAAGTGTGTTCACTAGATTCTAGGCTTGATAATTTCTTACGTTCATTGGATTGTTATCCTGATAATCAATAAAATTACTCTGCAGTTACCAAATACTAGTACACTTTTGCCAGTTTCTATCACTTACTAAGTTTTAATCCTCAAGAAATACTTTCAAAAGTTAATAATGAGAAACAATCAATAATTATAACCTTTTCAATTCTTGCGTAACTTTAACCGTAATTATCTTAATTTCTCATGAAATTCAGCTCACATTTGATAATAACCAAATTGTAGTTACTGTTGATAAAAATCTGAGCTGAGTTACATAGAGTATAGAGTAGTCGTGGTGCTAATGGGAATATAATTTTTGTTGTGATAATTTTAAAACAATACTCATTTGGTTAATACATTAACTATCTCAGTATAGTATTGAAACAACAATTGATAACATGAAGTAAATCAATTAATTAGATTAAACCTTTAGGCTATGGAAGTCGTTATAAACTTTCATTTACCTCTTCATGCACAATCCAAATGCTAAAGGATAATCATGAACGTTGATTGAATCCAATGATAAAGGTCACGATGATGGTGAAATTTGAATCTGGATTTTCCAGTTTCAGTATTGAGTTTATCAGAGAGCCTCAAGGGATCAGCAATGAATTACTCATGAAATTACCTGAACAATTATGAAGTTATGATTAACTCATTTCTAGACAAATACTCAAACAGTTAATCTGATCAAGTTAAACGTTTATCGACAATGTGATAGATATTATCAAATCTTAGTAAATATTTGTAAACACAATTACACAAATCGTAAATTTTATAAGTTACGATGTTGTGAAACCGAATCGACCTTGAGGATCCTCTGGATGAATTTCGTTCTTGATTGTTACACTAACATCGAGCGAAATATTTAATCGCAAATAGATTGATAGATAAGCCAATCTCCTTAATCTTGTTTCGATGTATTGAAATACAAATTCGATAAAAACTTTGTGATAGTTTGAGTTACGATAAAAGCGAACCAGAAAGAGCATTTGATTAATTTGAATTCCTCTGATTCGATTAACTGATGATAAGAAAAGTAATAAATAAATTACTTGATCTGAGATCATCTGATCCATTGTGATTCATTTGATGATTATATTTATTTGATTAGCTGCACTCCGTATGATTAGCTGCTTGCTCAGTTATGGAGGGTCAAGGATAGTTGATAGATGAGTTAATCAGTTAATTATTTGCTTAGATTTCACAATCAGGTTTTGACTATCGAGCAACTTTATCTTGACTATAACAAACAAAGTTAATCTCAATTGTAGTGATAATATTTACCAATTAAATCATATCTACTTTTACATGGTTTAAATCAATCGATTTTTCATTCGATTTCAGCCCAAATTGAGATAATGATTCACTCATCAATTTGATTGAACAGATCTCATGGTAATTACCAATCTTTATATTGTTTGGATCGATCTAATTATGCCAAATTAAGTCAGAATGATAACTTAATTGTGCTCATTGTTTTGCGATCTCAAATTCTTATCATTTTGTACTTCATCAGTGGCATTGAAGCTTTAAAAATTTTCCAGTGGAATCCTTTGAGTATTTATCATAATTAACTATTTTGATTCTAATTAAACTAATTTGATTATAATCAACGGGTTTATTGATAGTTAATTACTTTTATCGCTAAGAATAAATTCTAAGCTGATATTAATACATCGCAAACGTAATTAAATTACTTCACAGAGAAAGTATTAATAAGGAATATTGTTGAGACGATAAGGAGAAATTAACGGTTTAATTCAATTCCAGACTGAACGAAAATCAGTGAATTGTGTTGACAAAGCTTTGGGATACACTTTAAATCAGAGAATAATATTCATAATTAGTGTTACCAAATAGATTATCTATTATTATTAATACTCAAGAAAAACTTAAAAATATCAAAATTGTGATTTCATTATTATGAGTTTAATTGATTTGCAACTTTATATCAGGTCAATGAGTTGATTTGATCAATTACTAAATTGTATTAACTTGCTATATTATTACCCGGTAATTGAATTCCCTTGCATGTCGAGATAAATTAATCAAATTGTATTAATATTTACCCATAGGTTTTATAATTAGCAACTAATTGTCAAAATAAATCAATTAATTTAACTGAGGATCAATTTAAATGTTTTTTCCGTACGCTGTAAACGAGGTAATTGTAATGTCAAGGTGCTGTTTTATTTAACTAAATTGTTTCAATTTAACTGTTAATTGGAAAACAAAATTTCCCAAACAAATTTCTTCCTTTATATTTATCCTGATGGCAATCTAATTATGAGTTTAGTATATTCACTATTAATTAAAATTCTGAGAAGATTATTTGAATTAAATTTACCCGAATCAACTCCAAGGTCACGCAACATAATAATCCGATTGTTTAATTGTTAAAAACAATTGAGCTTCAATATGGTTAATTCGGTGTCTTTAATCCCAAATGAATCAAGGAATCTAACGATCAACGGGAATCCCTTAAGAAATCGGTGACAATTAGATTAGCCATAAACAGAATATGATGATCATGTGTTGATTAGCTAATTCCAGTAATTTATCATTTAAATTTAGAAACAGAAACTGGACCCCTTTGATTAACCTCAAGTTTTAATCATCAACACAAACTGATTTTCAAGGTGACAAACTATTAATAAACACCAACACATGAGATTAATAGCTCTCTCTCTCTCTCTCTCTCTCTCTCTCTCTCTCTCTCTCTCTCTCTCTCTCTGTGTGTGTGTGTTGAGATTGACTAAAGGATTTTCGTTGATTATTAACCAACAGCTGAGTTCATGGTCAGTTTGGTGTCATTGGTCATCAGACGACAAATTTATCATAAATTGTTACGATTCATGGACAATCGTAGCTGTGATCGATGAATTAATGAAGCTTAAGGCAAAGGATTTACCAAATATCTGACCTTGAATTGCGAATAATTGATAATCCAATCAAACGCCTCAGGGTAGACTCTTAGTTGTTTCAGATAACTTTCGAATTATTATTTTCTTTTATTCTTTCATCGTCTTCATCATCTTCATCTTCAAATTACATCTTTCTTTTATATTCTTATTGACTCCTCCTTAATTGTTTGAGTTTTACTGAAACAATTTAATGATTAAATATTATTCAATCCAACCCCTTTTACCACGTTAGCTCACTCGCATTTTTCCAGGTAAAGTTTATATAAGTGTTTAATTTGATTTGATTCAGTTGCAAGAGTAACTTTCGACTGATGTTTTAAGTTAATTGTCCAGTTAAAGTTTTGCTGTAAAAGCATTTCCTTGATAATTCAAAGCAACTAAATATTAGTTTAGTTTCTATCGTGATCAGTTGATTTTAATTTCTCTTTTATTTGTGTCAATCATTATTCATCTAAAAATAATAAGGATTCGTTTAAAGTTAATCTCATCAATTGTTTCGTGTCAAATATCAACAGGATTCATCTGTTAATCATGTTTGCCAGTCTCTTCCAAATGGCCTCCGGTCAAATGAGTTATCAACATTTCAACACAGTCTCTCCATCGATATCTGATTATTTTGACGATTTCATGGAAACCAAGACTCATGCCGATATCGCTAAATTACCGTTGATGGAAAACGGTTTTCTCGTCGTAATGTCGATCATGGCCACTTATTTGTACTTTGTTAAAGTTTGGGGACCACGAATGATGGCCAATCGTAAACCATATGACCTGAAACCTTTGATTCTAACTCATAATGTCTCATTGGCGATATTTAATCTCTTCTTTTTCGTCTTTACTCTACAACACTCGTCATTTGGTGCCGATTTTTGGAAATGTTCACCACTCGAAATTGCCTTAAGAAATGATAAAGATTACAAGCTTTGGGTCATTTGGTTCTACATTATGTCCAAATTTGTTGACCTGTTTGATACCGTTTTCTTTATCTTGAGAAAAAAGTTTTCCCATGTATCGACTCTTCATGTCGTCCATCACACAATCGTACCAATTAACTTTTGGCTTGCCTTCAAATACGCTCCGTCTCTTAATCTGGTCTTTCTCCCAAGTATCAATTCCCTGGTTCACACAATCATGTATACTTATTACGCTTTATCCTCGTTCGGTCCATCGGTTCGTCCTTACCTTTGGTGGAAAAAGTATCTAACAACTTTGCAAATCAGTCAATTTGTCGCTGTTTTACTTAATTACACTTATCTCGGTGCTTGGTCTGATTGTAAGATTCCTAAATTCATGTTCGTCTTGGGATTCCCTCAAGTCTCAATGATCATGGTTATGTTCATCTCCTTTTTCATCAAGACTTATACAACTGCTAAACCACCAGCATCTTCACCCATTGTAAATAAGAAGACTGAATAATATTTCAATTGAAATATCCATCGTTTGTAATATATTATTTTCTGAACAATTGATAACCAGAGGCTGGACCTTCAAAACCCTCTGAGCTCATCCATCACCATTTTCGTCATCATCATCATCATCATCTCCATTCAAACTTTAATACACTTTACATTATATTAATTATACACTAATCGCTTTTGTCTTAATACTTTGTTAATAAAGTAATGATCTCTTTTTTTGCTCAAAAAACAACAAACTTTGACTTCCTTTTCCTTTTCCCTTATTACTTGATTAACTTTTACTTTCATCACAATCATGACCAGAAACTATTAAATTAAAGTTGAAATTGAATATCATGCTGGGTTAATGTCCACTTTTGGTTATTCTTTTTTCTTCTTCTCTTGGAACGGGTTTTCTGTTAGGGAAGTTACTCAAACAGGAATCAAGTGATTCCCTTTTCTTGAATAGATGGAATCAAATTATTTCCGTTTTTACATTCGACAAACTTGTTCTTCAATCATCTGAAAATGATGTTGTGAAGATGGTCAACATTATTGCGGAAATGCTACTTGAACTTAAACAACAAGTAGCTTAACATTAATAAGATAAAATTGCGACACTTGATCATTAAAACAACTCGAAATGAAAGAGAAGATTAAAAATCAGACAGGATCAGGAATCGAAAGGTTCAAGCTCAGATTAATAGTGAAATTATAATTTGATAACCCAAAAAGAAACCAAACAAATTTAAATTATCAAAACCATCGCAGCTCTAATTCATGATTAATCTTATTCCATAGAATCGAATCGATCAAATCATTCGTAGTATTTGATTGATCAATTTTGATTATTTAAAAAAACTTCTCATTACGATGCTTAGAAATTTACATTTTTTTTTGTTTATGTTGATGTTTGAGCTGTGACACTTTGGTGTTTCTTTGGTGCTATAAGCCAAGTGAAAAGGTAAAGATCCAAGCATTGAATATTCATTGACTCGGATTAATGATCGAAACTCAACTTAGAACAATCTAGTGTCCCCATCTAGCGAAGAAAAAGGGAGCTAACGAATCATTCGATTTTAATTTAGTTTTTTGATATCTAATTATAAGAGAAAAGTTATTGTCTGAAATTCACGTATAAATAACTAACTTTGATCTCTAATGAAACTTTTGTTTTTTCACTTTTTTCTTTTACTAACTTTGAATAATTTGAATAATAATCTGTTGATTATCTTCATTGTCTCTCAGGTTAATCTCCTGCGGCCATGGGAGGAAGTTTTCTAACTGAATAAAGAGCAGAAAGGAACTTCAGTGGATTGGTAGCCTCACATTTTCCATTACTCTTATTACTTTAGTGGAATTACAAGTGACCACAAGATAATAGATGGACAACAATCAAAAGAAAAAGAGGTAAAAATAAAAAGTGGAAAACCGGCCAATTGAGATCGTGCATTTTTCATCATCATTTCTCTCCACCTTCTTTATATCTCATCATCAAGTTGAATTGTTTTCCATCATCATCATCGTTTCATCTTAAATACTTGATGATGATCAGATTAAGTTCAGGATAATCTCTCCACTGTTAACGAACATGAAAACTTTCTGGACATTTTAATGACTTTCAACTGGAATTCATTGTAAACTAATTATGATTTGAGTTCATAATAAGATACGTACGATTAGTGTTGAGTTGAACTTTTCATACACGAACATAATTTATAAGTTGGATTGAAACAATTCAGTTTCAACGATCTAAAGTTAACTGAAATGAATTAATCAAAACTGTGAATCCATTTCAACGGATGCTAAGAAAACGTTTAAAAAATACTTCATTTTATTCAAACAATAAAACTTATCAATCTTTTTACTGTTAAATTACAACAATCAAGTTGGTAATCAATCTTCTTGTGTTTACAATTTATTTACAGGAAAAGAAACAAATACAAATTTGAATGGTAAACTGAAACTTTCTATCCACTGACCTTTCAAGTTTCATCCAGTGGTCATTTCATTCGGAAAGACATGATTATGGTTCAGTGGACATCGAATACAATGAATTCTTGAAAAGGATCAGATGAAGATGATGATCAGAAAGTATTCTAATGGTCTTCAAGTTTATCACGTATTCCAATTTCAAGTGTTTATCTAAACTGAAATTGTTAAACACACATAATGGCCTCAGTGATTGACAGATCTAATTTGATGAATGATTTACCATGACAAGGTTAACAATCAACATGAGAGATATTAATATTTACTCTATTTCTAGATAAATAGCCTCGAAATGTCTTATGATGGACCAATATAATAAAAGGAATACGGAAATAATCACAAATTAATTTTCTATTGAAAAACCTTGGGTAAAAGTTGACAAACATCATTGTTGTTATCATCATGATGATTATTACAAGATGAACCAAATTGATCAATCAAACGAAATTAACTTGTAGATTAACCTTGAATGGTTCAACAAAAGGCCGTCTCGTCATGAGCCCCTTGAAACCTGATTAACAGGAGAAAAGTGTAAACAATCAATTTAATCAAACTATTTAACAATTCGGGTTTCACTTTATAAGATGAGAATTAGATTATGTTGAAAGAAAGACGCAGAACGATATAGATATAATGAGTAACAATCGAAATCTGAATTGTGTTCATTTGTTTAGGTTTGATGGTCATGTTGATTGTTTATTTGTCTTTATGGCGATAAAACAAAGTCCAGGCTTAATTAATATCAAATGGATTAGATGAACAAATTCAATTTCTTTCAGAGTTTAATGTTAATTGGAATAAATAGAATTGGTGAAATTAAGATGAGCATCAGGCCAAGTTAATATGTTCTCGAAACACGAAACACAAAAAGGACCATGACCACACGAATTGAAGGCAGTTATGTCAGCACAGTAAATGAACTTTGGTTTCAGTCTTTCGATCACAAAAGGACCTTTTGTACTGAAATTACGTTGACCGAAATCACGATTGCGACGACTTTTTGTCATTAACAAAAGAGAAACAAGTGAAATATGAAAAAAGAGTTAATAAAATAATAAAGAAGAAAAATCGAAAGGAGAATTGAAAGGAAAACCGAATGGAAAATATCAATTCGAGGAAGCGAATGAATATTCCAAGGTTATGATGACTTATTGTTAGTTTTAATTCAGTGAATTGAATGGTACAAATGAAATGAAATTGCGATTGTAAACTTACTCTATTGTTGAATTTACTCCATATCTCAAACCCCAATAGTAAACCGAATAACCCGTTACTTGACCTGGATCATTGGGATCAGTGATACCAAGGACAATGGCATTTTTGGTAACTGCTTTCACCCAAATATAAGGCGGGTTCTTTGGTACTGAACATTTCTCGGCGATTTCATAATAAGATTCTAACCATCATTTTAGAGCGATTGAGACCAAAGGGTTGGATTAGTCACAGATTGAAATGGAAACATGATATTAAAAAGGAAAGTGAATTGGGAACTTACCTTGGCTGTTATGAGCTAAATTGTGAATAGCAAACAAATTGAATATGATGAAAACGATGGTAATCACGATGATCAGTTTATCCATGATTCTGATTAGTTTGGGGAAATCAAGTTGTTAATAAATTAGATTTTTGTCGAAAATCGACTTGATATAAGTTTTCGAAGTCAAGACGATTCTTCATAGACTCGAAGTGATGAGTCCATAGGAAAGGAAAAGGTGAGGGAGGAGAAAGAGGAACAAGTGATGATGATGATGATGAGAGAACACGAGCTGAAATAAAAAGAAAAAGAAAAAATGGCAACAGGTCTCAATGTGATAGTGAGTTTAGAGTTAGATGGAAGAGCGTGAGATCAGGGAGAGAGGGAAAGAGTAGAGGAGGAGGAGTGGATGATGGAAAGAAGATTGAAGATGAAAAAATGATGTTGAGTTGAAATGATGAAGAAACAAAATAATTGAACAAGATGATCAACCAACCATTTAAGATCAATGGACCTAAACCATATTCTGTTCCAAGTCTAGGCCAATTTATCTAATTCATTTTCTTATTCTCAGGGAACCCGTTCATTGTATCGCCATCGTCGGTAAGTATAACAATCGGATGAGTTTTTCCATTGGAATACAAACCAGACCAATGAACAAACTCATTCTTTTTTCTCATCTTTTCTCTAATTAATCTGACATGGACCATGTTTAGAATCCACAGTTATCCACCTTCACTCAATCACAATTACAACAATTGGTTTGACAATTTGATTGAATTTTCGCCATCCTGATGAATCAAGTGGTGTGGAAAATTGAGGTAAGTTAATCTAACCAATGATACGATTTGATAAAAGATGGAAACAAATTAAGATTAAGGGAACATCGATACTTCAATTTGATTGCAAGAATAAGCCGAGTTCCTCTCAAGAATCTTTGCCCACTGCCTCCTTTTGGCTTGTTCATGCTGCTTTTTGTGGATCATCAACTTTTCTCCATTAATATCGTGCTGCTGATCAACATCATTTTCATAATGGAAACTCCTACAGAAAGATTTTCATATTTGATAACTTTTTTCTCTTCCATTTGGCAAACAACATTCGATAATTTGATATACAGTAATATCAAGTAACATTTCCAACATAACACTAATTGTATCTCTTTTATCCGACCATCTAAATCCCAATTATTGAATCAGTGATAGTTGACAAGTTAGTTGATTATTCAAAACAATAATCGTCGCAATTTATTATTAAATCAAGTTGAGCTATTTTTTTCATTAATCAAAATTGAATTAGAAGTATCTGAAAATGATTCCTTTGCGTCTTTAATTGCATCAGTGGTTGTTTCCTGGATAATAATGGGGGAAAAGTAATTAAATTAAATCTAATACGATAAATGGACAATAATCAATAAAATACATACACCTACTTTCTGTCTCGATATCAGGCCAACGTTGCTCGCTGCGGTTAAATAAACTGATCTTTCAGGTACGTCAGGATTGGAATCATCAATTGGAGCTGGTGGTCCAGGTTCTCTTTCGGTAAATGTATGGATTGGGAGTAATTGTAACCATTTCATCATACTTAATTCATTAATTTCGGTGTCAATTATAACTGGATATATGAACTGTTCCACAAATGATTTAATGACATCATTATATTCATCCCAAACCAAAGCTTCATGAATACCATCGCCACTGAATCTTTTGTTATACTTATCATAATGAACCTCTTCCAACATTAAACCCAAACCAGGAGCTTTAGGTATATCCAATCTTACTAATCCGAAAGCTCTGTCGATAACCTCTTCATTGGCGAATCCTTTCATTATACCGATTGCGAGTCCAATCATTTTACGAATTTGATGCATCATGAAAGATTGTCCTCTCACATGAATCTGAACGAATTCCAGATCTTTACGAATAAAAGGTTGACTGCATTCCATCTTGATGATGAAACGCATCGCACTTGGATCAACGGAAGTCTTTTGAGAAGTAAAATTGAAAAAGTTATGAGTTCCTTCATATTTTTTGAGAATTTGATTGAAACGATCAATATGTTCCAATTTAATCCGATAAGAGAGATCATTTTTTTCTTCGAGAGGAGCCAAAGCATACGAAGGCATCAGATAAGCATAAGTCCGACCATCGCAATAGTTTTTACAATCGAATTTGAGTGTAGTCTTTTTGGCTGCTATCACTCGAATCATTGGAGGTAAAAGCGCATTTATTTCAGGAATTGAACTTTGAAAAGATTCGGGCATTCGACAAGATAGAATTTGTTTAATCGCTGAAACACCTTTGTCAGTTCTCGCTGCTCTTTGGAAGTAAAATTCTTGGGGTCTTTCATAATGTTCTTGCTTGATTAGATTCAGTTTTAAGAAAGCATCAAACAAATCGCCTTCTATCGTCTTGACATCATTATTCCTGTGAAAGAAAAACGAGAAAATTAAAAACCAAGAACACGATTGTGATCATAAATTACCTTTGAAGACCATAATAATTGACACCACAATAGCTAATGAGAATGGCAAATTTCTTGTGTTTAACTCTCACCAAATCAGTTTCTGTTTTTAATTTTTTTTCTGCCACTGACTCACTTTCATCATCACATTTTCTTTTACAATCAAATTGACCAACGTCGTCACTTAATGGCACTTGTGAAGGATTTGTCACAGTTTCTTCCATTTTAACTGTTTGATTCGATGAATAATTTCGTGGATTAAAATTGGCGAGTTGCACTTTTTTACAAACAAATCGACGATGAAGACATGGACTAAATCGAGATGAGTAGATCACATCACTAACTAAACCTAGAATTTTACAATTGATTCTCATCGGTCGAGAAAATTAACTAATCAAACCTTTAAATAATCAACCTGTTGATTTTATTCAAATCATTTGAATAATATAATTTTCCAGTTTTAAAAGTAAAAAATCAGCTGATCCGAAAGCATGAGAGCCGATAAATTGGAAAATGTGCTGCCATCGAGTGGCTGGTAAACTCAATCATCTTATTTAACTGGAAAATTAGTTCGGTGCCCTTGGGGCAAAAATGCCTAATGCATTTGTCTTGATGATGAAAATAAACTTAACGATTAAAAGAAGTTAATGAAACAGTTTAATATATTTGGAGATATAATTTACAAGCAATATAATTATTATAATCGAGAGAGACAGTAATCAATTTGATCGTTTCCAATAAACAAATGTCATTTTCTTGGTGTAATTTCAGTTCCATTGAGTCGCTTGCTTGAGTAATCGATCAGTTGTAATAATCAGTTAATCGGTTTATTTAAAGTGAGAAAAATTTAAGAAATGATTGAGGAGGAACAGGAATATGTTGAGGAACCATAAAGTATTTTTCACTAATCTCCGATTCTCCAGATTCATCTGGATTATCCTTGTCCATTTCATTCACAGATCCTTGAGTGATAACACATGGATGACCAAAAGACTAGAGGAAAATAGAAAATAACGGTTAGAAAATTTGGAATTAGGCGAGAAAAATCATCAGGATTATGAAATAATCTATTTTCTTGATGATTTATTAGTGTATCAAGTCTTTTCTTATTCAAGTTGATTTTTGAGCTCAATGATCATCAGTTGATTACAATAATTCACTTGTTAAATTTTAAAAACGCAGAAAAGTGACAATCAAGTGACAGAAAATCAACTGAAATCCCATGATTATGATAATTGCCAATTGATGTTCACCAAGTCAATTGAATCTGGCAGAAGAATCTACGATTCTAGTGTCTTATTTATCCCCATGTTAGAATCAACTTGGAAATAATAATTTGATTATAATTAAATCAATTGATTTTAATTGTTCTATGCTACGTTAATTATTTAAACAATCAACTTTACTTGAAGATCCAATGATTATTGTCTGTTCTGGATTATTGCAAAGATTCATAACATTGGCTCGAATTTGTTGGAAAGAGACCAAAAAACGTCGCTCATTCAAAATATTCAAGTTTCAGAATCAAAAGTCAGCTGATAATTAGCTCAGCCATTTCGTTTTGCATCATAATCAACTTGATGATTGTTGTTGAAAATCTAAATTACTAAATCATCTTGGCTGATTTTCTGACATTCGACATAAAGCTATTCAAGAAACTTAGTGACAACAATAGAATTCGTTCAGATCAAATTGTTGATCGATCGCTAATTAGTTGAATCGCGTTTTAAGTGACCAACCACCTGAAGAATTTAAATCAACAATTAAACTAATGGCGATCATTACCTTCCAGAAAAGTGAGCGGCAATGACGACACAGGAATAGACAGTCAGCATATTCTTCCTTTAATCCAAATTTTCTGTTTACGAAAAAACAAAATTAATTAGATAATTTGCAAGGGAATAAGATCATGAGATGATTAACTTACTTTCTAAGAATGTGGAATATATGTTCCCAATTAACTTTACCATCGGCACTGACATTAGTCATCGATAGTTGACGAACTTGTTGACGAGGGAAATGATATTTGCAAAGTTGTCTCCAAATATGTTGTTCGTCGAGAAGACAATTCATCAGATCATAGGCTTCACCAGAATTAACAAGGTCTTTGTAATCACTAAGACGAAGTAAAATCTCACGAATTAACTCTTCGGGTAAATCAGTTAATCTTTTACTTCCATCATCAACTGGCTGTGGAACAACAACAAAATCAATAGTTAATTATCAAATTGTAGTAAAAATGATCCAGTTGAACTTGTATTTTAATTATAAAACAGATTAACCTTCAATTGGTAAGAATCTGGATTAACTCCAAATGGAAGTTTAAATTGTATTAATAAATCTCATTTCTTTTCTAGCGTAACAATCACTGAATCGAATCAAAAGTCTAATCATGATCAACTTACCTCTTTAATCTCAATTGTGTTTGCCATCTCACAAATTTTCTCGATGGTCTGTAGATGTTGTTCCCAAAGGAGTGTACTGCCCAATGGTCTTCCCCAGCAATAGTATCTTTTCATTATTTTCTTCAGGTCATGAAGCAAAGTGTGAAGAACATGAATGTTTTGTTGATTAGATGCCACTGAAATTACCAATTAAAAAAATTCTTATTAGAATATATGAATATTCATAACATTTTAATTATCAATCGAAAACCGTATAATTAGTTTAATCCAGACTAAAGCTTTAGGTCAATCAGATTAAAATCTTAATTGTTCTCTCCGGTTTTTGTATGTTGTTCATTTAACTGACATACCGGAAAACTTTTCAAGGTAAAACCAATTTCATTGAGATTGTCAAAAGAAATTAGTTGATCTGGTCAGTGTTTAGTTGTCATGTAGTAAAAACAACAAGTTCATGGATACTGATTGTTCAGTCAATTCAAAAGAATCGATAAAAAATCAAGTAATTGACTCTTGTTATTATGCATTAGTATCAGACATAGATTGTTATTCAATCATGACGTTTGAATTACTTGTCAAAATTAAGCTTATTCAAGCTAAATCTTTATCATGACGATTGAATGATTTCACAAAACCACCTGATAATCAATTGATTGCAATGTTATTGTTTGATTGCTCACCTTGCCAGGCAACTTTTTCAAGTAAATTGAAAAGTACTTTGGTCGCTGCTCCGCTTAACGAAGTTAAATTTTGAGTGATTAGTAAATGAAGCAATTTACAAATATAATTAAATCGACGAATGTCTCTGATTGCGTTACAAAAATCCAATCGGTAAAAAGCTTCTGAAATCGTATTGAAACCTGCAACTTCTTTGGTCGATTTAAGAGTAATGTGACAATGAGGTGGTCGCCAATTGATTAACGGATCATCTCGAGATTGTTGACTTGATGAATATGAATTTTCTGATGAATTGTTTGGTGAAGATGAAAGGCAAGATTCAAGGTCCATTCTACTTCCATCTGAGCTTCCATTGCTTTCATTTTCTGAATCAGAATCTCCAGATGATTCACTAGAGCTGTGAAATCCACTTCTTAAGGAAAGTAATCAAAGAAAAACAAGAAAAGTCAATTAGAAAAATTTTGAAAATAAAATCTGTGAAATTGTCAAATGGAACGGAAATCTTAATGTACTTTTGTTTTCAGGTCAACAACCGAAAGTGATTAACATGATTTTGTTGATGATTAGGGTGATGAAGATAGATTGAGTTTTACAGAGGAAAGACCAGAACTATTAATAAACTACAATGAAAAGACCATCAGGAGGAAAAAAGAACGAAAAAAACTAATACAATAAATGAAATTCAATATTTACGAAATGATTGCTCGTTCAAAATGGAAATGTAACAATCAATTAAGAAAACAATAAATTAACAGCAGATAAATTATACTTCTACCAAAATAATCGAGCGATAATCGCAAGATAATCCTCAAAGACCAAAATGCAATGACTTTAAATTAAGTTTTAATGACAATTAGAGAGTTAATTAAGTTCATTATCATCATCTATCATTAGATTACATCGAAACACATGGATTTAAGATTCAAAAATAGTCTTCAATGTATGACATGTTGGAAATCTATTTTTGTACCGACGCGAGTCCAAAGATTTCAAACAAATAATCAAGAGGCGAATATTAAAGTGCAATCAAAGGACAAGAAATCATCAAAAGAAATTGTTAGATCCAAACAACTTAATCATATGGTAAGAAATAATTACAGTTTTTCAATTATTTACAATTAATTTGATTTTAATGATGGAATGAGTCATTAAAAATGGTCCACCGAGATCCAATAATATCAGTTAACTGTTAATTACTGGGAAAATTATTGAAGGGAACTACAATTAGAATGGATATACGATTTATAATTTGTGTTATTCATCGGAATTTGAGACAATTGAATCAAATTATTTCGATTAAGTTGTTGAAAATTACGGAAGCGAAATTGTCAATTGTTTACTTTGAGAAACTGTGATTAAAATGGGAAAAATCGTAAAATAAGCAGCTACAAACACGAAATCCAAATGTAATTCTCTAATGATTACCATTATTATTACGATACAACTACGATGAAGTGAATCATCTGAATCGATCCGGAAAATGGCCTGAAAATACTGACAAGTATCTTGGTAAAGGCTTTCGCTATTAGTTAGCTAACTCAATTAAAGGAAACTTTTTTAAGTTCGAATTGTATTTTTAGTTTTTAAGTTATCGTTATTTAATTTTTTGTGGCCTCAGAAATGTTCAATCATCTTTAATTAACTCAATTTGATGAAAAAAGTGATTATGATGACGAGGATAATGATAGAGATGATCAAAAGCTCCGAGCGATAAAAGTGAATCTGTTTTACAATTAATTTGATTCCTCATGATTATGATGAAAATGGCTTGAGGCAAATGATATTAAATCAACAATTTAATATCAAATTATGGCTCAATTTATTGTTACCTTAATTATCCCAACTATTGTTTAACTAATTGCTTAACTTTGCTTTGATCATTCCAACCTCTTGATAACTGAACAATTGTCAATCCAATTAAATTGCTCATCTTTATGTTATTAATAGATAATCACCTAATCTCAATTAACTAACTTCGATTATCCCTTAATTGTTTGGACATTATACGGAAGATTAATTATAATTGTATTTGTTGAATAAAAAGGCTGATCGGAAGCTCAATTAGTTTGTTAATTGGTTGAAAGAGTTAATTTGACCGAGATTAGAGGTATTATAATCAAATAAACAAATTATTTGGGAAAATCAATCAACCAGGAATTAATTAGTTAGTGGTTAACAAAGTGAATGAGCTTAATTATTGTACAACCTTCCGGACATTAATTGTTACGCTACCAAGAACGATGTTTAATAATAATAATTTAATCTTGATTGTTATGTGAAATTGATTATGATTATCCAAATATTAATAATCGGATCACGTTTTCCAGGTCACTTTCACTTTCATTTTCAATATTTTGTTTATTTTTTTGATTTGGGGTAAATTCAGCAAATTAATTTCAGTAAAACCTTTTTGAGTCAATTCTTTTTGAGCAAAAACAGAATAGAACATTTTTACCTTTAGATTAAATTAGCTTAATCAACAATGAATTTACCAAATCAAATGAAAATCATAAAAGGTAAAAATGTTCTATTCTGTTTTTGCTAAAAAAGAAACAATCGTCATGCACAATCTTCGGCAGCCTTGAACTTCAGTTTCAATTCTGGTTCATATCAATTCTGGCGAGAGAATAACAATAACATGATTTCTACTCTGCGCAGATTAATCTTAAAAAAGTAAACATGATAAGTCTGATAATTGAAAATCTGCTAGATAACCTTTGACCTCGTTCTAGTTAACGAATTATTTAGAGGAACAATAACGGGATTTGATAAATTCTAGGTTCTAGTCAGTTAACTGGGAGATAAGGCCAAATAATTTCATTGGCGAGTCAATGAGATTCAAAGTTCATTTGAATGCATATCGATAAGAAAAAATTTTACGACCCAAACACAAGATTATCAAATTATCTTCAGATCATCAGATTATCGATTGACAATAAAGATACTTACTGATCACAGAATCGCTCTTGGGCAAATAATCGATTTGATTCCAACAATTTAAGTCGTTCCCATGAACCTTTATCAGTTTTAACCCATTGCTCTCCAGGTGAACGCCAATCTTGTCCGATAAATACCATAACTTAACAATTGGAACTCGAGTTGATTATTAATAGCTAGTAATTAATTATCACAAAATTAATGGTAAACAATGAAAACAGAGTAAACAGCTGATCAGGATAATACAATCACAACTTTGATCCAAAAACAATTATGTAGAAAAGCAACTTAAATCGTGTCTCTAATCAAAAATCACTACAGTGAGAAAATTACACAATCATAATTGACGATTATGACCATTGATTTATCACGAACAACCTTAATTGTTAATTGCGATTCTAAATGAAAAATCAACAATTTCGTTGCCTTTTTATTAAATTGAACTCAAGATGAAACAATAACATTAAATAATCTCGAAGAAATCAAGTCAACATCGCAATTTGACTTTGCGCAGAAAACTAACCAACAAATAATTTTATCATTCGAAATTAACTTCATCTTTTCTTCATCCTCATCATCCTCATCGTCATGGTGACGAAAGTCTTGCGCAGTTACGAAACAGTTAGTTGATTTACTTTTCCTGATTTAACTGATAACAACGACTGTTAATGGGTTAACAATTAAAGAAAATAACAAAAACAAACACGACAACAAATGATAGAATCAAATCATTTGACTTTTGATCTAATTGTAACCATTTTACTCGTGGCTAAATTACAGTTGAAACTAACGATAAATTGTCTGTCTAATTGACAGACTTCAGGTAATTTCTTCCAATTAGTCTCTTAGTAATCGTACTAAATCTTGAAATTGCGAAAAAACAAAAAATTGAAGTTATAACTCCATCTATTGGTAACTGTTAAAGTGAATATTCGAAAGATAGATTTTTCGATTATAACGGTAATATGAATCCTGAGTCTTAAGCCTTAAAAGAATGAGTCTGAACGATACTCGGTCGCCATGATCAAGGTCAATTGAGATTAGATTAGTTCCCTTAACTCTTACCTGATTCATCGTGGGTTCAATAATTGACCAAGTCATTGGAGCTTCAGGAGATTTGCTTTTCCTCATCATCCTCATGGTAAAATCAAAATAAAGCATTTGACTTTTAACAAAGTACCTGAATCGCTAAGAGCCTTCATTGTACAATATTGAATTTTATTGCTTTGATTGTCATTTTTATTACAATAAATGATATTAATGAAAAACGAACAATAAATTGCTTTTAACTATTTAAAAGTAACAAACTAATTTGCTTGTTAATTAATATAATCCAACAAATTAAGGCAATGATTCCAATAGATTTTACATTAGCACCTCGACCACAATCGTGTTTAGAGATATTGAATTCCTGTTGAGTAAAATAGATACAGAATAGAAAAGGAGGATTCAGAACTTTAATTATATCAACTTTCTAATTGAATTTTACCTTTTTATGGAAATCAAAGCAGGATGTAGGCCGTTTTCTTTCGAATTTTCGATGAGTGTTTATTTTCTCGCATGGATCACCCGTTTTCGATTCATAAGTAACTTCTTGAGGAACAATTGATTGTCTTTTTGGAGATGAAGGACATTGATTATGCGAAACTAGAATAATCAAATTTGTCTGTGGAATCGATTGGACAACATAATTTCTAAAGAAAAAGCGAGAATAATAATTAATCAGGTTTGCTAATTTAAAATGGAATTTAAACCTACTGTTCGCATCCATCTTCCAATGTGTAAGACTTTGCTGTTGGCTCGGTGAATTTCTTAAGATTCTGAGCTTCATAGAGATGGAAAAATTTATCGCATGGATAAAATGAAGTTCTCGCAGGAGCAATCAGATTACCAGCCGAGTTATTGAAATAATCAAGTTTTGCTTGTCTCTCCAAATATGCGACATCATAATCTGATGGTAAAAAGTAATCAGCTAATACATGTGAATAGTGATTAGTCCAATCAATCGTAATCAGAATCTTGATTGTGTTAAGTATAAATTGTCCGGAAATCCAAGTAACAAGACTTTTAATCCAGTCAAATGTTGACCATAAAGATGCTGATCCACTACGACGTTCGCCCTCAGCAATGCAAACCGCTTGATAGTCGAATAGTTTAATCTTGGTATATAAGCCAATTTCGACAAGATCATCCAAAAGATCGCTGTCCAGTTGTCCAAAAAAAAGTCCAGCATAATGAACTAATCCATCGGGATCTTGAAAGTCTCGATCAGAAGTAATAATGTAACCATTGTTATCCAATAGAAGACAATCAATCTCATTTGAATCACAATTAACTTGACAATTTCCTCCGGAACAAATTGCTGGTGACTTTAGGAATGATTCAGCGAATGGTTTATATGGGATTTTACCCAATACTGAGCCGATTGGGACATCAGATACTTTAGAGTTTTTCGAACTCAGCATGACCGCTTTCGAGACAGAAACGTAAACATCCTGCAATTGCTTTTTATTGGAAACTGCATCGAATGAAATTGAAAACAATAGCGAATTCTCTTTGGCTCTTGTTGAAAATTCAACTGATCGTTGGTAGTAAAGGTCATCAATCGACTTAACGGGAATAAAATCATCAGGAAAATTCGACATTGATAATGGATCTTTAATAGGATACAATTTAACTCTTGTTAATCCCGAACGAGTTGATAAAAGCTTCAATACAAGTTTCGGATCAGTTTTCCTAAAATGAGATGACCAATTGGAAGAAATTAATATCAATATAAAATCGTAAGTGATTATTAGAATAGTTACCTCGATGAGTTGGATTTACATTGATCAAAATTAATATTGGTGAATTTAGCATCAAATATTAGTCTTTCAATCAACTCCCGATCGCCTGTTACAAAAAAAAGATACAAAAGTAATTTAATCATCGAGATTGTCATGTTTATAATCATTGATATTTTCTTACAAAATAAAAGTTTAGTTGAAGCGATTCCCCCAGCATTTGTCTCTAATGATCCAATCCAGTCAATCGCCTTCTCTCCTTCTTCTCGCCAACGATTGAGAAAAAGCTTGACCATAGCCTCAGGGGACAATGATTTGTACATTGGATCACCTCGATTTCGAGGATTAACATAACAATAAACCCAATCAGGGTGGACATACCAATCATTGGAAGTGAAGTATTTACTATAATCGGGATAACTGGTTGCATCCAATTGGCCTTTTATTGTACTGAGGCCATAAGTCTCTGGTAAAACAATAGCCGTTGTAAAGGGTGTGTCATTGATTGCAGTCCAGCAGAATTTATTTAATCTTGTCATCCCTCGTTTCTAAATAAAATAAATAATGAATGGAACTTTAATAATCACTTCATCTGAGTAATAATCTATTATACAGGGCGTTTCTTTTAAAACTCATAAGTGATTTCAGATCTTTCTTCTCAAAAACCTTCAGATGACCTCTAAACTAACTCTTTAGAGAAATGAGATTCGGACTTGAAGCTCCTTCAGTTCTGATTAAGCCACTGATCGTGTTTGACTTTTACATAGCTTTGTTTGGGATATTATTAAATACCGGCTAAAAAGTCCCTGTACAGATATCTCTCGATGACATCTAAACGTGATCTTCAGGGAACGATCGCAATGACCTTGAAATTCATGCTCAGCTCACTAATAAAGTCTGACACATTTGAGATATCCAGTGAAATTGCCATAGCGGCTCAATTCATGATAAAATGAGAATACCGAGCATCTTAGATTATTTGAGAATCAAGAAAAGTCAACATTAATTTCAATCTATTTAACAGAATCAATTCTATTTGTACTAAGACTGTAAATATCAGAACAATTTAAACCATGTTAAACATGATACATTGAAGTAAAAATCTAATCAAACTATTGATTAAGTTGATGATGAAAATAATGATCGAGCAAAGATCCTTAAATAAAATTTCATTGATTTCCTGAGGAAATCTGAAGCCAAATGAAAAAAATTCATAAGCAATAAATTGATAATCAATAATTGCGATTACGATGTTTTGATGTGAAGGATAAACAAAATGATCTGAAAAGATTCTCAGGATTAAACTAAACTTCAATTTAATGAAAGGTCAATGAAAAAAGTCTGAAACTAATGGTCACTTTTCATCTATTACTTTTATGTTGTTCTGAGTTTTATCAGCTAACTAATAACAATAAAATATTTTATTTATTCTCCTTGAATCATGAAGCTACTTTCAATTCAATTCTTTTGAAATAAAATTTATCCTATTGGTCAGTAAGATAACATTATTTCAAATGATAATCTAAACTGGACAATGAAAGAAGAAAGAAAACAATCACCGATAAGACTAGGAAATTGTTCTGAAAATGTCATGCTGAGCTCTCAAAATGATTCGGAAAGATGATCCTGTTGAAAGAATTCATTTCTTTTTGATAAACAAACTATTTGTTTCGTACGAAAACAATTGAAAGAGAAAAAAGATTAACCGATAAATAAGATCATCAAGGTGACCAAATGTTTATTTAAACTGACAGATTTTTTCTTATCCTCGAGCACTTTTCAAATAGATTCCTATCATAATATATCGTTCAGAGTTTAGAATTTATTTTCACAAAACTTTTGGACAAAGAAATGCCTACTTTTCGTTGACTGATTCAATCAACTTTAAAATTCAGTCGAAATCATAATCTGGTTCAATCATGTTTATGATCAAGCAGAAAGTCAAAAATTGCAATGAAAACGACAGAACATTCAATATTTATCATGGTTATTATTCCTATTATTCAAGATTACTAGACAACCTGAATTGTTAACGTTATAAATTAATATGTAATCATGTATCTGTCAACGAACTCTTGATCTCTCTCATTGATCATAATAACAATCATACACATCATTCAGCTGATCCATTGACAAGATGTTGAGGAGTGAGAGAAACAAAATTGTAATGATTGACATAAAACAATCTCAATGATGGGATTACATGGGAGTTACTGAATTCCTTGAATATTAAATGCTCTGAGAGGGAGAGACACAATCGACACTGAAGAGATGATAAATTGATGTTGAAAAACAGTGAATTTCATATTAATCCAATCGTTTATGATCATGCAATAAACGTTTTAATAGTTTTATTAATAAACTCAACACGACAATGTCCAAGTGATTAGTTGATTTTTTGACAAAAAAAGTTATTTTAATAGTTAATATGGTTACACCTCGTCAAAGGCAAATGCTATAGGATTTTATCATAATTTGTTTGCATTATTTTACTGATTATTATTACTTTCATGGGATGTATAGGATGTTCAGAGCTTGGGAAAGATATCATGAAAACGATAAGGAAGCAAGAGATTATATTATGTTCTGAGGAATTTAGTAACTGAGCATCTTCAGAATAATATGATTATCATGTCAACAAGAAACCGAAAGTCAATGTAACCTTTGTCATTATCAGTGATCATTGTTGATTTAATGTTGATTGAACGTGGTTAGAACTGATTGAGCTTTAATATCAGAACCGTTAATCCAGTTATCATTTCAATTGTTAACCAGATTCAAGTCACAATAAGGATATTGCACATCAGATACCATTTCATCATCTCTCCATCCTCTTATCTTGTTTTTCTTACATTATTATTACAGATAAATCATATAATCAATGAAGAAAAAAATCAATCCTAAACATTAGTCTTCTATTTATCACCTTAGTCATTATTATCTGAATCATTATCACAATTACTCAGTTTATTTTGTATTCTCATGTTTTATTTTATCGAATTGTGAATACAAGTGAGTGAATCGTTAATTCAATCTTCTTCTAATACATTGTATTCATTGATAGATTAATGGTATAAATTGCACGACAATTGCCAAGAACAAAATATTAATAAGTTGTGAATATTAATTCTGTTTATATTTCTATTAGAGAATCTTATTGAAAGTTGCACGATAGTTTAATGATATAAGACTTTTCATCTCAATTGGCAGTCGATCACTAATCTTATCATTGACAGGGCGATTACTGAGAGAATGGAAAATGTAGTAATCAAATTACTTAATCAACTGATTATAATGATCAAATAAACTTATTGTCAATCTAATTTGTGGCTCATCATCAATGATGATGATGATGTTTAATTAAAAGCTATTATTATACAGAGCTATTCAAATTGGTTTTACGCTCGTTTTAATTATAATTCACAAAACTATTCTCAAGGACAATCAAACCGTAAAGATAAGATTGAACTTTAAAAACTTTTAGAAGTTTCAAGGTCATTGAGATGATTTCTCGAAGAACTCATTTAGAGGTCATTGGAAGATTTTTTTACTCGAAATTCTTCAAGTTATATTGATCTGTATTGTTGTCAAACTGATGAAATTAATGATTAACGATTAATTGTTTTAGAATCCATGTCAATGTAACAATTTGTCAATCAGATGAAAATTGAAAATTGCAACACAATGAGATTTCAATAATCTCCGATTGTTTAATCCTCTTTTTCCCATGAAAAGTAAATTGCTACAATGAATCAATGATCAACATCTATTGATAAATTGTTCATTTGCATGATGACAAAAGCAAATCATTAACTGGATCATTTTTTGAATATTGATCAGATTAAAAAAATAACAAGACTTAAGTTGACATTAAACTAATAAGATTCTGGTGAATAAATTGATTGGGAATAAAAATGATCATTCATATTTGATTAATCTGATGAGGATTAATCTTGTAAGTGAACTGTAATTATTATTGAGTGGTTATGGTTATGTGATGATTGATTAGCCAATGTAATAGTAATTAGATTGTGAGGATAATTAGAGTGAGATGACGATCATAATTGATTGGCATTGTCGTTTGATAAAAAAGTAAATTAATATTAATTAGTTAACCAGGAATCAAAAAATGAGTTAGACATGAAAAGTTTTGAATCAAATGTAACGTTAATTACCAAAGTAACATTATAATCCCATCTTGTCAAAATTATCTTATTCTTATCCCAATTAATTATGAAGATTAACATGATCGTTAATTGCATTTCCAGAGTTGAAATTAAAGCAAGCGAGCAAACAATTAATTCAGTTTATGATTCTTTTCGTGGTAATCATTTCAATGTTACATTAATTGTGGTCGATTTCACCAGAACATTAACTTTCAATGTAAATCAACATTATCTGTGTGAACAGAATTAATCAACTGAAAGCTGTGTTGATTTGTTTTGACGAAATAAAATCATGTTAATTGTGACTATTTAGTTTTATCACTTCATGAGGTGGTCATCTTAATGGTACTAACTCGAAAATCATTAAAAATTGAGTTTCATTATTTGAACAAAAATCCATTTGATTAATGCGATTGAAACTTTTACAATCATAATTCACATGAGAAACTTGAATAGTCCAAGTTAATGGGGTCGGTGACAAATGCAGGGAAAGTAAAAAATTGAAGATCAGTTCATTTCATTTATTTCATGAAGAACCGCGATAACTCAGTTTCTCTCACATTTTCGATGACGATAAATAATGATAATCATCATGGTGAGGGTTCGATTGAACATGAAAATTGTTCAGTAAATGTATTGGAAATGGTGATTCAAGGAGATGTGGGTGTTGTTGATAGACTATTAAATAGGAAAATATTCTGATCAATAAAATTCAGTTGTTAATCAGATTCATTCATCCTGATTGTTCAAATTTCAAAAGTTGTTGTAATCACCAATCTTGATTCTTTCAGGTAAACTTATCATTCTGACAATAACATTAACTTCACACTTTTAGAATTAATTCACAATTTTCTAAAGAATCTGAACAACGTAATGATTTCTGTTCATTTTGGATTCTGAGGCTTATCGGATGTTTCTTATTGATTGCTGGCGATTCAACTAATCTAATTTTGTTAATTTTTGATTGATTATTATTGATCATAGTCGCCCGAAAATTTTTCACTTCACTTAATGAATGAATAAACTGAACAATGAATTTGATTATTTCCATGGTTCTCTGAAGCATCAAACATAATAATAATTATTAACTCAATACTAATAATCACCATTAACAATAACTCTGATACTTTCTGATAACATGAGTGAATTTTTCAACAAAAACAATGTCGACATGTTAACATTAAGGTGATAACTGATAAAATAACACATCAATCTTGAATAATCTCAACTTTTCATCAGAATTTCAGTTAAAAAACATGAGTGTATTAACAGATACTCAGAATTCCCATGTGATCAGTTGAAACTAAATTTTTTCACTACGAAATCAATTGAACCGAAACCAATTCAGTCACTGATTAGATTACATTAGTTTAATCATGATTGAATAACAATCTGATTTACATTAAATTACTTTTGCTTTGATTAACAATGTTCACAACTAATTATTAAATTTTCTTGATTCTAAAATCTTAATTCAATTTAGACGGAAACCTCAACAGAATAATAAATCGGAATCATTACTCACCATTGAATCGACGTGCAATTTAACTTTTAATGTTCGACAATCAGGCTTCCGATAGATCATATTTTTCCGCATCTCAATTAAATCAGGACTAAATTGCTGAAATTAAAAGAGAAAAAACTAGAGCAATGAGATTTTAAATGATTTCCAGTCAAGTGTTGAAGATGGAGAATCACAATTTAATTGGAATAATGTTTAGTCTGTTGATTTTCAACAAACAACAAGTTTAATCACTTAATTAACTATTGCTTAAACTAGAAAGTTAATATTGTATTGTTCATCTCAAGAATCTGAAAGTAATCAAGAAATTAGAAACTTACCCTGGATTCCTTTTTATTATCAGCAATCTCAACTTCCAGAATATCAACTGAGCTGTAATAGGGCTTTAATAGATTTTGAAACTGAAAGAAAACAATAAATTCAGTGGTTAATTATCAAGTTGATAAACAGGGCGGTAACACTAATTAAACGGGTTTGTTTTTTGAATCACTCCTCTACTAAATATCAGATGGACTTTTGGTCAATCTATTCGAGATTTTTGTAGCTTAGGGTCTAGTAAGGTACTAAGATAAAGGTCACTAGCTACGGGCCACGTTTAGAGGTCATTTGATGATTATTTTGGTAGGAAGAACATTTGGTTTGACCATAAATTCAAAGTTTGGAGCAAAAGGAAAGAGAAAAATAATAATCAATATCTTTGATTTGAAACAAATGATTTCGATCCGATTCAATTTAATCAAAAAAATTCGTACCAAAACCTATCAGAATAAGACAATAGGAAATTTATAACAACATTTCTTGTTAATACTTAAAAGAAACGTAAAATTGAATAATCTTTAGAATCGTTCGTTACAGAATGACCGGAATGCTCTTGAAATCACATATAACAATTGAGTGTCACCAAAACTTTTTCTTAACTCGAGTCTGGGTCTGAATACCCAAAGATGAAAGAGTTATTTCAAAAAAACTTGTTTAAATCATTTCAGGTAATTATTAATGTTAATTAACTAGATAGAAGGTAATCAGTACATGTATCCAGCATACAATCAATTAAGTTACATAATCATTTATTTTGATTTGTGGTGTATGAGAATAAAAAATTGCCGAGATACATGATACTAATAGATAGACAATAATGAATCATGTTTATCTGAATAAAGGAAAAGTTCAGTTCACGAATCAGTAGAATTGAGGGTGTTGACTTATTAATGATCATGATATTGATTCAATTAACTCAAATAAAGATACAGCAATTAGGGTCGTTTGATACATTCAATTCAATTATTATCTCAAGTTTATTCAATTAGATTCTGTAAATTTTAATCCAGTTAATTGACATCAATATAAAGTGTTGTAATAGATTTTCCTTCATTTCCATAGACAAACAATTATCCTTGCTAATTAATTGTGATACTATAAGAATAAGAGCCATTTAGTAAATTGACAGAAGCTCACTGATCAAATTAAAAGGTAAACTGTAATTTCAATGAGTTTTAGATTAACCTGAACTAATTCAACAATTATCGAGCAAAGATTATCGAAACTGATTAACTGTTTGTGAGTACATTAGTTGATTGTAGGGGTTATTAATATAGACTAATTATTTTGAAGATTTTGAGTTTATTGTGAACAGAAAACAAAATCAACTGATGATAGAGTTTTAATTGTTTCAAATCTCTTGCTAAATGATAAGCCTAATGAAATTATTCTGAGAATCTAAAATCATGAGTTATTATTTAAAACTCAATTCAATTAAAAATTGGATTAGCTGATGAAAGCAATTAAGTGATTGCCACTTTATGTTTCTCCTAATACTAGTACATTACTGTAATGGTAATTATCCTGGCCGAGGATTGAAACAATAATGAGACTTGGATGGTTCAGATAATCTTTTACCATCAAAATCATCTCAGAGTAGTATCTCATTTCCTGATAATGACGATGAAACTACGTGAGAATGATTCCTAAACGATAAGATGAAGATTTTGTAATCACGAGGATCATCGTGAAGAGACAGAATTAGATTAATGAATCTGGACAGAATTTCAAGCTTTATCATCCCAATGGTGAGCCAATTTAGAGTCGGATAATATTACAGGTATTGCAGAATTGAAAGGATAAAGAATATTGATTCAATAATCATTAAAAGATGATAGTGAAAACATGATATCGAATTGTATAAGAAATGAAATCTTTGAAATCCGATACATCGAATCATAATAACTATTAAAAGGCGATAATAATAATTCAGATGAATTCAAATTATCCAAGAGTTATTAATAGAATAACAAAAAATGATACAAGAAATCAGCTCGAAAATAACATTCATAAGACTGAATATCAATGTTAACAATTTTTGATACTACAGGGCGATTCAGCTAATTTGTATGTACGTCTTTTTGCAATTACGTAGAAACTTATGGCATATTTAAAGGTCAAGGTCATGAAGGTTATTCTTCGAAGAAACCACTTTGACGATTTTTTGTAAACTATAAATTTTTCTAGGCCTACTAGTGAAGTTACGGCTTGATAACATAACAAACAGTGTTGATATTGCACTTAGACTAAATCGATAACTTGTGATGACTTTTTACAGAAAAGTTAGCTTAATTATCCTGTAAGATCTGAGCATTAATCTGATATTCATGGCGAACAAAAAATACCTTCGATCTGTTCAATGGCTACAATGATAAATGGATGAATGTAATTGAATCAGAAAAACATTGATGAGGAGAAAATGAGCAAAAAAGTTCTAATGATGAACAATAATGATAATGATGATCAAAAATAATCGTTGAAGAAAACTCATTTTTCTTTGTTGATTATGCTATTCAATTTGTTCGATTCTATACTTAAGCAGTTTATGAATTGATTATGAAGAGAATACATGAAATTTAATACCCTTATTCTTTGGGAAGAAGGGAGCCAGTAAATATTCAGAGTTTTAGTTTTTTTCGTTTTGTTACTCAGAAAAAGTTCTGATGGTTTCAGATTATTTTTACTATTGATAGTATAGGAATTCTCAGAACATGAAAATAATGGTGTTTAGTGGAAAGGGAGAAAAAAAACATTTATTATAACCAAATTTTATCTATTTATCAGGTCAAATCACAAACACTATTGATAAAATTCATCAATGCATTAATCGTTTACATGTGATGAACTTTCATGTTGGGAGAATTTTTCTGAAACTTTTCAATTTTTTTTCATCACCATTATCTCAATCATGCAAGTATTCATCATCTTAATACTGGCAACTTAAATTGGAGGTTTGTAATTGAGAACAAGCTTTTGGAAAGAAAAAAGTTTATTGCATTTCTGAAAATTTATATTATTTTTCATTCCATTCCCTGAATTTCAGATTTACTATTTCGAAGATGATGAATGTTTTTTGTTTCATAAAACAAGTTGAGTTTCAAGATTATCTGCTTCATAGATTTGCAACTCTGATTCAATTGCGAGTAATGAAGAAGAAGCAAAAAATATCGATATGTATAACAGTCAAGGGATTGACTGTGATATTCAAAGTTCTGGTTGTGGATTTACTGAGGTTGGAATAACATTATCTAGTTATGAATGAACTTAGGAGAGAGAGAGAGAGAGAGAGAGAGAGAGAGAGAGATGAAGAGAAGAATTGAGCAGATTTAGTCATCTAAACCTCTGGTGCTGTTTAGTTTAGATTCTGTTTACTGTTCCTTGTTGAGAGTTTTGTCTCTGCAGGGGTTACTAAGGTTACTACGATAACAAGGAAAATGCGTAAACTTCGATCAGATTTTAGTAATAAATGAGAATTTTTTTGTTCCCCTGATTGGCAAAATTTCATCAATTCTGATAATTCATCAGAGTATTTACTTACCAGAGTGCGAAGGTCTGGATGATAAAGAACGAAACCATTGTTATTGATACTGAACGAATAACCATTTACACCAATCTGAATTATCGAGAACATTAATTAATTTGGTTATGTTAATTGTTGTGAAAATTGATTCCTTTTCAATTTACCTTATAACTTGGAATCAATTTGATTATTTCATTTAGCGGAACATCAACACCAGCAACACCTAAAAGCTTGAGACAGAAAAAGAAGAAAATTAAACAAACAATTAACTAGTCAATCATCGTTGGTTTAAATTGTAATTAAAATCATTAACTTCTCCTTGTGGGAGTAGATTGAACCTGAATACATCAGTGGGTTCAAGGTATTAACCTGATACTTATTATAACGATGTTATTATTGAATAAGGTTAATCCGATTATCTTTTAATCATTTGTTACAATTAAAACCTATTAATATGAATAAAAATAACATTTCATTGGAAACTTTTTCACTCATCTCATTGAAGTTATTTACCATCGAAGTAAGAAAAAAATTGATAAATGATCAAATCAAATAGCCTGAGGGTAAATTGCTCAAATTTAAATCACGTTGTTACTGATATATATTATTAGAAAATATCATGGATCATGAAGATAAATAAAGTTGTATTAATTCAATGTTATCGTTGAAAATGATCATGTTCATGATGACGATAACTGAACTTCTGAGGAATTAAAATGTATAGAGGGTAATGTTATTTTCTAAGGGGCGGTGAACTTGAGTGACTTTTTATCTTAAAATGTTCAATCCTTTCTTATTGTCTAGATTATGTTCATCATGATGATCATTATCTTTATCCTCTTCAGTGATCATCATGACAGAGATGCTCGAGACAACATCTTTTTTATTCAATTCTAACCAAAACTATACAAATTATTCATACCGAAAATGAATGTTACTGAAATTTTTGAAAAAAAGAACAAAAGATGAATGAAGATAAAGAAGATTGAAGATCATTCCAATGATGATGATGATATGAAGATGACAAGAATAAGATTCTCAATAACATTGCATGAAAAGAAAAAAGGAAAACAAAATAAAAACATTATTATTATTAAGACAATTTCATATTCTTTCAATTTTGTTCCATTTTTAACTTTTATAAGAACTTTGTTCTGATTCTGAGTAGATCGGTTTTATATCTTCGCTAACGAAATTTATAAATAATTAAAGTAAATAAAAAGATGCTGTATAACCACAACAAATGATAAATTTGATTAATCTCATGAATCGATTGAGTGACTTGAATTTTCTGTCTAATCAAGTATCGAGCTTAAGTTTCTGGAAACTAATCGATAAAGATAAGCTTACATGGGATCCATCATGAGTTTGTGAAAAGCCCCATGAAGAAATTCTGGTTGAATGAATCGAGTGGAGGGTTTATTGACACCCGATATTAGTGGACCATTGGTTGAGAAATTATTTCACTCAATAGGAAGTTGAAGAGGTTTTTACTTCCGGTCAACATTTAATCATATTTCATGTGTTGACAAAAAACTACTGAAAAAAGGTTGATTGTCAGAATTCATTTATTACTATCATTACTTTCACCAATCATTTCATCATGATCAGAGTTTCGATTAATCTTGGATTGTTTAACTAACGATATCAACATGATAATCATATTACATTTCAAGCATTCATCATAACCCTAATAATAGTTATTATCATCTGACAGAGATTCATTATTCTTGATAATTGATGAAATCATGATCCATATCAATGACCAATTGATAAGTAAAAAATAGCTTACTAATTAATAAAATTTGAAAATGAAACGATTAATCTGATTTTGAATAAACTTCAAGTTATCAACATGACTAATCTCTGTATTATTTATATTTACCATTAAAACTCAAGTATTAATATTATTTCAACCTAATTTCTTACAACATACTGGTCCCTAAGTGTTGCTAATACCTTGATGAAAAATGATCAAGTTAAATTTAATTATCAGCTATGATATTGAAATACTATCATTTTGATTGCTCAAATTGGGTTATTTAATCACTTTATCCATAAATATATTAGTTAAGTAAACAAACAATTAACTTGATATTTACATAAATGAAACTGATTGAACAAAAATTAATAATAAATCATGTTTACATTGTGAATTATATCAAATGTTGAATGACAGTAACGAAAAATGTGAAGCAGATTATAATTAATTTAATAGATATAAAATCGAGATCGATAATCTGTTCAGAGTTCTGAAAGGGGGAAATTTACATCTACAATTTGGACAAATGAAATAACGATTAAAAGTCGATCCAGAAATTTTAAATTCTTTCGAATCTCTTTAGGCAGTTTCCGGTTTAATAAGGAAATAATAATTTTCGATTTTGATTTTTTCTCTCGTTATTCTATCAGTTAAATCGAGTTCTTTTCAAGTTCGAACAATTGAAATTCTATTATTATTATATTTATACACTTTGATGAATAAAGTTTAACTTCAATGGAGTTCTTATCATGAAATCTTTTCCTTTTTTTCTTCATCATCATCTTCATCCTCTTGCTGCAGGGGAAGAATAAAGAAAAGGATAAACGACTTTATCATCTTCTTATTGAAAAAAAGTTTCAAGTTCTCGAAAGAGTAAATTTTATCGTTATATTTTGGTGTTTTGTTTATCATGTCCATTGAGACTTACTGTTGAGTTCCTACGATTTAAGACTGGAATTGCAATTGTTGTCATCAGATCGAATGGAACCTGAGTCAAGTTTTCGAATACAAAGAGAATAAAAATGTTATTATCGTAAAAAAGGAGTAAAAATGAAGAGGAAAAAGTGTCACATGGAAAAAAGAGTATCAATTTACCCGAGGCTTAAACTTTTCTTTTTTCGGTTCAATGTTCGGTTTCCCATTAATTGTGCCTTCAGAATTATTCACTTGCTCTTCACCTCCATTTGCTTTGACTTCCTCTGTTCCATCGACACTCTTGCTATTTGGCTCCGTTTCTCTTGCCGTTCTCAAAGGAACTGAATCATCTTCTGATGCCATCTTTTTCTCCAAATCGTCTTCGTAGTCTTTCTCTTCCGGTGAATCGATAGTGTAACGAGTATTCAAAACATCATCACCTTTTGCTTCCTGTAATCGAATTAATCTTCTTTGGTAAGCTTCTCGAATCGTTGATCGTTCCAATGCATCCCAGATCCATGGAGCTAAATCAATTTCCTGATCAGATCAACCAAATAAGAATAAAAATTTGATTAGAATATCAATGTCAACCAAATGATCCGACAGCTCGATAAATTTAATGAGGATTATTACACTAGATGAACAGGACTATTCGAGTTCGAAATACAATCTAAATTCACAATTGGGTTTACATGTTAACAGACAGTCTCAAGATGAAAGATTAATTAACATGGAACTTCAAATGAATTCTGGTGAAACTTGTTCACGGTCAACAGTTGAAAAGTTCTAATACCCAAGTTACTGTAAATTTAGAGATGTTATCAGTTATCAGGAAGTTTCAGTCTGTAAGATAATTTATCAACATGATAACAAGAATCGGGTGTAAACATGTATCATGAGGTTTCAAGTTTACTATTAAACTGTTAAGGGTTTTCGCCTTAATATTGATGAGTTCAGGAAACCTTTTGTTCCCAGGAAAGAGAACAGAGTAGCTCATGATTGTTAATCTTCCAATCCGATTCCTCGATTCATCTTGTGACTGGACAGCAACGATAACCAGCATACCTGGTTTACCATGGACGATGATGAACATGATGAAATAGAAACTCAGAAAAGTTCAAATCTTTTCTTTGCCTCATATACTTTTCATGATTGTTCAAGTTTTAAGATTAATTTCAAGATCAAAAGGTAATCTTCTTGTGAAAGGATAAGTGAAAATACTCAGTAACTACTTTATCTGATGAACTATGGATTGAAAAAAGCAACTCATTGATTTAAACTCAGAGCTGTCTGAACTTTTTTCACTTCTTTGAAACTTTTTTTCTTTTTCAAGATTGAAGCTCATTTATCAATTGCAATTCCAATGAATAAAAGTTAATCAGTTGAAGTATAAATTGACTCATACAAATTTCAATTGAACCTCAATGAAACTAAGGTTAACATTCAATTGTCAATAATCAGCAGTCAACTTAATCATGATGATTAGTAAGATGATAATCACAAGATTACATGAGTTTCAATTCTCAATTAAATGAAAAGGTCTCATTATAATGTCAATGATTAAGAGCTCATCATCCTTTTCCTTTTAATCTTCTATGTTATTACAATTATCTTCATCATCAAACTGTTTCTCATCAACTGGAAGATGTTGGAGCAACTCATTCATTGAATATCATGTTAAGATTAGCAAGAAAACAACAAAAAAGTAAAAGTTGTTGAGATGATAACAAGTAAGTTTATAAAAAAGGCTCAGTATTTTTCTTACTAAGTATCATCCAGAACTTATTCAAGGGAAAACCTGATGAAGATGAAATTATCATGATAACATGAACATTCAATATCATAATAAACCCATATGATATTATTAAAACTACTAACAATCGATCTAACAACTCACCTTATTCATTGTGACTATTTCACTGAATATCACAAGAAATAAATGTCTTTTAAAGGTCAAATTTGACCGTGGATTTATCAGAATCAAAGTTCTCTAAGTTTTGACTTTATCAAGGTCATTTCATTAATTTCTGAGAAATTCAGTGAAGAATGAGATTATCATTCTGAGTTCAGAATTTAACGTTTTCTAAACTAAAACGATAAATTCTGAAGAAACCTCTGTAAACACCCCGTTTAAAAAATACCAAGGATAAAGAGACTCGGATAAGATTTGGATCAGTATTGTAAATGTTATGTAAACTTGACACAAGCTCGTATGTGAAGATGAAAATGAGAAGATGAAGAAGGAGCATGATGAGAAGATGGATGATGAAGCAAAAGAGAGGATAAGAGGAAAATGAAAAGATGCTGTAACCATAACATTGTCTTTTGTTTATGAACCACAAAATCTAATGAAAAACAAGCCTTTGTATTGAGAAAAGAAAAACTTGTTAGGTCAACAGTTTTCGTCTTGTCATTATCTTCTTGTAAGTTATTCATTGCATGGGACAAGGAGAGATTCAGACTATTGGGGAAGAGGTTCTTACTTTCGCATCCTCATCTCCAGTCGATCATCTCTTGAGCCATTAAATAAGCAATCCACATACTATTTCTCTTTCTCTTTCTCTCTTCTCCTCGTCTGTCTGCTCAAGATGATAAAATGCAGAGAGAGAGAGAGAGAGAGAGAGAGAGAGAGAGAGAGAGAGAGAGAGAGAGAGAATATCATTGATCATCATGAACGTCTTCTTTTTCCTCTTCATCTTTCAGTTATCTTTATTCTCACTTGCTCTACTCTCTTTTTGTTTTCTTTTTATCGTCTTACTCATCATTCATTGTCTTTCATTCACTCATTCATTTTTTTCGTCCCTCGGAGGCTCACTTCCGTTTCCTCTTTTTCTCATCTTCATCATTCTCATAATCATCTAATATCATTCTTTGTTTAAATCCAAGGAAACAATAGATATTTATAATATTACTTTTAATGACAATGGGTTAACATATATCTCTGTCTACTCTTTGCTTTTATCTTCATAATCATGGCAAAAGTACAGAATTGGGTGTAAGGAGGATTGCGTGAAGAAATAGAGAAAAAGACAAGATGATAAAACGATCCTTTTATCTTCGTCTTCATCCAAGTATAAGAAAATGATATAAATATAGAGAAACAGTTGAATTGTTATTACATTTTACTCTAATTATGGGTTTCAATCTAATAATTCATTGCTATTTCTTCAATCGAATTGTGAATAAAACTAAAAAGATGAAGTGATGATATAAAATAATGATGATAGTTTATGATGATGAAAATGAAGATGAAACATCGTGATCTTACTCAATCAAATCCCGAACATATAATGTGCCCACAATCAATCTTCAAATTATTTCCTTTCAAATGATTCTTTTTATCATCAACTATATCTCTCTACTCTATTCATTATTATTCATTCCCTGTTCAGCACCGAGATTCTGATTCAGGTCAAATGATAGATTTATATGTTTTTCGATTATTATACAGGGCCAGGTTTTTTCAATTCTCTCGGTAACTATGAGTTCCAAAAACAAAAATGGTATTTGAGTGATACACAGTTGTGATCGTCTTGTATTCAAATGGTTAAGGTCATTGAGATTATCGATGAACGTGTTTGTCATGAAGGTCATTTCAGAAAAGAATATTTTCGAAAAAAACTTCGATGAAGCTGAATAACCCTGTATGAATGTTACTCGTCCTCAAGTTTGTCTATGCTAAGAAACCTAATGGGTTAAGATTCACAAAAAGAAATGATCATTTTCATCACCATGAAGAGAGAGAAAGAGAGATGAAGATAAAACTGAAAAAAGTTCATTGATAATAGTTGCCCGGAAACATCAATAATCGTCTCTTCCTTTTCGATGAAGAGAAAAAGAATCATCATGATAATCATCCTTCATCATGTTCACCTCCTACTCCTCCCTTTTACCTCCATTTACTTCATGCTCACCTCATCCCCTTAAAAGGATAACATTAAAATGTGATTCACTTAATATCATTTATTATCTTGGAGGAAAAAAGTGAAGATAAAATTTCATCTTTTTTTCAAATACATTTAATCACTTGTTTGTAGCATGATGATTAAGTTTGGAAAGAGTTGAAATCATTATCTAAGAGTCATGGAAATTGAAGCTGAGATAAGCCCAGATAAACTGCAATTGTACTTGAATTCATCTTGTGAACATCTTGAGGAAACGGAAATGAGACGATCAGTGTGAAAAAAAGCTGTTGAAACGGTGTTATTGTTGTTCAGTCAACTCAGTTATAGTTGATGAAAACATGAGCAAAGATTAATCATGAAATTAAGTTATCTGATCCAGTTGACTGACAATGTTAATTTGTTTTCACTTGAAAGTGATGGTTTGATTATCAACTATTCAAAATAAAATAATTTAATTCTTGAGTCTCTGATTATTGTTAATATTAATAAATATATTAATATATAAGCTGAATCTATGTGTAAACAAGAAATGTTGATAAATAATTCATCAGATGAAAAATTCAATTCACTTTTCATATTCATCTCTTATAAAATCCTTCCAGTGAAATAATAACCACTTTTTCTTTGATAGTCTTCAGACACTTACCGTGTGATCTGCATAAACGGCAGTATAAATGTATGGCCTCTCCTCGATCGATTTATTCCCTTGGAGTAGCACAATTGGACGGCTCAAAGTAGCCACATATTGCTGAACATGTTCTCGAATATCAGAGAAGTCTTTTATGTGAGAAAATCTCCCGCGATTATTACAGGCCAAATTTCGCGTTGGCATAATTTCCGTTATTTCTTTACCAACTAAATAGGTGAAAATACGGATCCGATGATCAGTATCAATTTTAGCCAATTCTTTTTGCAGATCTTCAGAGACTCCATCGGTTACCAACATAATCAACTGATTGCATTGAGCTCCTGTTCCTGATCGACGGGCACTTAACAGAATGTTATAAGCTTTGGTTAAAGCTAAAAGTAATTCCGATTGATTGTTAACTCGTAATGACGAAATTGCCTCACGGAATAACTGGAGGTTCTGCCTGGATGCAGGTACAAGATTTTCTTTGAAACAATCCACAATCGACTCGATTCGAGATGAATAGTTAAATACACCAATATGATCGTTCTCTGTTAAGGTCTCCAATATATTCACCACTACTTCTTTAGCGATCGCCTGTCTTTGGCCTTAGATAAACAGAATAAAATAGATTTAATTAGTCAAACAATTAAACAAGTAGTTAGTCAAATGTCATACCTTACAAGTGGTTCTTTACACACGACGGCTCTTGCACTAAATTACTCTGAAATTCACTAGCTGTTAGTTGAAACGAGCTCTACGTATGTTTTCAGAGAGCGGACAAAATGATCTAAGCCGTAGTACGTAAGGAACCCCTTGTTTTGATATTAGAGTCATAATAAATTGTTAACCACCTTTCATAGATCCGCTGGTGTCAATAAGTATAACCATATCTTTGGGTGAGGCCGCGGCTCGAATGAACCATTGGGTCACTCTGCAGTCATAAAGGTCAAGTGGTTTAATGTATTGTGGCTGATTTGGTGGTGGCGTTGGAGCTGATTTCATGAAGAAATCAGGGTATCGCCAGTGATGTAAAGGATAGACGCGGAGAAAACCATCAATGGAGCAATAAAATTGCCAATAAGAGTCAGGATCATATTCATGATTGGAAGTAAACACTTTATCTAATCCCGAAGACCACTTGATGCTATTCTTGGTCGTATTCCGGCCATAATATACATTAACGGGAAGATGGACTGCGGACATTTTATTATTCACTGCGATTCCTTTGAAATGTTCATCCGTCTCGACATGAACTGAAAAGAATCTCGGATCTTCCCATGATTTTCTCCACTCTTCTTCTTCTTTGGGTGTTTCTATTTTTAACTTAATCGGTGGAACTGAAGTATTGGTTAGAACCAAATCAGGTTCGTAAAGTCTTTTGACTTCCGGAAAATCGAATTTCAAATTCGAATCATAAATATGTTTCTCTGCTAACTCTTCGGCTCTTCGAACTATGTTCATGGCAAGAGTTTTCTTCTTTTGGAACATCAATTCCAATTTACTTTTAATCTCGGCCATTAACACTTCGGTATCTTGCTTAACCACTGTAGCTTCACTCATTGCGAATTTCTAACAATCAAGATAAATTCCAGAGGAAATTAAATTTAACAAATTGAATCAAAACACATAATCAAACCACTTACCTCATTGATTTGATCATAACACAATTCCTGTGATATATATTGGTTAAGATTTTTACTTAAATCATTTGCCCAACGACGGATTCTGCGAATTGTAAACAATTAATAAATTAATTATTAGAAGATGGACAATCCAAATCATTTTGATCAATTTGATTTTGTAAATTGTCAACACGAAAAACAAATCACCGACTCTTTTATTGTTTTGTTGTACTTGTCTTTGATAGGACATGTTTTGATTGATAATCATTTAGTTGCGTGTAACAATTAAATTAAATTACAAATGACATTCTATTAATATTAATCTCTGAAAATGTAAATTGTTTGCTTCAGTTAAATGTCACAAAAAGATCAGATTAAATGATTATGATTAACTGATTGTTTATCAGTAAACATGTTTCATTGTTTATCTTGTTTTCCACTTTCTAATCTCTATTGATTTATTGATTTGATTAACTTTATTAAGTGACATTAATATCAAATGAAAAGATCAAAGATTTAAGATTATGATTTATGAACAAAAGATTAAAGGTAAGAAAATAATAAACATCCAATTAATTATTAATAGAAACTCCATTCATTCAGAATTGAAACAAGTTCAGTATCAATATTTCAATTGTTCAATTTATTAATAGTGTTAAAAACTAATCAACATTATTAAAAATCATCAAGAAAAAACCTAGTTGATTTGACAGCAAAATTAACTAATCAATAAATTTCAGTTTATCTACAATATTCACACTAAATTAACTTAGTTAACTACTAATTAAGTACGAGTCATTAACTGGAAATAACAACTATACCAAATGATCAACTGATTCAGTTTCATTCCAGTGGATTTTAATTGTTCCCTCGTCATTATTTGGGTTATAATTTTAGTCAATCAAATCTAATTAACAATAAACTTAAATGAACTAATCATATCACCAATGAACAGTTTAATACGTAGAAAATATTCTTAATTAAAATAGGATTAACTTTTGATTCTACTCCTAATGAATATCCTGATAGATGAGATCGAAATGTTCAAAGGTAATTTAAAGCCTAATGTTGGGTCAAAACAAGCAAAAAATGAACCATTTAAATGATCAATAATCAGCACCGATCATCTCAGTCAGAAATTCATTACAATTTATAATACTATTTTATAATGATGATCGAATGATAATCTTGTAGATAAATTGTTTCTAATGTCACTAATATGCAACAATATAATGTTCTTCTTTTCGAAATGTTCCAATTCCAATTCACATAATTTCTATCATGATCGTCTTGTTGATTGCGTGATTAGATGATGACCCATTTGTCCTGAATTCAGAGCTAAATGGAGTTTCCCCTTTACCTACTATTGGACATTTTGAATACGAATGAAACTAATCTAGTCTATTATTAGCTCAGATCAGATGAATGTAATTGGCTTAATTCATTGATTAGATGAGATAATTTTATGTTATCATTAGAATAACATAAGTAATGAGAGACACAGGATAATGATGATTAGGATGATAAGAATGATGAGAAAAACAAAGAGTAATATCTGACCTGATTAAGAATAAAAAACTGGAAAAGATTAATTAACCCAATATGATTTCGATTGTCCAGATCAACATTAAGTCTTAATTAGAAAGCAATGAGTCTCGATCTTCTTTTCATTAACTCATGTAATTGTTGATAATCACAAATCAATGTTAATTTTATGCTAACACTAATCAGTGAATCACACAAATCTTAATCAATTTGCGAACAAAAAAGACAAGAGAAACCTTTGTCTATCTGAGTGATAAGTAAATAAAAAATCATCTTAATCTCTTGGTGATAATCATCATTATGTTTCATTGGAACAAATAATTATCTATCAGTCCCATTGGGATGGATAAATACAGAGCATTTCACCAAGTTTCCAACCATTTTCATGAATAATTTTTCTTTCTTTGAGTATTCATGCCTCAGATTTGAGCTATGGGATTTTGAGTGATACTCAATTGGCTTATTTCAATTTCAAGGTCATTTGGTGGTCAGAATTCAAATTTTATCACCTAACCTAGCCGGAAAAGTTGTTATTGAAAACTTATCAAAAACTTGGTGAAATGCCCTGGAGATGAGTATGATACAATTTAAAGATTAGAAAAGGTTTCTCTAAGTTAATCGATGCTTAAACTGTGATTTTGTGAATGGTGACATATGAAGATGACCAGTCTAGCCAATCAGTTAAATTAAATCGCTTCGATTCACAACAATTAAATGATTGAAATACCAATGGGGTAACAGTAATTAGATTTCTGGTTATATCAAATTAACTTTGCCAGAAGAATGTAAAAAACAATATAAATTGAATTCGTGACATGAAATATCAAAGGCATTCAGTCAGTTGTTATAAACTTCATATTTCATATTTCACCAGGATAACATTGTTTTCATCTTTAGATGATGAAGATAATGATGATTAAAATGAAACAGAAAGAGGAAACAAATGAAAGTAACACTCGAGGTTGGACTAAAGTGATGTGGATGAATAAAATGATGATGATGCTGAGAAAAAGGAGGCAAAGTTTTAATGGAAGGAGGATGAAGAGAAGGAGGAAAAGGATAAAGAGAGATCGAAGAGAGTGAGAGACAGAAAAAAGAAGAAGATGATGATAAGAAAATGCAGAGTAAAAGGATCCCATTGATATTTTGCTCGAACAAATCGATGAAGATTCTGATTCAGGCCGTGCACTTAAACTTTTTCCTTTCTTTTTTCCTCTTCCTCCAAATTCTCATCTATTTCTTGTTCTTTTTTCATGTTGATAGCGAACCAAAACTCTGAGCCTCCCATGGCTACTCTTCTAATCTCTATTTTTACCATGGTTTTGATTTATCATCATCTTTTTCTTCCTTCTTTATCCCGTTTGAGAACTGATCACATTTTTGCTGCCAATAAATTCCGTCAAGATGAAATTGATTCTCATCATCTAACCAATCATTTGATCTCATCGAGATTCATCTTTATCTTGTTGACAATTGATTTCATGTCAACTTAACACAAAAACTCGAATCGATTGTTCAACTCGAAAATTTCTCTTTTTTTGTCCTAATCACTTTTACTCTTTCACCGATCAACTAACTGTTGTGTCGATACTTTAATCAATCTGTTTGTTTGTCTATCAACAACATCATTAGTTCGTGAAACAACTGAAGAGTTATCGTTTAATACTATGAAACATCAACCGATTACATTACAATGATGTTGATTAAAGTTTTATCAATCATCCCGAGAATAAAATGTGCAATTAAGTTGACAATTAATCGATTACACTTGCATGGATTAACTATTGAAAAGATTTTTATCCAATATCAAGGATAAAGGAAAAAGTTATTTCAATTTCTTACAGATCTTGATCGATGTTGATTGGTTCTTGGTACAGTTCCGTTGGACTCCAACTGATTAACACAATTAAGATGATCAAGTGATGAACAATATACAAGATTAACTTCATCTTTGAATTACTCCCGTTAATCTTTGGATGAAGATTTTTATTAATCCACTTGAATCCACCAGGCAAATATTTTTCAAGGAAGAAGAATCAAGATGATGATGAAGATTCGTTACCAAGTAACAAAGTTAACTAACTTTAAAAATCTATTTATATCGATGAGATGGAAAGAAGATGAGGATCATCATGAAGAGAATAAGATGAAAAAACAAATAATTTTCTAACAATAATTGAGCTAAATGAAAGAGAAAACAATAATGGAAGATCTTTGATTAGAAAGAAATGATTTCGATCTGATTTAATCCATTGGACTAGAAAAATTCATCTCAGAACATATTAAAATAAGACACTAGCAATTGTTAACTTTTATTGTTGTTTGTAAGAAATATAAAAAGCAAGTGAAAAATGATGACAAGGATGAGGATGAAGATGAAGATGATTGTGTTTTGAAAATAGTCAATTGATGCTGCGTAACAAAACATCTCTCACCACCGAAAACATTGCCATCTATTGGAGTTATCAACATCTCAGTTTAATTATAACTTATAATAAATCATGTATTTTCTCTTACAATTCAGATGAAACGAAACTCATCTCTGAATATCTGAGAGCTTTTCAAGAATCATCACCAACAGGTGGTTGTGTCAACACAAAATATTTCATATATTCTGCCAGCGAAGTGATCATATCAGTTCCGATTGCCACGAGTTGTGAACCAACTGGTGAATCGAGACTTTGTGTAAGTCTATTATCAGGATTCGATTCAATTCTTTCCCATGGATCATCTTCTGTTGTCGCTAATCTGTATCTCGATCTGAAACTTTGTTCCTTCAATATGTTGTACAGTCTCTCTGGATAATTTGTCATTATTCCGTCGACGGAAAGTCTAATGTGATAATAAATTGTAAAGAAATTAATGATTAGAAATGAAGAAAATATTAAGAATTTTCCAAGGGTTTCACATACCTAAGTGATGCTCTCAGATTTTCACGTAAATCAACTGTCCAGTGATAAACTTTAGAAAAAACTGTTTCAGAGTTTCTACTTTTTCCATCACGTAGTTTGATGCACTCGATCAATCGACTAGAATCGAGAAAAGGAGAAACACAATTCGTAATACCATCGCTAAGCCAAATTTTACTTTTGATTTCGAGTCTTTGCCACATCCCGAGCACATCTTCGACTCGGTCATTCATTCCGACATCCCAACCGATTTTCTTATTCAGATGCTCTAGACCATTGCTCTCGAGTTCATTTTGAAAACCTAAGACAAAATCGTAATCATAAACATGGCCAATCGATAAAAGTAATTTGATCTTTGAAGTGGTTGATCCAAATTCAAATAAATTTGCAATCACTTTTTGTGCCAAATCACTTCCAGCATTCGCTTTAACTGACGCAGGTAAAGTGGAAATCTTCAAGTCGAGAAAGAGAAGAGCGAAATCTTTCTTGTAATTTGCATTTTCTGTTTAGAGAAAGAGAAAGTGATTAATCCACTAATTTTTAACTAATTTTGATCAACAGGTGGTTTCACTATCGAGATTTAAACGAGAATTTGATTGTTATTAATTCGGAAACTTTGAGACCCAACAAAAGACGACGATTATTGGACAGTTTTCAAAATTTCTCCGCGATAAATAAAAAGTGTCAACAGGAGAGGAAAGAATGAAAGAAGAGAAAATATCTTACCTGGTTTTGTAATTTCTCGAACATGGGCCAAATATGTCTCAATATCCTCTCTTTCGGTACAATGGCGGAAACAATCACAAGGATAACCATGGAAAGTGTAGAGAGCTGATCCGTTCAACGAGAAGGAGACATCAGCTTCGATTGCATTGGCACCACGAGAAAGATACGTGTTGATCTCTTTGATTGAATTCACCATGTGAGCAATGTTGTAAAAAGGTCGAGCACTTGAATCGGCTCCATGAACCAGCGATGAAAATAAAATAATTAATGATGAAATTATTAAATAGTTGAAATAATATGAAAAGATTGATGGCATTTCGAAGTTTCACGCAAAATGAAGCTAAAAATGAAGATGTGCCACTTTGGTTCTATTCCCTCGATTGGGGCTCAAACTGTTAACACGGTGGGTAAATAGTAAAATATTCTCTTTTAAATGTTGATTGTTCTGTTTGGTTACGTGATCATTCAGAGCTCTGACAATTATAAATAGATTAACTTGAGTACATTACAAATAGATTTTCTCACATAAAAGACTTCTCTGGTATTCGAGAACGTGTTCAACAATATGTGGCCACTTTGAGTCGTCCAGTTGTCCTACTCTAAGAGAAGGAATCGATTGAGGAGAGGCCATACATTTATACTACCGTTTATGCAGATCAATGAGATGAAGAATAAAACTAAATTCCATGATCAATATCCAAAAGTGTTCTCACAACTGAACAACAGCAACATCTAAGTAAATTCTTGTACTGGGAAAATTATAAAGTCACACAAGTTGATCTATGAAAAGGATCATTAATTTATTTAATTAACTCTTTAGTAATTCACATTGAGCATTTTGATTGTCTGTTTGTTTATTTGTCAAAAGAAAGATTAAGTAAAATTGGCGGGATTTTTGTGTTCGTTGTGTTGATACATAAGATAATTAAAATATACGAACATGATGATGAAAAACAAAAGAATCGAAAAATAAATTAATCAACAAACGAAATCTTTTCTTTCAGAATATCTCATGTCTATTGTTTTTCTTTACCCATAGGCTACATTTTGTCCATTTTTTATCTTGAGGTGAATTATTCATTTTATCTATTAATTATTATTAAATGTTAATTGTTCATAAAAGTTTTTAAATTATTCTCAAAAAAATAACAGGTAATTTGTATTTGTGGTTTGGGGATTAAGAGCAGATTACCATCAAGATAATGATCTTGTTGAATTATGGTAAACCGGTAATCTTAAGAAAACGAAATCTCTTAAATACTTGGTGAAGGAAGTGAACATATCGGCCGCACTGGTCACTACTCTCAGACTAACAGGTGGCATTACATTGGCACTTGGCGCTGGTTTCTCTTCCGGGTCCGACTGAATTCGTTCCCATGGATCGTCTTCCGTTGTCGCTAATCTGTACCTGAATCGAAAACTCGGTTCCTTTAACACATTGAATAATCTCTCTGGATGATTGGTGATAATTCCATCGACACCAAATCTAATTTTGATTAAACAATAAAAGAAATTGATTAGCAAGTTGCTGATATTTCGATAATAAAAGCAAAAATTTCCAACTTACTTGAGAGAAGCTCTTAGATTATGATGCAGATCAATTGTCCAGTGATAAACTTTATCGATAACTGGGTCGGGGATCATCCCGCTTCTTGTGTCACGTTTTGTAATGACCTGAGTTAATCGACCAAGGTTATAAAAAGGAGAGATACAATTAGAACAACCATCGCCAAGCCAAATGTTGTTTATTATTTCGAGTCTTTGCCACATCCCGATCACATCTTCGACTCGGTCATTCATTCCGACATCCCAACCGATTTTCTTATTCAGATGCTCTAGACCATTGCTCTCGAGTTCATTTTGAAAACCTAAGACAAAATCGTAATCATAAACATGGCCAATCGATAAAAGTAATTTGATCTTTGAAGTGGTTGATCCAAATTCAAATAAATTTGCAATCACTTTTTGTGCCAAATCACTTCCAGCATTCGCTTTAACTGACGCAGGTAAAGTGGAAATCTTCAAGTCGAGAAAGAGAAGAGCGAAATCTTTCTTGTAATTTGCATTTTCTGTTTAGAGTGAGAAAGATGTTAAGACGAGAGATTAGTTAATCCTTGATCTGTTAATCCAGATAATCAAACGGTCATTATAAAGACATAAAATATCAACATGATTACTTTTCTGCCGATAAGGTTAAAAGCAACAAAAGGATTAATGTTACTCTGGATATCATTACAAAGAGAAAAGGTGAAATAATTAGACATGATTAACTTTAATTTTTTATTCTTCTCAGAACTGGTTATTTCTTAATAACATGAATATTATCAGTGTCATGATTAGAAAGCGTATCTATTGAAAAGTCTCACACTCTCACATGAATAGTATTCTAAATCATCTTCCGGCGTGATATTCAAATTGATGAAAACTTCAAGTTAATCAGAAAAAAGAGATAATTAAATGAAAAAGAAAAGGTCATCATATTGTGATTCTCTTGCCCTGGCTACTCAAATTGATGAGAAAATTTGGTTAATAATGAAGAGAGAAAAAGTCTTGATTCCAAGTTTTCATCTTCCATCATCATCATGATCATTTCATCATCTTTCTCACTATCAGTTACTTTTGTGTTTGCAACTTTGTTGCTGAAATAAGTGATGTTCAGTTGATTCTTGTTCAATGAATGGATTTGTATGAATGAAAATAAAAGACGAAAGCTCCTGAACCCTTAATGATAGTCATTTGATTCTCATAATATAACAATAATTCATTTCCATTGAATCACACTTAATCATCACGACCCAGGGAGTGGTTACTTGTCTTCAAAAATGGTCCAAAAATTTCAACAACGTAAACAAAAGTTTTATTTTTCTATTATTATCATGATCATTTCGTTAATCATGTCATAATCATCATCGTATCTATTGTATCTCTCTTGTTATCATTTTCAGACACAAATTATCAATTTTTTTCAAGGCCAATAAGTCACCTACCCTTGAGATAGTAGGTGAAGTTACCGTTGGAATGAAATCTCATTCGGTAACCAATCAGATTATTCATCATGATTACAAAAAAGTCATGATTCCAACAGATTTCAGGTAAATCAAGAAAATAGGCTCATGATCAATATCCAATAAATATTTATCCGCCCAAAGATAAATCCTCTTTGAACAATCAAAGTAACTCAATGCAATTAGCAAATAACTGTAATCCGCTTTTTATATCATTCTGACATTAACATTGACTTGCAGATAAAAACAATTGGATGAAAGATGAAGGATCATAATGATGCTTGTTTGGTGAAACAAAAAGGCTCAATCGTAAAATGAAAAAAAGAAACAATCATTTCCTGTAAATCCTGCTAATAACATCACGGGTTCCATAACTGAACAATTAACTGTTACAAGAGTTAAGCTTAACCACCGATGAACCGTATCGATATTAATGATTTCATTCATTTGGAAAATTGGTGAAACTTTGATCATATCGAATCTCAACCAATAGAATCATGGTTATTAATAGAAATCCGATGATTTTTCATTCTATGATTAATTTTCATTATCATCTAATCATAAACTTTAATCTAGATCAAAACAGAATTTGATTGAATTGTTTATTGTGATAAGTTAACTGATTGATTATTTCTCACATTTTTGTTAATTTTCATTGATTATTTGTAGATTTCAAAAGGATTTCCTTTGAATTAATCATCTTCTTCTTCCTCTTTGCTTCCTCACCTGAAACAGGTAAACAAATTTTTTTGTCAATTCATGAAATAAACTTAAACTTGACATGATTAAAGTGTAGGCTAATCAATTGACTGAACTAAGATTGATTGAAAACATTTAACCGACCATCATGATCATGTTAGTTTAACAACTAATTGTAACTACAAATGGCGAATGACAATTAAGTTAAATGTTCATAAAACTAATATTGATTTGAAATTTAATTACTTCATATTTGGTTTATTCAATTAATTCATTTTACTCTTTGATAATTAGTTGATTCGTGAGAGTTTGTGTATTTGAGGTTTTTGGTTAATTGTTTTTCATTTTTGATTCTTCTCATGATGTTTACTGAGTGAGCTAATTACAAGCGAGTCAGATAATTTAATCATTTAATGTCTGAGTAACTAATAACTTGTAATTAACTTCTATTCATTTTCTATCTTATCACAAGAATAACCATTTAAAGAAAAAAAACATTGATTCGCTTCGAAGCTAAAGTTCAATATCTAGACATTAATTGGAAATTATCTAGTACGAAATAGAGATTAAGGAGTTGAAATCATCTTGTTAATTATTCAATTGATTCGAATTTGATTCATCCAGAATTGAAGTTAATCTTAACACTAATTTTGATTTCGTCCTTGAAAATCATTAGAACTAATTTTGATCAACAGGTGGTTTCACTATCGAGATTTAAACGAGAATTTGATTGTTATTAATTCGGAAACTTTGAGACCCAACAAAAGACGACGATTATTGGACAGTTTTCAAAATTTCTCCGCGATAAATAAAAGTGTCAACAGGAGAGGAAAGAATGAAAGAAGAGAAAATATCTTACCTGGTTTTGTAATTTCTCGAACATGGGCCAAATATGTCTCAATATCCTCTCTTTCGGTACAATGGCGGAAACAATCACAAGGATAACCATGGAAAGTGTAGAGAGCTGATCCGTTCAACGAGAAGGAGACATCAGCTTCGATTGCATTGGCACCACGAGAAAGATACGTGTTGATCTCTTTGATTGAATTCACCATGTGAGCAATGTTGTAAAAAGGTCGAGCACTTGAATCGGCTCCATGAACCAGCGATGAAAATAAAATAATTAATGATGAAATTATTAAATAGTTGAAATAATGTGAAAAGATTGATGGCATTTTGAAGTTGGTGAATAAACATGAAGATGAAGATGATGGACAATAATATGAAGAAGATGACGGGGATGAAGGCAAAGGTGACAAAAGCGATGATTCACTTTGTGAGGAGCACTTGTTGCCTCGATCGAGGCTCCTGTCGAGTTTTAAAATCATTTTGATCGAAACTAATTGTACAGTTAACAAAAATATTGTAATTTATTGGCACTTAGAAATTATTGGGAAACAACATCAATGGTTAAGCACAACATTCAATTTGAAACAATAACTTCACTTGTGTGACTTTTTATCAAAATTTTCAATCGCTGTTGTTCAACCGAAATCAAGGTTTCATCTGAATCTTTTCAAGATGAAAACAGGTAGATAGACATAAAGAAAATTTGACAGTCCTGAGAGAGAGGAGAGAGAGAGAGAGAGAGAGAGAGAGAGAGAAGAAAAGGAAGATGGAAAGTCCCGCCTGCTTCCTCTTTCTTTTCAGTATCATCATCATCTTCATTAACAACATCAAGATCAACATTACCTTAACCTCCTCCAAAGTATTTGCCCTCTACCCCCTGAGGATATAATTTAAAGCTAACATTAACTCTCTAACTAATCTCAGGTGGAGGAACTTTACCTGCAATACAATAACAATAAGAAACAGCAACAATAAGGTAATTTTTATATGTAATGATGATTATACTCAATTCTGAGCTAAAAAAAGTTTTCACTTTAACGTCGTTTTAAAAAAGAAAACAATCATTTTCATCGTTCCATTGAATCGATGAATTAAAGATTAACTGAGAACATTTTTTCTGGATTTAGAAACAACGAATGAACCACTCAAGGCCAATCTTATCCTAGACTTCAATTGGATTCGAAGTACTCTAACCCTTGGATATCAATTTCCGTAGACTTGTCTCTAGAAACAGAAAAGAACCTAAAATTTTCTAGCCAATTGATTGAATGGATTAGTTTCAATTAAAAAAAGACCTTTAAGTCTGTGTCTTCTTCCAGATCTCGAACTTTCATATTGATATCGAGAGTCTCAATTATCAGAAATGGAAATGAACTGAACAACAAAAACTCATGTCAATCTCCGAAAAATGGGTGTTCAATCATTCATTCATTGAATCACTTCCTGATTGTCAACCAATTACATCAAAATGAGCAACTGTTAAACGCATTAATTTGCATGATAATTGCTAAACAATTTGGATTCTTGAGAAACATGTGAGAAAAAAATTTTAGTAAAAAAAGATATCAATGAATTAAATTTTCTAATTGTATAACCATGAGTTGATAATCAATTTATTGAATGAGTGAGTATGTGACAGAGAGAGAGAGAGAGAGAGGCTAGTCAATGATAAAAAGACCTTTATATGACCTTAATACTACATTAATTGACTTTTAAACTAATAATCAACTCGGCATCATGAAGATATTTTTTCACATTGATTATCTGTACTCAATCATCTTGATAGCGTTATTATGTTTACTATCAATTAACTTATCAACGGCTCGACCAGAAGCGGATTTGTCATCGGAAATTGATGAAGGTGAGTTTTGTTTTCGAATTCATGATGAAAGATATACAATTATTTTGATTCTAAAGTTATTCTAATTACCGATATTATTTTTTAATGAAGATCTTTCTGAAGATGATGGTTCATGTGTTCTTAATGATGAAGTATATGAAAATAAAGAGAAATGGAAACACGATGATTGTACCTTTTGCAATTGTAATCAAGGAAAAGTTGATTGTGTAAAAGTTGATTGTCCATCTTTGAATTGCTCAGGAAGGACACAGATACCTGAAGGGTTTTGTTGTCCTGTTTGTGTTGATGAAAATGCAACGATTAATTTATCCTCACCTTCATCTATTCAACAAATTGTTAAATCTCCTGAAAATGAAGATGAGCCTGTTGTATCCAACCAGGTAACTGATGAGGATTATGATGAAAATAGTGATAGTGATGAGCCACATGAATTGCATGAGGTTTTTGAAAAATCTCATGAACTTCCATCGTCATCGATTTCAACTGCTCCAACCACATCCACCATCAAACCACAATTAGCAGCATCTCCTACAACTTCAACAACAACAACAACAACCACCATAGCCCCACCACCAATGCCCATAACAATAACAACTACAACTCAGTCACACTACACGACAATCAGTAAATCTGATGTTAGTTTAATAAGTTATTCAGTTGAGATAAACTATTTTTAAATTTATCTTATTTTCTCATTAGATACCAAAGGAGAGTCCAGTTAATCACGATAATGAAACAAAAGTGCCAACAATCAGCTCATTTAATGGGTCAACATCTGAATTACCTTCAGTTTCACGAATCAACTCAAGGGTAATTACATTAGACTAAACTTTCACCTCCAACCAATTAATAGTTTTCATAATTAAGTAACAATAATTAGTTGAAATTGAAAAATTTCATGAGCAATTAAACTAATAATAAATTGATCATCATAAGATGTAAGTGATATGCTAGATGAAACTTTCTCCATCTCAATACAAACTGTTGGAGGTTCTGATCAACCTGATGATGAAAAGTTTCAGATGAAATGAATTGAATTGAATCCATGTTTGAAACTTTTTTCTTTTTTCTCACATTCAGAACTTCACCAATCAATCTGATTATTACTTTAATCATTTCCTGTCTAAGTTTAAATCCCATTTTAAATGAGAGATTAATACACTTTGCACTCTCACAGAGATGGATAACTTTTCAACCTCCACCTTGAACTTGTTGAACGAGTCGAAACTTTTAGCATCTAATGTAAAGTTGATTGATTAGATAATGATAACACTAAATTTACCTTGATAACTGTTATCGATTTTATTTTCATTTAAATCATTATCACAGTGGAAAGTGATGGTAGTTTCTTCAGGTGATTAACTGATTAACTTGATTACAGATTAACAAGAGGATTTGTTACTTATCATGTAATTAAATGTTAAAATGTTGTCAATTCAACCTTGAAATGATGATCGTCTTCATTGATGAGTGAAAATGGTAAACAACTGATTGTTTTACTTGATTGATTGTCTTTTTGATCAACAATTGAAATTAAATCACAAGGATTTCTGATTACAATTGGAGTTAATTTTCAATTAAATTCTTAACCACAAATTTTTTTCCTTTTATTGATTAAATCGTTTTTTTCTCTCTCACTTGATTGTGATTCAGGTTCGATCCGAGATGAGAGGAGATATTGATGATTTAACAACAGATCAAGTGAGTCAATTGTTTTCTCAATAAAATCGATTTGATTGTTTAAATTGAATTAGAACCGGAAGAAAATGATTGTAAACCTATTATTCAATCACAGGTAACATTAAATGAATGTCCGAGAATGTGAAAAGGTCACTCTCTCAGCATCAATGAGAAATCAATTTAAGGCATTGATAATGTTGATATTTCATTGTCTCCTGTTGATTAAGTTACTCAAGAAGATCAATGTTGATCATCAACATTGGATAGAGTAAAAAAATTAAATCAATGTCACAGTTTTCCTTCAATTCAATAATATTTAAACCATTTGACTGTTTAAATTATCATTTCTAATAGGAAATCAATCAATTTAAGTTACAAACTGATGATTGACTTACCTGTAAGATTAGATTGTCTATCACAGGTAATCACTATCATCTTACCTGATTAGATTAACACTTTATCACAACTTTAATGGTTTCAAAATAACATCAATTTAATAGATGAACCACTTTTTTCCTAAATAATTTGGATTGAAAAACGATGAATTAAATAACAGTAAATGAGATCATTTACAGTTTTTCCTTTTCTTTTATCTTCATCTTTAATGATCATGTCTTGAACTTTTTTTCTGTGTTAACAGGTAAACAAAATATTGGAACCCGGACTCCATGAATTAACACCAAATTCCGGTCAATCTGAATCCTCACCTCCTGCAGATGTATGTTGAATATGCTGAATTTGTTGATATCTTGTTGGTTTTAATTGTCCTTCATTTGAATTGATTCTCATCTCTTATTTGATTCAATATCTAATCTGATACCGAAAGATGGACATGATTATCATCCTCTTACCTCTCATAGCGAAACAATCATTGATTTAACCTTTGCCCTGACCTTGGTGGTCAAATGATCAAATCATTTTATTCATAAATCTCGTCAACTGTTTATATCTATAAATAGATATACACACATACAAGTTACTTTATCTTGTTCTTGACCATTTGAAGCCCAATTGAAAGTTCAAAATTTTCTTTTCTCTAAACAAAAACACTAATCTCGTTGATTTCAATTTTTGTATTAGAATTTTTGCTTTCGTTTCATCTTAATATCCTGCCCATTAATTAGAGTAGTGGTCATCTTAATTACCGAAATTTAACTGTATTCAAGATTAAGGCCAATCGATATCCAGTTTCCATGTTACCAAAAACATCAACCGATATCCGATATCATCACGAATCTTAATCTTTCCTGATTATTATCTCACAACTTTAACTAATCTTTCATCAATTATTTATTACCGTTAATCAACTAACCGTTTATTAGTTAATCTTATTTACTATCATCATGTCCTCTAATTGTTACTCTCATCAGATAAAATAATTCACATCAAAAAGAATCATGTTAATCAACAACCAAACATTGTGACTTTGTTTTCATTTGATTGATCGGAAAAAGAGAAAGAGAAAAAATCAATTATTGGTGATGATGGTCAATTAATTGCTCATTAATTAATGTTGATTAATTCAATTTGAAGCCCTTTGGGCAATTGGCTATTGAATTTGTCATAATTGCAAAACTAAAAATGTAATCAAAACTAATCACAATTTATGTTAACCTAAATTCTGTTACAAAAAGTTTCAGTCACGATTGATTATGATTATTGTTTTATTTTCATTTATGTAAATTAAATCTAATCATTAATAATTGATGATTCTAATAATAATATTGTTAATTTAATTTAGATTGTTAAGTCAAGTTCATTACCAGATTAATGTGATTAGTTAATGGTAATGAGTATAATCAATTCTGACAATCATAATCAATAATGTTTCTATTCAATTAAGATAAGTAGTGATGATGGATTACCAACAATTTAAATTGTAGCCACAATCAGATTAAACTGATTTCAAAAATTGATTATAAATCAAATGAAATATCAACTTTCACCATGAAACTTGTTTCAATAATATCGTGATTATAATCAACCGCTTGTAATTTAATATGTAAGATTTAACATGATTAATTGAATAACATTGATCAACATTGTTTCAACTGTTAAAAGTGATTAGATCAATCATAATTAATGTTTTCGTGATTAATTTTGATTTAATCAAACGATAGGCTGATTGGTGTTGATCGTTAATTGTGTCCATCTTTGAAGTATTAATACTATTATTTAACTGTTTGCGATTGAAAGTGAATCAAATTGTTGATTGTTTATCGATGACAATTGAGCACAATTTGGTTAATGAATTTCGTATTGTCTTTTATGTTTTGTTTTTGTTTCGGTGACCAATTAATTTCCTGTTCATTTCAACCTTGAAATTTTGACGAAAGAAGATTAAATTTAATTGTTCTTTATTTTCCAATTTAATTTAATTATCAATTGTTATTTTTTTCCATCAGTTATCATCTTGGTTCCAATCGGTTGTAGCTTCACAAGGAAGCGGAAACAATGAAAAAGGACCTTCAATTGAACCATTTAATTACATTCAACCTCAAATTGTGAGTAAATTAATCAACTATCACCAACATGATTAAAACGGTCTTAATGAAAATACAACGATTAACATAATTAATCAACACTAATCACACAAAAAGGGAAAAGACTTTCATGGTTTTCAGTGATAAAAACAGAAACGTAAACATTATGAATCTTCATCATGTTGACCCAATGAACTGAATTAAAAATAATATTACTATTAATTAATTAGAATCAAGGTGAAAGCTGAAAGTTGATTATTATGATTGCAAACAAAAAATTACCATGATCGGTATTGTTAACCGACATGAACAGTTAATTAGAATACAGAATTGAATGAATGTTTAACTAATCTTGAAACAAAGTGAATCAACAATTTACATTTTGAATTAATATTATGATGGAAAGTTAAATACGTAAGGTTGGTGTTCACTTAATTGTGATTAACATTGAAATTTGTTTTTTCTTCATAATATATTAATCAAGAGAAAATCAAATGAAATCGTGATGACGATTCCGTAGTGGAAGTGGTTTAAATTTTTCTTCTTAATTCTTACCTTAATTACGATTAACATTTTGATTCAAACGAGTTATAATTAAGATTCTCGGGACAATTAAGGTGACTTATAAATTAACCAGTCGACATTAACTTAATATGTTACAAGCGTGTGAGTTGTTAGCATATATCGTGATTATCATTTCGTTCAATTGGCCTCAACTCTTTGTTGTTGGTTAATGTACATTAAATTATTATATTGTTAATCAACTAACTAACAACAATTTAAATTCGCTCTCACTCACAATTGACCATTTCTAATATCATGTTAACAGTAATTACTTGATTGACCATTGAGGTAAAAGGGTATGAGAACCCATAAACCTAGAAAAGAAGGAGAAATTTCAATTCTAATTAAAACTCATCCTAATGATTAACTATTTTTTCCTTGATTTTCACTTTAAAGGTTAACATGATTGTACTACTATTAATAAATTGATCATGTTAACCTTTGTTATTACAATGCAACAATTTAAATAATTTTGTTTTTCATTAATTGTTATCATGATTAGTTAGTTAACCTCACAAAGTATTGAATATTAAATCAAATTATCCGATATTTGTAATAGTAAAAGTTTTACTATTAATAAATTAACTTTTTATTTTTTTTGTTTTACGCTTTTCATTTTCTATTAATTAAATTTTTTAACATTCAATGAACCATTGATTTATTTAAATTGTTAATTGTTGCATAGTAATTTTGTTATATTTTTAACTTGACTCTTGTTAATAGTAATCATTTTCGCGGGTTATTTTTTAAAAAGAATCAAGGTCATGAGTGATCTTTAATTTAATTAATTTTCAATTTTTTGTTTAATCTAATCTCACTCTATCCATTACAATATATTTGTGCGATGACAGATTAGATTATGATTCAAACTAAAGTGAATTCAAGTAGCGTTTTTTCGATTATTTTTTTCAACTTGTGTTGTCAGCTAATGTTGAAAGAATTATTTTTTTGGATTAAATTTCAATTCAAGGTCGAAGGTGACAAAGGTCCTGTTGGTCCGATGGGTCCACAAGGGCCACAAGGATTCCCTGGACCAAGGGGTGAGCCTGGCGAACAAGGCCCACCTGGCTCACCAGGAGCCCCAGGAGAACGTGGTCCTCCTGGGGCCAATGGTCGCGACGGCGAGATAGGTCTCGATGGTAAGCCAGGTAATCCTGGACCATCAGGGCCGATCGGTGCAAGAGGTTCACCCGGTTTAGCTGGCATTCCAGGCCCTAAAGGACACAGAGGCTATCCTGGTATTGATGGATCTAAAGGTGAATTAATGTAAAATTTGAGAACCAGTTGATTTTGATTTTAATTCAATTTAAATATTAATAATATGAAAGGCGAACGTGGACCATCAGGTGAAATGGGAATTCCAGGTAAACCAGGTGAACCAGGGCCCATTGGAGCAATTGGAATCAAAGGTGATCGTGGTAATGATGGAATTCAAGGCATTCCGGGTTTTCGAGGTAATTGAACAATTTTAAAACTTTTAGCAAAAGAGAAACAATTATTACCATAATTTACTTCAATAGGAATCGATGGATCTCCCGGTCCCATTGGCCCGACAGGAAGAACGGGTCCCCCAGGATTAAACGGTCTTCATGGCTCAAAAGGAGAGCCTGGACAAATTGGTTCGAAGGGAGATACTGGACAAGCAGGAAAAGACGGACAAGCTGGAGAGCCTGGACTACCTGGTGCTCAAGGAGTCCGTGGATTACCTGGAGATAAAGGTACCAATTGATTGCCGTCAATGTTGAATAATAGCACGGACTTATCTCGGACTATTGATAATAACTGTATTCAATAAATGAGTAGGATCGCCGGGCGAGGCTGGGAGAAATGGACAGCCTGGATTTCCTGGAGCAAGAGGTGATTCTACACTTGAATTAGTGGACTTCGTTATACAAAGAACCATTTAATAAAAAGTTCGAATAAACAGGTCCACAGGGGATTCAAGGTCTTCCTGGAGCAATTGGACCTAAAGGTCCACCGGGAGAATCAGGATTAAAAGGAGAGATAGGAAAAAAAGGTGAACCAGGTGCCGAGGGGCCGAGAGGTGACATTGGGCCACCAGGGATTCATGGACGAAAAGGAAAACAAGGAGTTCAAGGAACTGTTGGTCCACAAGGGAATCAAGGGGAACGAGGACTTCCTGGTCCACACGGGTTACCTGGAGTAGACGGCCCTGCAGGTCAAAAAGGCGATAGAGGGCCAACTGGACTAACAGGACCTTCGGGATCTAAAGGCGCAATTGGAGAACCTGGTAATGTTGGTAGGTTTACTTTTCGAATTTAAGACTAGCATAAAATTTTAATAGCTTTTTGTTAAAAAACAAAAACAGGTCTACCTGGAGCGCAGGGCACACGTGGATCTGTAGGAAAACCTGGTACACCAGGGATAAATGGTCTACCAGGTCCGAGAGGTGAGCCAGCTTGAAATTAACCAAAGTTCGATTAAGTGTGATTATGTTAAATGGAAGTAATAAGTTTTATTGAATCGTTGAAAAAGGTCCACCCGGGTTAGAAGGACGCCAAGGCGAACCAGGGCAAAATGGTCCACAAGGACAGCCTGGTTTGATTGGAATGCCTGGTCTTAAAGGTGATCAAGGCCCAGAAGGGAAACAAGGATTGCCAGGCCAACCGGGATCAAAAGGAGACCAAGGGTTACATGGACCTATTGGACCAGTCGGACAACCTGGACCAGCAGGTGAAAAAGGATCCACCGGACCAACGGGTCATCCTGGCTTCAGAGGTCCACCAGGAGTGCAAGGAAAAGATGGACCTGTGGGTCTACCAGGGCCAATAGGGGCTGTTGGAGAACGAGGGGTTCGTGGAGAAAGAGGCAAGTTAAACTAACTTACAAGGAAGCGTTGGCTCGTTAATCAGAAGCACACTTACACACTAAAATGAACCAACTTAATTCAGGTTTCCCTGGTGAAAGAGGTCCTCCTGGTCCAAGCGGTGCAGTCGGAACCAAGGGTGAGGTTGGATCTCCAGGATCAGATGGATTACCTGGATTATTAGGACCCAAAGGAGATCGAGGTCATAAAGGTCCTTCTGGACTTCCAGGATCACCTGGTACTAGAGGGGACATTGGACCATCGGGCGAAAAAGGTGAACGTGGCTACGTCGGACCAATCGGACCTGAAGGTAGTGACTAACTAGATTAGAGCATGACAGAAAACTAAAGATCCATTTATTTCAAAGGGCCGAAAGGAAAGGTTGGAGATCGTGGATTAACTGGATCTATTGGTCCGATTGGAGAGCCTGGACAAAAAGGAGAACCCGGCCTTTTAGGACCACAAGGAGATCGAGGATATCATGGTGAAAAAGGTTCTGTGGGATCAACAGGTAGTCCTGGATTCCCTGGACCTCCAGGTCAGTCTGGACCTCAGGGAATAAAAGGATCTCAAGGTGAAAAAGGTGATAAGGGAGATCAAGGAATTCAAGGACTCGTCGGGTCACAAGGTCCACAGGGCAGTCCAGGAATTCAGGGAATTAAAGGATCAAGAGGTGAAGAAGGTAAAAAAGGTGCTTCTGGATTTCCCGGTGCACCAGGAAGACCTGGCCTCAGAGGAAATATTGGTCCACAAGGGCCAATGGGACAAATCGGTGAGCCAGGAGTCAAAGGCACTGCTGGAGAAACAGGCAAACAAGGAATTCAAGGTCAACCAGGAATACCAGGAGCTATCGGTCCAATGGGTTAGTGTATTTCATTTGACTTCTCAAAAAACTCTATCGTTCTCAACTTTCATTTGATCAATTTTACTTTCGTCCAATCAAAAAAAATGAGAAATGTTTCAGAGCCCAACGATTTTTTTACGAGTTCCAACAATATGAATGATGATTCTGTGTTCATTTTCACTTATAAATGAATTATTTTTGGTTGAGTTTATATCTAAAAGTTTTTATTGATTGAATAGAATTTTCAAGTATCTGACTGATGAAAAAAAGTTTTTTCTCGTTGTCTGCTAATGAGTTGAGGTCAAAGTTCGAAGGGGAGGATCACTTTAAACATTATGAGGACTTCATTTTGTAACTCATTTGCTTACCCTCTCTAAGAACCATATTGGTCTTAAATTTTAAGAAGAGAGTGTAGTTTGTAAATTGTTAATTTTTTGCTTACCTTTGAAGGAAATTGGATATCACTGGTAAAAAATTCTAAAATTTGATCATTCCTCATGAAACTCGAGCAAATTTTTGTAAATATCTGACCTAACGATATCTTGATTAGTAAATATGTTGCTAGTGAGTGGATAAACTCAGTGTTAAAATTTCTAGAATGAGATTTCTCTCTGAAAAGTGATGTCTGAAACTGATTTCTATGATTTCCTTGAAAGTCAATATATAAGGATTCGATAATTATTAAGGACGAAACTTTGGGAAAAATTTAATTTCTCAAAAAATACTTCATCAATCCTTCTGATTTTTTCCAATAGTCATCAGTAATAACATAGCTACAATTATGCTAGATATAAAAGATTCATCTCGAAGAGAAGTATGTGAGGCGCGCCATCTCCCGAACACCCAAATAGTTTATTATTTATGAAAAAACTTTGTGTCTATCTTTTCAAATCTTTTATGGTATAAATCTCCAAGGTCCAAAAGGTGAAACTGGACACGATGGTCCCATTGGACCTCAAGGAATCACAGGTGCGCCTGGTGAACGAGGCGAAAGAGGATATTCTGGACTTCCTGGCGCTCAAGGAAGACCAGGGTCTTCGGGGCAAAATGGCCAACCAGGAGAACGCGGTGTCGATGGAAAGCCTGGTCATGATGGTTCACCGGGATCACCTGGACCTCAAGGGTTTGTACTTTCAATAGATTATTCTTACAATAGTCGGCGAGTTTCAATGATTTTTGGTGTCGCAATTTATTACTATTAATACAATAACTTTTAATCTACTTTTCTTTACTAATCAGTTTAACAGGACCTAGTGGAGAACCAGGTCAAAAAGGTGAAGCTGGAAAGGATGGAAAATCAGGTGAAAAAGGAGATCAAGGAGCTAGCGGACAACCAGGACCTCATGGACCTTCGGGAGCTATTGGCCCAATGGGTCCCGTCGGTCCAACAGGAGAAAAAGGTTCAACAGGCCAACAAGGATCTCCTGGACAACAAGGACCGCGAGGATTACAAGGTTTATCTGGACAGTAAGTTCATTTTCATATTGACTTAAACCAAACTGACTGGAGTGATACCCTAACTACGACCTTCGTCAAAATGAAACTTCTTTGAATCTTTTCAAAAGTTCCTAAGTAAATTTAATTTAAATTAATTTCCATCGTCTCGAATAGAGCAGGTTTGAAAGGTGATCGAGGCGAACAGGGAGAAAAAGGAATCAAAGGGCACAGAGGATTTGTTGGCTTACCAGGATCACCTGGTAAAATCGGTGAAATCGGCGAGAAAGGAAATAACGGAAGTCCAGGGCCACCGGGACCTACTGGACTAACAGGTCCTCGAGGTTTATCAGGTCGCGATGGAGTCCAAGGGCCACCTGGGCCAGTTGGTCCACAAGGTAGTTTATTTGTGTTAAAAAAGCTCAGGCCAAATTTCTTAGGTTTTTTGAACCTCTAACACAAGAATAAAATTCAACATCATTAATTAATCATGATTTTTTTTATTTTCATTAACTAATAAAATCCAAAAGGGGCACGAGGAAGTCCAGGAGAATCTGGAAGACCAGGCCATCCTGGTCAACCTGGCCTACCAGGATCTGGATGCTCTTCGACTTGTGAATCTTATCCATTCGATGCAACTACATTAGCAGCAATTCTGGGACAGAGACAATTCAAAGGACCAGATCCAATTCTCGGGGATGAACCAAGTAAACTGTTATCGTCAAGTATTACCGAAGAAGAGAAAAAGAAAATGGTTAACAAGTATTACAATAATTTAGTCGATGGTTATAATAAAATTCGTAAGCCAACTGGAGAAAAAGAATGGCCTGCAAGAACATGTCGCGATCTTTCAACAGATCGACCAGAACTAGAAAATGGGGTCTATTATATTGATCCAAACGAAGGCGATGTAAGTGATGCAATTCAAGCTTTTTGTAACATGGAAACAAAAGAAACGTGTATTTATCCATCACCAGCATCATTTAAACGACAACATCGACCATCAGCTAAATCGGGATATTCGTGGTTAAGTGAAATGGGCGAAACTGTAAGTACATTACTGTATTATAAATGCTAATCGATCTTCAAGAATCTTCGGTAAACAAAGTCTAACTTCTCGTAATTAACTTTCTAGATCAATTATAAGTCAAACTTTTCGCAACTGAAATACTTACAAATGATAACCGGAAACTGTCACCAGAATTTAACTTTCTGGTGTCACAATGCAATTGCAGCTTTCGATTCAAATCTCAAAACATATCGACGATCACTCAAATTATTAGCATCGAATGATATTGAGCTAACAATCAATGGATATTCACAATTTCGTTATAAGGTTATTCATGATGGATGTCAGGTAATAATCAACTAACACAATAAATGAACAAAACGAACTTACTAATCAAATTGTATCTTAATCTTCACTAGAATGCTAATCCAAACACTTGGGAAAAAACTGTAATCCAATATGAAACAACGAAGACACAAAGATTGCCAATCACAGATATCGCAATTAAAGACGCCGATAACACCAACCATCAATTTGGTATCGATTTGGGTCTAGTTTGTTTTAGTTAAAAATTGTACATTTCCGTTTTGTTTTATTAAATTAATTGTTGAATTATTCTAAAATATTGATTTGAAAAAGGTGCTTCCATCATTCAATCAAGTTTAAAGTCAACCAAAGAGTAGTAAGGTTACCTAAGATAACCGACACTGGAATCCTTAAGACATTCATCACCCAGCAAGGTGTCAAATCTCAGACTAAAGAGGAACAGTCACAAATCACCTCTCAAGTGACTGGACAAATTGGTTGGCGAAGGGAAGGAATCAAATATAGACGGAATGAGCTTTTCCTTGATGTTCTTGAATATGTCAACCTGTTGATGTCCCCGCAGGGACAAGTGTTAAGTGCTCATGTGGCTGGAAAAGTGGTCATGAAGGCTTTTCTATCGGGAATGCCCGAGTGTAAATTTGGAATCAATGACAAACTAATTCTAGAGAGCAAAGGAAAGACAAGCTCAGCTCTGGATGATCCAACTACTCGAGGTGGAAACGTAGGCTATCCAACAAAATCTTCCATCGCAATAGACGATTGTCAATTCCACCAGTGTGTTAAACTGTCCAAATTCGAGTCGGAACATAGTATTAGTTTTATTCCCCCCGATGGTGAATTGATTTGATCAAATCAATCATTTTATCGATGAAACTCCCACCATTTTCTCTCTTTTTCTTCTCTTTTGCCTCCTCTCTTTTTCGAGTGTTAATTGTTATGGAAAACAATTATTTATTATTCCAAGGGTGGATAAATAAATTTATATAATTTAAGTTGCTTGTTGAAAATCAATTGATTCCATTTTATTTTCTTTCTCTCAATCACATTGACTTTCTACTCAATAAACAGAAATTTTAAAAATATCAATTCTCTCGGGTGAACAAGGGAATCACATGATGTCTACAATTATCCAAAAGGAATCATTTACAATTAGAAATTTTCTTCAAACTAAATTAAAGAAAATCAAGAGAAAAAATAATTCAATTAAATTGTTCGCATTCAAATTCACCGCGACTCTCACTTTCTCCTCCTCCTTCAGTCTGTTTACTTTTTTCACATGTTTGAAATTTTGTTTTCTAAAGTTTGAAATCTAAACAACAATTTATCTAATTTTCTGACTAAAGTTTCTTTATGGTACCATTTGTCTAATGGCCGCTGTAACTATTGAGGATAAATGGAAACTTTTACCGGCCTTTCTTGGAATGAAAGGTTTGGTGAAACAACATTTAGATTCTTTCAATCATCTCATCCAAGTTGAAATTAAAAACATTCTCAAAGCAAATGCTGAGGTTCGTTGTGAAAGTGATCCTAACTGGTTTCTTCGCTATGTGGATATAAAAGTGGACACTCCTCGAATTGAAGAAGGATTCAATGTTTCTCGCTCAACAACACCGCACGAATGTCGCCTTCGTGATATTACTTACAGTGCTCCAATTTCGGTGAAAGTGGAATACACAAAAGGCCAACAGAGAATAACTTCATCTGAATATTTGGTGATCGGTAGAATGCCAATCATGGTTGGTTCTAACAATTGTATTTTGAATGGAAAAAGTTATGCTGAGCGAATGGCCCTTAAAGAATGCCCAAATGATCCCGGAGGCTATTTCATCGTCAATGGAAGTGAAAAAGTAATTCTCATCCACGAACAGGTAAAATTCATATTCTTTTATGGCTACAAAAGTAAATCAGTCTAAGCGAATTTTTTTCTCTTTTTTATTGTTTAGCTTTCAAGAAATCGTATTCTTATTGAAGAAGGACCTGTTTGCCAAGTAACAAGTGCCACTGCCGAGAGAAAATCTCGAACTAATCTAGTTATCAACAAGAAAAAACAAATTGTCATGAAACACAACTCATTTACTGATGAAGGTATTCACATATTCATTGTTTTCAAAGCTATGGGATTCTCAAGTGAAAGCGAAATCGTTGAATATATTTGTGGGACTCTCAAGGAAAACAGTGAAGTCGATGTTAACTTCTTGATACCATCTATTGAGGCTTGTCATCGAGCTGAAGTCTGGACATCAACACAAGCACTCCAATATATGGCTAATCGCCTGAAAAACAAATCGATTGGAATAAAAGCTGGTGAAAACCGTCGGTTCTCTTCTATCGATCTCATCAGAGAACTTTTGGCCACGACAATTATCGCTCATGTTCCTGTTTTGAATCTTAATTTCCGCCTAAAAGCCATTTATCTCGCTCAGATGGTTAAAAGACTAATATTAGCCGTTGATAACCCTGAATATATTGATGATCGTGACTATTATGGTAATAAGAGACTTGAACTCGCGGGCTCCTTGATTGGTTTACTTTTTGAAGATCTCCTTAAGCGGTTCAATTCTGAATTGAGAATGATAGCTGATAAAAACATTCCCAAAATCAAAGCTGCACAATTCGACATCACCAAACACATGAGACAAGATCTAATCACCAATGGTTTGATTAACTGTATTGCAACTGGTAACTGGACTTTGAAGAGATTCAAGATGGAGCGAATTGGTGTTAGTCAAGTACTCAGTCGACTCAGTTACATCTCCGCTCTTGGAATGATGACAAGAATCAACTCTCAGTTTGAGAAAACTCGTAAAACATCGGGTCCCAGGTCACTTCAGTGCAGTCAGTGGGGACTAGTTTGTCCTTGTGACACTCCTGAAGGAGAGTCTTGTGGTCTCATTAAGAACTTGGCTCTCATGACTCACATAACTACGGATGTTGATGACAAATCAATCATCGACATTTGTCTTAATTTTTGTGATGTTCAAGATATTAGTTTATGTGAAAATGGTGCTAAAGTTAATCAATATCCGTTGGTATTTGTTAATGGTAACATCATTGGAATTGCAATACAACCAGAAATCCTAGTTAAAACTCTCAGGCAATTGCGTCGTCAGGGTAAAATCTCTGAATTTATCTCCGTGTCTATAAACAAACTACATAATGCGGTTTATATCGCCACTGATGCTGGTAGACTATGTCGTCCATACATCATAGTTAATACTTCATCTGGTCAACCTCGAGTCACCACAGCTCATATTCAGAAACTAAACCGAGGATTAATGGGTTTCTCAGACTTCATCAACGAAGGACTAATTGAATATCTCGATGTAAATGAAGCAAGTGACGCTCACATAGCAATTGAAGTCAAGGAAATAAGATGCAATATTACCACTCATTTAGAGATCGAACCGTTTACACTTCTTGGAGTTTGTGCCGGTTTAATTCCTTTTCCACACAATAACCAATCTCCACGAAATACTTACCAATGTGCTATGGGAAAACAAGCGATGGGAACAATTGGCCTTAATCAAAGAGAGCGCATTGATACGCTTTTGTACCTTCTCGCTTATCCACAAAGACCTGTGGTCAAAACTAAGACTATTGAATTGATACATTTCGATGAAATGCCAGCCGGTCAAAATGCAATAGTCGCCGTGATGTCCTACTCTGGTTTTGATATCGAAGATGCTTCGATAATGAACAAAGCGAGTATTGACAGAGGATATGGTCGGTGTTTCGTTTATCGCAACCAAAAATGTATTTTAAGACGCTATCCAACAATGGACGGTATTTCGGACAGGATTCAAGGGCCCATGGTCGAGGCCGAACCTCCTCATAAGCCCATTTTCCGTCATGCTACTCTTGACAATGATGGTATCGCTGCACCAGGAGAAATTGTTAAAAATCGTCAATTGTTAGTGAATAAACAATCTCCGATTCCAGGTACAGCTATTGATGAAACTGGTACTGGTAAAGTTGGTTCGATGAATTACAGTTTCAAGGATGTGCCAATTACTTACAGGGGAATCGAAGATAGTTGTATTGAGAAAGTCATGATTACTTCAAATACGGAAGAATCTTTTTTGATAAAATTGCTTTTAAGGCAAATGAGAAGACCTGAAGTTGGTGACAAATTCAGTTCTCGTCATGGTCAAAAAGGAGTCATTGGATTAATTGTATCTCAAGAAGATCTACCGTTTAATTGCGAAGGTATTTGTCCGGATATGGTTATGAACCCTCACGGATTTCCATCTCGGATGACTGTCGGGAAATTGAAAGAACTAGTTGCTGGTAAATCAGCGATCATCAAAGGTACTTTACATGATGGAACTGCTTTCGGTGGTACAACTATTCAAGAAATGATCGACATAATGGAGGAGTTTGGTCATAATTATCATGGGAAAGAAGTGATGACCAGTGGAATCACTGGTGAGCCATTAGCAGCTTACATATTCTTTGGTCCAATCTACTACCAAAAACTTAAACACATGGTTTTGGATAAAGTTCATGGTCGCTCTCGTGGACCAAAGGCCGTTCTCACTCGTCAACCGACTGAAGGGAGAGCAAGAGATGGAGGATTACGTCTTGGGGAGATGGAAAGAGATTGTCTCATTGGACATGGCGTTAGTATGTTGCTATTGGAGAGACTCATGTTATCCAGTGATGCCTTTAATGTCGATGTGTGTACAGAATGTGGTCTTCTTGGGTATCAGAAATGGTGCTCATATTGTCAGTCCAGTCGATCCCTCGCTGATATTCAAGTTCCTTATGCATATAAATTACTTTTACAAGAGCTTCAAGCAATGAGTATACAACCGCGACTCAAATTGACACACATGTAATTAAATCTACCGAGCATACAATTGAAATGTTAAATATCTGTGAAATTTATATTTTACTTTTTGTTAATTAATGACAATCATGCAACTCGATGTTGTGGAACTTTTTTAATTTATCGAAAAATAACTCAATGTTTACACAATAAAAGAACAAAAAGTGGACAAGAAAAAAGTCTCTTTAACAATAATAGAAGTTCGATTTTTTCTTTAATTTAGTTTGAAGAAAATTTCTAATTGTAAATGATTCCTTTTGGGTAATTGTAGACATCCTGTGATTCCCTTGTTCACCCGAGAGAATTGATATTTTTTAAATTTGTGTCTATTGAGTAGAAAGTCAATGCGATTGAGAGAAAGAAAATAAAATGGAATCAATTGATTTTCAACAAGCAACTTAAATTATATAAATTTATTTATCTACCCTTGGAATAATAAATAATTGTTTTCCATAACAATTAACACTCGAAAAAGAGAGGAGGCAAAAGAGAAGAAAAAGAGAGAAAATGGTGGGAGTTTCATCGATAAAATGATTGATTTGATCAAATCAATCGGATCTTTTGTGAATCAACATCTCGTTTCGTATAAACCACTTCGGCCAATGTAACGGACCCATTTGATGACATCGTGGTCGGAGTAGTTGAGCTTTGGTTCAAATACTTTCAAATACCGAACCTTGAGGCCAGAAGGAGCGAATGGTACTTCGAAATTCATCGATATCGGAGGTCGATTCCATTTCTTCTTGGTGTCCGTTAATAGTAACTCGATCTCAGCACTTAATTGTGTCTCCTTCATTCCGGCCATTTTCTTGATCTTCCAAACAATCGCGTTATCACTCGCCTTGTATTTCGCTTTTCCTTTCATACAAATCAGTTGACAACCACTTGTGTTCAGGGGCGTTGGTATTTTAACCTCGATCTTTTGCCCGACCACCGCAGGCTTGAAGTTGCTTTTGAGGACCACTTTCACCTCCATCTTGGTTCGGCCTGCTTCTCGGACCAAAGGAATGATTCGGAAGGGGAATGAGATGTCTTTAGTAATTCGGTATCTCATCAATTCAAATTCACCATCGGGGGGAATAAAACTAATACTATGTTCCGACTCGAATTTGGACAGTTTAACACACTGGTGGAATTGACAATCGTCTATTGCGATGGAAGATTTTGTTGGGTAGCCTACGTTTCCACCTCGAGTAGTTGGATCATCCAGAGCTGAGCTTGTCTTTCCTTTGCTCTCTAGAATTAGTTTGTCATTGATTCCAAATTTACACTCGGGCATTCCCGATAGAAAAGCCTTCATGACCACTTTTCCAGCCACATGAGCACTTAACACTTGTCCCTGCGGGGACATCAACAGGTTGACATATTCAAGAACATCAAGGAAAAGCTCATTCCGTCTATATTTGATTCCTTCCCTTCGCCAACCAATTTGTCCAGTCACTTGAGAGGTGATTTGAGACTGTTCCTCTTTAGTCTGAGATTTGACACCTTGTTGGGTGATGAATGTCTTAAGGATTCCAGTGTCGGTGTTTTGAGGGTAACCGAAATCAAGGATTTCATCAAGAAGTTCATAGATGAGAACAAAATTGTTTTTGACATTTTCCTCGCTGATTTTTCCAAAATAACTTTGCATGACCTCGCACATTTTCAGGAGAAACTCAAACACCATTGAAGCATTCAGATTCTGCTTGGTGACGGCGGCCAACCACAGGTTGGATCGTTTGATATGGAAAAACGAGGTTCGGGCGATGTTGGTAACTGGTGATCTCACTTGTTGACGGGCGTGGATAACGTTGACTCTGAAAGCGTCAACAGCATTGCGACCAATGTCATCTCGGTACATGCGACTGATCAGGACTTCGCCCTTGTGGTTATAAATGAACAGTCCACCGATCATTTTGTCCCCGGACTGTCAGTGGAAACGAAATGAGAGAGAAAGGGAAGTGGAGGAAAAGGTAAATACAAGTGATTCAGAGAAAGAGAGAGAGAGAGAGAGAAAGAGAGAGAAAGGACGATTTTCTTGTCTTCTAGTTAGAAGATGAAAAGAAGGAAATTGGTTGGCATTTAAAGATGGACCACTTGTTGATTCTCGGTTTCAATCAGAGAAAGTGACATTGGAACAATTAAAAACAATGAAAACAATTAAGATAAAGGAGGCTTGAACAAGTTGTTACTCTTTGAGTTTCAGTGAAGCTCAAAAGGAGGCGGATCATCAGAGGAAAAGGGACTTTATTCAAATCTCATTCAATCAACAAACTTTTTCATTTTTTATCTTTTACTTAGATAATCAGATTGAATTGGAAACAATTAAACGGTTGATGTTAGATATTTTCACCAACAACCTGTTAGTTATTGATTCTCATATCCTTCACACTTGATTTTCTCATCAAATCTTTTGTTTGGATCAAATTAATTTTAATTCATTAATTGTACTTTAAAACTTCAAATTGTCATGTAGTTAACAAGCCCAACAAATCTTTGGTCATAATGATGAAGTTAACCTTTACGATTATTAGATTGAGAAACACATTATAAATCATCAGTAAATTTTGCATTTGTGCATTTGAGTAACATGAAAATTGTGAATTTAAACTAAATGTACAAAAATACGTGTCATTTGATCAACAATGTAAACACGTAACTCATAATCAACTGCGATAAAACAATCTAAATCTTTGCTTGAGGGAAATTAACGGCCTCGATGAGCCTTTGAAAGCACAAATTGGTCGCTTTTTTGCTGTGGGCACTGATGTTGGCGAAATACAAGAACCCGTGTGATATGTTGGGTACAACATCGAAAGAGACTGGACCTGGAACAAGGGAACGAGAAAGTGAGGGAAATGAGATTAAAGATTCATAGAATCGAATTGAATGAGAACAAACCTTTCCATTTTCTGGTAAATTCAATTGCTTCGTCTAATAAAGGGTCGAATTCACCAACAATTATGTTAAGTGCTACATCGTTTAATGTGGCAAAGTTTTGATAATTTAATGGCGATGCAAATGGATCGGCTGCTATTCGATTGATTGATGCCAATCTCTCTTTGTAATCGGTTTCCTTGTACCACGGAGGCCTCATGGAATGTGGACCTACATCTTGATTCTTGCCGAAAGATTGTTTCTGTTTGATTGCATTACTTTTTTCTTTTCCGTCAATTTTGAGAGGATCGGATGAGTTATTATCGACGAAATAAGCGTCCAAGATACTGAGTAAAACACCAATTGGTAGAAAAGTATCAAAAAATGTCAACAAACGAGATGGAGAGGCACAAGTTTGTAATGAACAGACGGGATAAAACGGAATCAATGCCGAAGGCATTTGAATATTCATCGATCTTCTCAATTCATTTAGAACTAAAGTTAAACTGATACACAGACCACCGCCTGCAGAATCGCCACACAAAATAATTCGCTTCGGATGGAAGCCGATCAGCTCAAGAACTTCGTCAAGTCCACTGGTCACCCAAAGATACAAATCGAGACAATCTTGAAGTCCATTTGGGTACTTGAATTCTGGAGCCAAACGATAATCAACACTAATCAAAGGGACACCGCGGAGCTTTATGGCCCAATCTCTTAAGTAGATCTGTTATCAAATTAGAATTGTAATTAGATTGGTAAATTAAAATCTGAAATTACTTTCAAATAGAAAATGGGATTGGAGCTTGAAGGATTAGAATGTTACATTTTATTCTTAATCAAATTCTATCAAAATAATCCTTCTTCATTCTTCACGAAATAAAGTAATTTGAAAAAATAGCAACTCTATTAAGGTGAGCGATTGGATTGATAAACTAATTGAGTGGGAAATTGTTAATAATCAATTTTTCTCTGTTTGATTTCAACCTGAAATGATTACTGATTAGAGGAAAGAGATGAACATGAGATCCTTGAAATCGTGAATTGGTCAAGCTTGACCAGTGGAATAGAGCGAAAAACATTTAAATCAAACTAATTATTGATCGACCTTGGAAATGTCCTCAGTTGAACAATTGGACTATTGTGATTTGCAAGGTCGAATCTATCGAAGCGATAACAGGACACAACCAATAAAACTGTGAACTATTAAAAGATTGATCGTATCTATAATCTACTTTTAATATCTCAGATACTGATGACTGAAAGCAAAAAGATAATAAAGCTTGAAATTTGGTGTATTGATTGGAAAATCGAATAAGAAACTAAAAATAAAAAGAAATTAACTCTAATCATGTAAAATAATCTCGACTGATTTGATTAGACTTGGAGCAATCATGGTTGGTAGATGTTCAATCGGCAGAGAAATTGAAATAACTTTTTCCCTTTTCTCGAATCTTATCATAATTATCATCGGAGTTGTCACGAAAATTTTCCTATCACTGAATCTCTCCTTGAATTAACTGTTTTTTTCTTGATTAGAAATGAGTGAGAAATCAATTAATAAACTTTGAAACCTCATGAGACTCCGGCGATTGAGCAACAAAACCAGCCCCATGGCAGTGGAAAACCAGAGTAGATGTTGATAAACCACTTTTAGTATCTTGGAGAAGGCGAAAGCGAACAGGTTTATTCAAATTCCATGTATCTTTTAATGAGTCCGACAAGTCGATTAACCCGTTCTCTCCAACAATTTTGGCATATTCTTGTCTTGGTGCGAACATCGTTTTCTTCCGAGAAGGTCGGTTCCCAAAAAGAATCATTGGATAAAGTTTCTTGTAGAAAGCGGCTTCGGAGATACCCCAGACCATACGAACGAAATCGATGGACACGTTGAGGGCATAATCCGCGAATAAACGAGAAGTACTGGCCCGTGAAAAGAGTCGATACATGTCACAGAAATTGACGGACTTGTAGGCGACCAATGAAATATAATTACCAAGAATGGATCGGATTGAAGGGCACAACCAGAAATTGTGGTTACGAGCATAAAACGAATGCATCAAAGGCTCAAAGGAAAAAGCGAATTGGATGAATTCTGGATCTGGTGACCACATTAAACTATTGTTTTCAAATACTTTACGATCATCGAGATGACCCAACATGTTAGCAAAAACTTCAGCGATTTTGACTAAATGAGGAGACACACCACCGAATGATTTCATTTTCATATCATCATAAGCTAATTTCGAAAAGCTTTCCATCAATTTGATCAGTGTGCGAAATCCATTCGCATTTAATTTATCATGAAGATCATAATTTGGTGCATGGATGTCATAAACCATGAGTGATTTACGAATTTTCTCCAAGTTTTCTGAGAATGTTGGTTCAATAGCATTCGATGCTATATCCATGATAAGAAGTTTACTCCTTTCATTATTCATGGTTCCAATTTGAGTTGAGTAATTAAATTTGTGTCGAGAGAATAGATTTTGTTGACAATAAGCAGATAAAGATCGGAACTGCCGATTAAAACGCTGAGAAACTAAACACTTTGATCGTTGATCGTTAAATCTTATCACAGAGAACAACTTGTTAGTTTTGATTAACTTGAAACAATAAACTGATTGAATCATAACATGTTGATAATTACAACTGAATCCGAATTCGTCATGTGAATACGTAAGCAGAAATACTAATAAGAAAGTAAATTAAAGTAGTTAAAGTGGTTAAAAAATCGCCATTAACATTGAATAATTTACATAAGTACAAGAGAAAAACAAAATGAACAAATCAAATTATGATGGAGCAAGTCAAGAATCATTGTTAATAGAATCAATCATAACGGTTAATCAAAGTCTACTGCAGGTGAATGAAACTCATTCAATGAATCAAGACAATTAAAAACCAGAAATACAAGAGAGAATCAGCTGATCTTCGTAGTTGCTTTTAGACAAAGCAGATGGAGCACCAGTTGGAAGGATCGATTGCAATTAATTGGTTGGATTACAATTAAAACTAATGAGTTACAATCGGTTTTGTATTGTTCAATTTCAAGAACCTTTTTTAATGGTCATTGGGGTTACATTAATGTGAGAATATCATCAAGTAAAAATAGTAAACAACAGAAAATGATTAACTCTTAGTGATTTTATCAGATTGACTTGATGGGTTAATTTGATTCTGTTTGATTGTGGCCTCAACTTCAACCAATTGCATTGGTAAATTGACACATCCGATTGTGTATCCCCAATATGTTGACAACGTGAGGAAATAATCGCCTTTAATATTTGGAATTCTTGGGTCTACGTAAAAATCGTAATAATAACTGTATTTTTTTCCTTTTTCGATTGGACAAGTTAATCCATGGTTAGAACAAGCATTTCGATCTAATATTGGCAAAGGGACATTTACAGATAAGAACGAACTAGTTTTCTGACTAACATCGGCATAAACATAATCAGAATCGAACGGAGCCTCGAAATCAACTTCCAATCGACCTTTGATTCCTCGATTCATCAAACAAGGCTCTGTATCATTCTGACAACCAAACAGACGTAATTCCAAAACTTTACCGCCTTGAAAATCGATGAAAAGAATCAAAATTAATGAAAAAGAGTCGATAAAGTTGATTAAATTGATTGAGATGAGAAACAAACAGCTTATACTTACCACAAGGAGTAAAGTCAATTTTCAGGCTGAGACATTGGAGACTCAAAAAACACGAGAACACAAGAAATGATTTGATAAAAGTTAATTGCTTCATGATGGACATCGTTGATTGTACTTGATTATCAAGAGTTGTCTCACCATTTATAACAAACCTCTGGATGACCTGATAACAATATTGCAACGTAATGGCTAATTAATAGTTTAATTAATTCCTTTTTAACAAGAAAAAACAACAACAATCAAAAATTAAACATTTAGGTTAAGTTTATTTTTGATTGTATCAATTTTTATTGGTTATAAAACAAATTTTCTTGATCAATTTGTAGATCAATGGATTGTAAGGATCAAGATCGTTACAGATTTCTAAGAGAAAATTATATTGGTTTAATTAATTGTTGAGATCGCCTTGTGTCTATTGATCAACCATCAACCCTAAATGTGAAGGTTGATTGAGTATAATTAATGTCAACATGAATATTAATCATTTTTTTCTCGGTCATCGGGTATCAGTTCAGTTCATTTTCATGGCCATGATCTTGTTTTTTTCTTATCATTTTGATTTCGATAAGTGTGACAAATTTACTCGTAAATTGCTTTACGACGTGTCTTCAATTTCCTTCCAAAGGCTCGATTCAACTGTGATTGAAATTAAAAGTGAATTAATGGTCCAATAGACGGTGGGTCAATTAAAACTTACTCTTCCTCGGTGATTGGCAATCAAACTATCGGCGATAAAATTCAATTCAAAATCTTTGAATGGGGCAAGTACATTCATTTGAAAATATCCTTTCACATTGCCCGGGGGCTCGTAATGAGCAACAACGATCAATTTACCAGATCGACTTCGAGCTTTACCAATTCCAAATTTTTTCGATTCTTTCCAAATCATTTGAGTGAATTGATCTGTGAGTTTTTTTCCATAATTATAAATCGATAAACACTTTTAGTAATCTCCAGTTTTAGAATGATTATTGTAACTAATCAACCAATTAATCAACTTACTCGCTCGTGTGTGCAATAAATGATTAGGTAAGTCGAATCTGTAATGATCGATTTCAGCGTACCAATACTTTGTTACTTGTTCACCTTGCAAATTTCAATACAAAACAAGAATTAATCAGTGATGAGATGAAATGTAATATTTACTTACCGTTAACTTCAATTTCATGAAGAGAACTGCATTTGAGAATAAGATTTTCACCGATTGTTGATTGATTTTGATGATAGAAAACATCCCAATGAGCTAATTTATTAGCCCAGTCCTGAGCTCTTTCACATAATTGAATCGATAAACTCAATGGAGGAGCTCGATGTTTAATCCTCAATATGTTGTGCCAATGAAGTGAATCAAGAACAAATTTATTCTCCTTGAACAAGACACCATTTTGATCCAGATTATCATGAATCACTCTTAGTCCATGACATGAAATCTACAATTTTATCAATTTTAGTTTGGACAGATTAACTAAATCTCAAGAATACAAGAGTTATGCTTGAATTTTACTAGATTGATAAGTAAATTAAACACTAACACATAAATTATCCCATCAAATTAGTTGATTGTGTAAATTAATTTTAAACTTTAAATTCATTAATTGGTAGAATTAAATGATGACAACAATTTACAGAGTATTCCATCAGTTTTTGTCTTTGACTCCGAATTTAAGTATAAAAGTTAAGATGTTGAGCTCTTCTTGGTCATTGATAACTTTGTTTCTGACAACTAAATGATCTTGAAATATGGAAATTGGGTCAATATATTTAAAGACAAAAAAGTTATCCAGAAAACGTACCTAAAGAGCATTTGATGTAATTTGAATAACAAAAGGCTCACCAGTTACTATTCAATCATTACATTTGTTGTCATGTAAATTGCGATACAAGAAAAACTCATCACATTAATAGAGATAAAATATAGTTTCATGATTAATTCATCTTAAGAAACATCAATTTACCCTTTCGATGTGTTAATAAATTATAGAAATGAAGATGAGCATGAAGAGAGAGGAAACTGAGTGAGGATAAAAAATGATGTTTTGTCAAATCTCAGTGAGAGTGAAGATTCAATGAAAGAGGATGAGGATGAGGAAGATAAAAAATTATCATCAAATAAAAAGAATGAAAATGCTGAGTCCAAACAATCGATAGAATCTCGAGATAATCGTTATCAGAAATTTCATGTTCAACCTTCACTTTTGACCTTCTCTTACTATTCCAATATCAAAATGAGATCAATGTTTCTTTTCATCGATATAAAAATCTATTGGAACTTATCTGGATTATTGTTATCGTTTCTATCGATTTGGTTTCATGTATCAGTTCATTGTTTCCATCGAAAGATTCAGCAACATTTCTAAACGATAAACATCCATTTTAATTCACTCAATCTCTGCAATTGTTGAGGAATTTGAGAATCAGTTAATCTTAGGAACTTTGAAATTGGATGAAAGCAATTCGATTTTACTCAATACATGTATAACGATGTATCTGACGAGTTTGATAATTAATGAAGAATTTATAATGTAATTGTAGCTAATCAAAGTTATCAAAATTTTCCATGCAAATATTTGGATAAATGAAACGTGTACTTACTATTTTAGTTATTAAAAGAGTATAATCATGTTTTGAATCGATTTCATTATTCCGATTAACTGAAGGTTTTGTCGTACTTAATTCTTTCGTTTTTGATGAACTTTTAGAATGTTCGATTTCATTCAAAGGGAAAGAACAAAGATCAATTAAACTAGCACATTTCTCACTAGTATGTTTATATAAATCCAATGAAGAGAATCCACTGAATGAACCAACCTCTTTCCATACAGAGTCGATTAACTTGTTCATTGTAACTGAATTAGCAACAGAATGGAACATTCAACTTGTCGAAAGCAAAATGAGCTTTTGGTAAACATTAAAGGTTATTCATGATTCAAGGAGTTTGCTCAATGGAAGGAATGAAATCTTAGCCACTTTCAAGATCGTTTGATGAACGGAAAAATTATATTATTGTTTAAATTCACGTAATCATCATGATAATCAACAGCCCAACCTCGAGACTTTCATCAATTTCACTTATTCATTTGTCTCGGGCATCTTTGCATCAATAATAACTCATCCAGCTGATGTGATTAACTCCACGATTAATGAGAAGAGCTGCCATGACTGCTTTCACTTGGACTATTTTTGAACATTGTATTCGTTCAATAGGAATCAAATGATTACTATCACAATATTTAGATTCGATTTACAATCTATTTCCTGTAATAATATTAATCAAAAAGCGCTTCAATTTAGTCACCATTTATTTATTTGTTTGTTATCGTTTTCATTAAATTAAAATCATGTAAATCATCTTGGAGTATCAAGATCAGTAATTAGCCAAAATCCTTTGATAACTAATCCAAAGCTAAATGGGAATAGAATTAATCACAATCAAAAATTAGAATAATCACGAAACTGTTTAAATGTCTTCGAGAGAAATTCAACCAGAAATGTTCGTTGAAAGTCCAAGAGATGACGCGCATTCATTTTCTATGGTTTGTTGTGAGTTTTTCGGTCTTTCCATTGGAAAGTTTCCAATTTGTCTAATTATGTAACACAATTTGTGACACAAATTTTGTGTTTATTTATTTTCTTTCTTTTGTGGTTGAAGTTGAATTTAATCTCAGGTAAACTGTTTGTTTCCAAGGATTTATTTTAATCTCTGTTGAAAAATGTCCATTCGTTTAGTTTTCGTCTAGACTTTTTATCCGGTTGCTCAAAAGTCGCGAAAGAGTAAAAGAAAAGTGAAACCCCGTCAATATCAAGAAAGAATTGTTTTCAGATGCAATCTCAAATGAGAATATCTTCAGCTTCTTCGAGTGTGGCTGGAGGTGCCTCTGGCGCTCTCATGGTCGGGCCCAATTTCAAGGTGGGCAAAAAAATCGGTTAGGTTAGGTTAGGTGCCTTTGACTTTTACTCTCTCACCTTTTCCTCTCCTTTCCTCCTACTCCATCCCCTTCTCTTTATATCTCTTTTTCCTCTCTTATCATCCACATTCTCTCTCTATTGCATATTTTTGAAAAATACCTTGGGAAATCATCATAGAAGCTGAGATAAAATTAAAAATATTATCAATCATTTGTTGATTAGTATTGTGGCAAAAAAATGTAAACAGAGAAAATGGTTTACCTGTTGTTAAAGCATAATTTTGGGAAACTTGATAAAAGTCTGTTGAGAAAGGATGCGATTTTCCATGAAATGTTGGCGTTATCGATTCTCTGGTTGCTAATTCCACGGCGACATTGAACAAATCTAAATTGGGTAACTGGCCGTTGATTCCTTCAATCTCAATCTCCAATTGAGTGATATCTTCATCATCAATTTGTAAATTAACGGCTGCTTGTATGGGCCCACTCTTAGCTGTCAGATAACCAGAAGTTAAAACAGGTGATGAGTAAACTTCATGGTAAGAATCAAGCCATGCCTGGAATCCAATCTCTTGACCAGAAATCAAGAATATTACATCTTTAGCTAGATAACTTTTCTTGCTAAAATATTTAGCCATCGCCAACATCAAACCGATGCCAGGTAAAGTTTTCCCATTGAACTTTTGTGAAGATTGGCACAGGGGTGAAATGATCAAAGCTTCTGTACTTGGTGATCTTGAATTGCACAAACAGATTCGCCAAGCATAATCTAAAATTGTTTTGTCAAATTTTTATCAATCAGAAAATGAGAGGAAAAAAATGTTTCTTAAAGCTGATTTGATGATTTAAGGTGACACTTTGATTTAATTTGATGATAATGATGATGATTATGTGACAGGCTTGAATTGTTAACTAATCAGAAAATTTAACAACATTTAAAACCAGAAAATGATTAAAAAATGATAATGTTGAAGATAAGTAAATTGCTGATGGTGCGATGTCAGTTATAACCAATGAAGTAGTTACATTTTTAAACGATGATGATGATGAACATGATGAATTTCAATTCCATGGGTGGTGCCTGTTTGTTTGCCCTGCGCTTCCTGAGTGTGTCTTCCTCTTTTGTGTTGAATGTTTGGAAGAAAACAAAATCGAACATGAATTTTCATCATTTTATTTTCTCTCTTTTCGCAAACTTTGTATAATTCGATAGATTTGTAATCTTTATTGTTAACATTTCCTCCTGTCGATTACATAACAATTAATAAGTGAATTGTGATCGGATTGTTATTATTGTTGTTCTATTGTGTGTCCACTGTGTCCACTCTGAAAGTTCGTTTTGTTTTTCTTTTGTGGATGAGTTTCCATTCGTTGGTGAAACGAATACATGATAAAGTGATTCACAAGTTTTATTTTTCCTCGTGTTCTCATTTTATATTTTACTGAATTTTCGTTAATGGTTCAGATCAATGAATCGTAAACGAAGTATAGACGATGCCGGTGAGGAAATAGCACCAACATTCACCAAGAAACCGCGAATCCGTCAAGAAGATGATGGAAATCGTTTGGTTTTCGAATGTCAACTCATCTCATCCCCTCGTCCAAAGATAACTTGGTACAAAGGTGATGTTCAAATACAAGATGACCAAAGAATCGAAGCTCGAATAACCGAAGTTGGTCCGAATAAATTTCTGGTCTCTCTTGAATTAAACGATGTTATCGGTGAAGATTCTGGTATTTATTGGGTTAAAGCGAAAAACAAACAGGGCGAGGTTTCGGCCTCGATTAAATTAAACTTTACTCGTAAGTTTTAATCATAGAAAAATGGAAATCTAATTGTTAGCAATCTATTAATAATTCAACTATTCAATTTATCTAATTATCAAATTCAATTGTTTTATTTCATTTCCTTCAATCCAAATCTCGTCATTCAATCAGCGGTGGATTCTCCTCATGATGAGTAAGTGACAATTTATCATTTCAAAGTTTTAATCATTATCATGATAGAGAATCGATAATAGTTTATTATTAATTATTGTTTACGAAAGTGATTAAGTTACTACTGAACGGGGGAGGGTGAAAATGTCTCTTTAAGTTAATCATTGAGCATGAAAAGTGCATCGAGTTTTCATCAGAACAATTTTGTTTTCGAAATTATCATTTCCCTCTCCCTCTCTTCCTCTCTCTCGCTTTCTCAATTTTTCTCTGTCTTTTTTCTCTATCTCTTTCTAGAGAACCTTCCCCCCCCTCTCTCTCTCTCTCTCTCTCTCTCTCTCTCGCACTCATCCCTTTTTCTCTCTCACTGAGATGGAAAAATATACTTATTTATATTTATATCTTGTTCGAGTTGTTCCCTCCTCTCTATTTATAAGCCAAGAACTGAGGACGATGAAAGAAAGAGAAAAAGAAAGAAAAAGCTCGAAAGAGAGTAAGAAGAGGCTTCTAAGTCGCACCCACTCTTAGTTGGCATATATTTTAAGGTCTCTCGAAGTTGGCCAAAAATGGACCGCATTCTTGTTCGTATAAGTTCAAAAGTCGACAGAGAAGTAAAAAAGAGAAACAGAGAAAGACCAAGATGATAAGAAAGAGAGAAAAAGAGAGATAATCTCTCTCTCTCTCTCTCTCTCTCTCTCTCTCTCTGTGTCTGTGGTGTGTGTGTATGAGTGAGTGAGTGTTCATGTGTGTATGTTTGTGTAGTGAAAGACTCGAGTCAACAGTTGTTATTGTTGTTGTTGTTGTAACAACGGTTGATCATCAGAACTTCAGTGATTGTTTTCAATTAAGTTTGATTGCTCGATTGATTGAATTAGTTTAATTTTTGTTTGTTTGCTGAATGGAATCAATTCAACTGGATGCTGGATAATTACAACTTAAGGTGCTAATTGTCACCAAATCCTTAATCATCATCAAACCATTATTATTATCATCGGATAATAATAATAATGGAACGACAATTAAAAACTTCGTAAAGTTACCCCTTTGATTATTATTGAAATACTAAGTTTCTAGTTGATTAATTTTAAATAATGATATGAAATATTGATCTCAACTCAATTGATAGTAAATTATTACAACCAAATTGTGACAATCAACGATAATCAACAGTTACAACTATTTTTATTATTATCAAATCGAATAAGAAATTGTTAAAAAAAATAACGAATTAGAACTTGATTTTCGACCTTTACTCCCGATTCGTTTTCATCTTGCTCATCCTCATCATCTTTATCATAATTAACTTAATCATCTTTGACAAGTTTAATTGTTGTTAATTGATTCACCATCCAACTCAATCATTGTATCATTGTCACCAGTTTTCAAAGCATAGTCCTAATTAGGCGTTTGATTTTAATTGTGTTATCATTTGTTTGATTTGTGTTTCTCATCTTAATTGTTGATCATAATCAACTTTGATTGTCCATTTTTCCATCATAGTCCAGTGATTGTTTTGACGAAAATAATTTAACAATGGCTTCGAGGTTTGTAAATTAACTGTTGATTTAATAGGGAGCCGAAAAAACCAGTTAATTCTAGTGAAAATTAATTACGATTTGAAATTGTTAACATGTCGAGTTTTGATAAATCTAACTGAATGCTGAGACTCAGATATCTTGAAATGTTCAAACTCGTGAACATAAAAAAAGGTCGAGCGACAATTTGAATTGTCCATTTGATGTTATATTCGAATTTTAGTTAACTTTGAATTAGAGGTGGTAATGACCTTGAATGTGGATTTACAAGAGAGATATTAACAGTGTTGAAAGAGAAAAAATCAATCAATTTAATGAAGAAAATAGAAGAAAATATTTGCTAATAAAGTTTTGCTTTTGTTTTCTCTATTGTTTATTCCATTCATTTGGTCATCTAATGGTCATCTCATATGGAATTATAGACAAATTGATGGACTAGCACCAACATTTGCTAAGAAACCAGCGATCAAACAGGAAGACGATGGTCGTCGATTAATATTTGAATGTAAAATCACAGCTGATCCACAACCAGCAGTTTCCTGGTATCATAACGGTACAGCGATCGAAGCCTCATCTCGATACAAGGTAAGATAAAATAAGAATTGGATTAAGTGGATTAGTTGGAGATCATTGTGAGACTAGCCAAATAGAAAATTCTCAATATTCTACTAAAGATATTAGTTTGATTCCATTATTAAAGTTTATCACTTAGGTGGTTATGATGATGATCTTTGCAGTATTTTGATTCTCTTAAGGGATAAGTTGAGGTTTACCTTGGTTTCCAAAATAATCTCCATTCCTTTCTAGCATCTCTTTCTCTCTTCTGAGTTTTTCCATTGACTTTAATCTCTGTATCATGTTTCAAAATGATGATAATTCTGAGTATACATGGTGGGTGAGAGAGAGAGAGTAAAGATCAGGGAGGGAGAGAGTGTGCCGTGTGGATCATGTTGAATAAATATAACACATAAACAACCGGTAAACAAAGTTAAATCTTTCAACCAAATTCTGTTCCAGTTTTTCTGATTCTATTCACCGATTTTCATATTATTGGAACACCAGAATGGTGCGCAGAGTGAGAGTGAGAGAGTGAGAGAGAGAGAGATGCTTTCACTTGGACTATTTTTGAACATTGTATTCGTTCAATAGGAATCAAATGATTACCATCACAATATTTAGATTCGATTTACAATCTATTTCCTGTAATAATATTAATCAAAAAGCGTTTCAACTTAATCACCATTTATTTATTTGTTATCGTTTTCATTAAACTAAAATCAAAGTGCAGCAAAATTTTCAATCCGATTTGATTATCTTATTGTTTATTGAAAGGACAAATCTCTCTGAACCATTTAAACTAATTGGAGTAATCAACTTACAATGAACATTTCGTTATCATTGACAATATGAAACATTGTAAATGTTGATGAAACTCACTAATTGAAGATAAATTCATATAAATGGAATAGTCAAAGTCTTTATCGATTTGCGTTCTCATTATTGATTCACGAATCCCAATCAATATTGTGACTGTAGATTAAATTATATGTTGGTCATGTTAAACTTGAAACAAGGATGAAGACACTTTCACAATTTATCACTGTTTTCATTTGCAAGGTAAATTCAATCAATAATTTGAAGCCAGATTGGGAAGAGAAAAGCAGAACCAAAGAGATAAGTCCAATTTCCATAAATGTACCAATCCTCCAGTTGACCAAGTAGCAACGATTTATGATTCTGAAAAGACTGTTGAATATGAGAGGTAATGTCCAATTGAGAATTGAACCATAATGATGTACCAAGTATACAAAGATAACTTATTGATAGAGGATGAATGAGAAACACCAATGGTGAAAAAAGTTTTCTAAGCAAATTGTTTGGAAGAGAAACACAAATGTAAGCAATGGGCATCATAAGGATGGTAAGGAAAAGAGCCAAAGAAATATTAAAAAGAGATAAACATGATAGAATTAAAGCCAAATTTATGAGAGTGACACACTGCCTTGCTTTCAGAAGTTCGATTGAGTTTTTGTTCAGCTTGACCAGAGGATTAAAGATGAACAATAGTGAGGAAACAATTAAAGAATAATAAATGGCCTCTTTAAAAGCTAGATTATGGCTTTGGTAAATCCAAGCAAATCTTTGTAGAAAGAACGGCAAAGACGCGACCAGAAATCCACAAACGTGACAATAAAAGTTGAAAGGCAACGCAGCCCATAAAGACCCCGATTCATCATGGCAACTATCCAGATTCATTTTCAAATAAATATTTAAGGCTTTGAATAGAAAGAGAGATGATGATGAGAAGAACGTAATATTTACAGGCGTAAAGAAAATCTTCCGGGCAACCACAGATTAACAAGTAATTTGGAAAATTTTACCAATGAGATGATCTGAGCTTCCATCATTTACTATTTTTAGCTTATCTTCATCTCTGTCTCTCTCTCTTCGTTTTTGTTATTCATCTTTTCATATCTTTGTCGAAAAGTTTAAAGGTATCAAAGATGAAGCTTTTCTGAGTATCAAGAGAAAAGAGCGTCGGTGATATATATAAATTTCAGAATTATTAGAATTTGTTTTTATCTTTTTTTCTAATTTCATCATCTTCTTCTATCATGTAGTTATCATGGATTGAATAGATCATAAATCACTAAGAACTTTTTTTCTCTTTTTCGAATCTCAAATAACACCAAATAATCTCATCATCATCTTGAAATTGAAGTGATGAGAGGTGATGAATTCCATTCAGGACATTGATCTTTGCTTATCTTACGAAAATTCTTTGAGCTGATTATCAGTTAACACAGTTCGAACTGTCCAAGTCCAATAAACGCGCTAATTGTTGAGGGAAAATGGATAAGAAAAACAATTTTACTTGTTGATTAAAAAAAGAGCAGTAAAAGTGAAGAGCCAAGAAATTTAATGTTAGACAATGTTAATCAGATTGGCATCACATCTTCAAGTGTGTCTTCATCTATTTCTGAAAATTAATCTCATTAAGCGACGGTGACAAGAGGAAAACATGATAATGATGTGGATGAGATGCTGATTAAGGCCAAAGGATAGACACCAAAGGAGCATTGAGACTTCAGGAAGAAGAAAATAATATTCAGCAAAAGATGAGAATAAGCTCAATAGAGTATTTATAACGGTAAAAATTTCGAGAGGAAACAATTTTACAATAGAATAGAATAGAATATGTTACATTCTAATTGATTGTATTCGAAATCAATTCAATCAGAAAGGTTGTTTTCCTTTTCATGTGAATTTCAGAATCGAAAATATCAAATAAAAGATAATCTTCTTCTCTAATCTTGTTAATCCTTTACTTAGAATTTGAACATTTTTCTATGGATTAAAATGGAATCCATTTAGTGAATAATTAACTTATCATCATATTAATCTGTTGATCGTCATTAAGATCAATGTTATTTTGTTTCTTTTTTCTTTCTCCATCTTGTTTTCTATTAATTGGAATAGAAAACAAGAAGCCAAGAAAATTGTGATTCTATTCTCAGTTGATGGAGAAACAAAGAGAATCAACTGTAAGAAAGTAAATGGATCATAATTAATGGTGAAGATAATTAAAGGTGTATAATTATTTAGATACGAACATAGTAATTAGTTTACTTATTGTGATTAAATTAATAATCTAAATATAATGTAACAAGAATCACATGAGAAATGATCAAATGGAAAAGTAAACATTGTTGAAAGAATTTAAATCATCATCGTAATTGTTATGATTCCAAAGAAAAGAGAGAAAACGAATCAACAATTAATTGTGTTTGTAATTTGTTCCTAATCTTGTTAATTATTTTTCTCTAATAGTTAACTGTTAAAAAGGATGCAGATAAATCCAATAGTTACTTGGCTCATATGGAAATTACTGAGGTTCGTGTTGAAGACGCTGGAAAATACAAAGTAATTGCTAAGAATGAGCTTGGCGAAAGCAACGCAAGCATAAGTCTCAATTTTGACAGTAAGTTAATTGTTCATTGATTGCTAATTGTTTTCCCTTAAATTAGTTATCCTAATTGTCATCAATTGCTTACCAACTAATATAATTAATATCTAACGAAAGGGTTGAGATCTTTGTCTTGGCTCAATGGAGAAATCGATTAACACTAGTAAAGACTTTTTTCAATCAATTGTATTAATATTTGTAGATTTAATTGTTGATTCAATTTACTTGGATTGTTAATTGTTCAGCTGATTGTTGAATATTTGACTTTCTCTTTCTGCCAATTTTTAATTTCTCTCAATCAAATTAATTGTTTAGTAATAAATATTTTCTCTTCGTTGAAGAGAATTAAAGTTGTGCCAAGTAGTGTAAACATTTTAATTCTCAGACTAGAAAATGTGTAATATGTTTACAATTAGAATTAGAATCAGGTTTATTCATATTACTGAGGATTTGCCCCTGAAACTGATGATCTTATATTATTTTCTTTCGAATTGGAAAAGATAAACAAACAAACAGCTGATTACCTACTATTCGTTTTTACGAGTTGAAGTTTGTCTGGATTTTTTTTCTCTAATTTCGTTTTCATTTTCACTTTTCATTCATCAGGTGATGATTCTTCAGTACCGACTGATAATGCTAAACCGACATTCACCGAAAAACCTGTGATAAAACAATCAGATGATGGAAGTAAAATTATCTTCGAGTGTCGCTTGGTCGCCGAACCAGCGCCGACAATTGAATGGTTTCATAAAGGTAAACTCGTCAAGGAGGATCTTCGTCATAAATATAAATTAGTCTCTGATAAGCACCATCATGTTGCATCACTTGAATTAAGTCGAGTTGGTGGTGAAGATGGTGGAGAGTATCGATTGGTGGCAAAAAATTCAAAAGGCGAAGGTTTCGCTCACATAAATCTAAACTTCGAAGGTGGAAGACCCAAATTACCCGAGGGTAAAGCTCCACGTTTCCCGAAAAAACCAACAATCCGTCAAGTTGGTGGTGACCTTGTATTGGAATGTATCGTTGAAGCTAATCCAAAGCCCGATATCTCTTGGTACCATGGGACGAAGGTCATTAAAGAGGGTACTCGACATAAAGCGGTCATCAAAGAGATCGATAAAGATACTTTCGCTCTCTCATTGGAGATTAGTGATCCCTCTAATGATGATGGGGGAACTTATCGTTGTAATGCCGTTAACGAATTAGGTGAATCTAATGCCAATATAGCTCTTAACTTCCAGGGAGGTGGAGAAGAGGAAGACCTTTCACCCACCTTTGTGACCAGGCCAAAGATCATTCCAAAAGACAATGGAGCCCTGATAGTAATGGAGTGTAGAGTTAAATCAACGACAAAAATTACGACGATTTGGTACAAAGGATCAACTCTAGTAAAAGAATCGACAAGATTCAAGAGTAGTGTGATTTCTGAAGGTTCCGATGAATATACTGTTCGTCTTGAAATCAAGGTAAGAAGAAAAAAGAACCGAATAATAAACAAAAAGTTTTCTCCTCTAAAATGATATAATAATAACAGAATATCATAAATAGAAAATAATAATAGTAATAAGTAATAATTGCTGAGAAAGATGATAATCGCATCTGGAGTATTTTTCGAAAGATATTCCTTACTCTATCTTCTCTCTCTTCACAAATCATCCTAAAATGACTTTAAACCAACCACCATACGAACACAAATATGCTAATAATAAGGTCTAAAAATGTACTCTAACGGTACATTTTCATCTCTTGAATCTCTATGTGTTTTATGTGTCTCTTTTTACTCGAGTTTCTCTTGATCCTCCTCTTTGAGCTGAAATTGGACTAGAGCCAAAAATTTTTCTCTCTATTAGAATTCCTTCTGGTTAATCTTAGGTTAACTTTGTGTGTGAAATCATTAAATCACCGAGTAATAAAAGGAAGTGTGAGTTTCAGAGAGTATATAACTTGATGATGGAAGATGAAGAGAGAGAGAGAGAGAGAGAGAGAGTAAAGAAAGGGTCTGAAATCAGGTTGCTTATTACAGAGGAACGAGGATGAGGAAAACGTTTCTAAATGCCCTTGGATTCTAGTAACTTGCCAGAAGATATTTCAAACTCAGTAGTATTTATATTCACATGGGAATATTGTATTAACTACACGAGTATAAATGTTACTCAGATTCTTAAACCATTTTATTGGGAAGATAAAGAAAGAAAGAAAGAGAGAGAGAGAGAGAGAGAGAGACGATAATAATCATCAGAGCAGAAAATAGGACAATTCATGATGAAGGAAGAGAAAGAAAAAAATGAATTCGAAAACAATTTGTTTCTTTATTGTGATTTTCATCTAATCAGTTTTATTATCTCTTATCATTTTTTTATCATCATCATTATCATTCATTTCCTCATCTTATTTAATTATATCTCTCCTTTGGCTGTAATCTAATATCATTGGAATGGTATTAAATTGTTATTATTTTCCAAGAGAAAAAGTTTCTCTTTCTTTGTCGGATTATCATCCAACTTGAGAGATAATCCAACCCATAGAATCGTTTAATTATCCAGAGAGAGAGAGAAAATTTTGTCAACTCTTTCATTTTCAAGGTTAAATTGTTCTCATTTCAGTCCTGTTAATTGTCATCATTTTGTCTCTTAATCTCCCTGTAGGATCCAGTTAAAGATGACGGCGGTGTCTACAAGTGCAACATTAAAAATAGTCACGGTGATATTAATGCTAATCTTAATCTCAACATCGAAGGTGGTGATATTGAAAAGGCGGGCGAGCCTCCGACCTTTGTTGAAAAGCCGAAAATCATTCCCGAAAATAATGGAAAGTTAATAATAATGGAATGTAAAGTTCGGTCGAAACCCAAACCAGACATTGTTTGGTACAACGATGGAACTATTGTCCGAGAAACAACTCGAATTAAGTTAATTGTTAAAGAAGAGACAACTGATGTTTATCTTATACGATTAGAATTACGAGATCCCGAACTGACCGATGCAGGTCAATATAAGTGTAATGTCCGTAATCCTGCCGGTGAAAGTAATGCCAATCTGAAGCTCAATATTGAATGTGAGAGACTTTCGATTGATTGATTTTTGTTTTCTTCTTCTTTTCTTCTGATCATTGATTAGCTAATTGATTTTCTTATTTTTCGTTTTCTTTCCAGTGGCTCCGGTAATTAAAGAGAAACCCAAAGTAATTAAACAAACCAAAGAGAGAAAGGTTGTCATTGAGGTTAGAATCGCTTCGGGTGCCGCACCGAAGGTTCAATGGATGAAAGAATCAACGGTTATTCGTGAAGATTCACGGCACGTTGTTCGAATCCAGGAAGTATCTAAAGGAGAATACGCTGTGGCCTTAGAGATCGACAAGGCCGAAAAGTTAGACAAAGGAACTTACAAAGTAGTCGCAAAGAACGAGAAGGGAGAATGTACTTCGCAAGCGGTTACAGTCGATGTCGAAGGTAAAAGAAAAATAATGCTAATAATTATGAACGATTCTAATCAATTGATTTCATTTCGTAGATATGGTTGAAGCTAAAGATCAAGAACCAGCTAAGAAACCGAAACTCGATGAGAACAAGGAAAACAAACCTCAGGCCAAACCTGGAGTAAAAGTCGCAAAGCCAATGTTTATCTCGCAAATCAAATCACGAGTAAGTTAATTAGAGAAATTGAAATTTGCTGAACGTAATTGTGAACATTTTACTCTACCAACTCATAGACTATCAATGAAGGAGCTGAGATTGAATTTGCGTGTAAATTCACATCAAAGGAAAAAGTAACAATCAACTGGTTCTATAATAAGAAAAAAATTTCATCTTCTTCCAAATATTCAATTGTTTCAACTGAATCTTCATCTGTCCTGAAATTAACGAGCGCTTTATTTGAGGACAGTGGTGAATATATTGTCAAAGTGGCTAATTCAGGGGGAGAAATTGAATCAGCGGCTGAATTAACGGTCAAGAGTAAGTTTATCAATTGCAAATCGGTATTGAAACCAACTCATGTTCAATTATCTTCGATTATCATCTAGTGACCGTCGCTAAACGTGAACCGGTGAAGAAAGAAAAAGCCAAACCTGAAGAGGCTCAACCGGAAAAGAAGGCAAAACTTGAACCAGAAAAACCTAAAGAAGAAGAGAAACCGGTCAAAAAGCCGATCGAAAAGCAAAGTTCGATACCAGATATTCAGGTGGAAAAGGAGAAATCACCATTGCCACCACGAGAAGATTCATTCGATTCTCAGGGTGGACCACCTCTGAAAAAGAAAGCGTCTATTCCGATGGTGAAAGAACCCACACCGGAACCAGAGCCGAAACCTGGTGGAAGACGAGGTTCATTTATCGACCCTTCAGGTAATCAAGTTCGACGAGGTTCTTTCATCGATGTTGGTGATGTACAAAGTTTACGAGCCTCTCCTGGTCGACGGACAAGTGATTCACGTCGTCCATCAACCGCTGAATTTGATCCAACCGATAAACCTGGAATAGCATTACAACCTAAAGGAAAAGAACCAAAGATCACAAATTACGGGGAAAATCAGCAAGGTACCGAAGGTAAAACGGCCTTTATTCAATTCGACGTTGAAGGTGATCCCGTCCCTCAGTTTCGATTGTACAAAGATGGACAAGAAATTTACGAGGGCGGACGATATTCAATAGTTACCGATGGTTCTACCAACACGGTTTACTTTTGTATCAAAAAGTCAAAATCAGCCGATGAAGGAAGATACACCATAGTGGCCTACAATGTACATGGCGAGGCGAAAGCAGAGATCGGTTTGTTTATCGGCGGTGAGGAAGGTATGGATTTCCGTGCCATGTTAAAACGAGGTAAAAGACAACAGTGGAAAAAGCAATCAGATGATCCTGATTGGGGAAATTTAAAAGCTGTTGAAGATGAAAGAAGAGCATCACTTAAGGAAATTAAGGTAATTGTAACAATTTAACATTTCTAACTTTTAATCAATCGAAGAAAAAAGTTATCAGCTGATTATCCGAATGAAACATGAAACGAGATAACTTGATAAGCTTTTAATAGATTCTGACAACGAACAAGAGTAAAAAAAGTTCATCACAACAATCAAAGTTTTCCATGAACAATTTAAAATTATCTTTATGTTCAATGTCTTAACTACTATCAAGTATTAATACATGTTTAATTGTCGCTCGAGGGGATTAGATATAATCGATTACATATCGATCGGTTCAATCCAAATTTCGTATTAGTTTTTTTTGTCTCATATCGATACAATAATATTATCGTTTTCATATGTTTATCCAATTTTACCCGAATCAAATTGTTTCGACAATTATAAGAACGATGTGACAAGTCCAAGAGGAAGTCGCCGACCATCACTCGCCGAGATAATACCAGACTGGCCTGTCTTACACCCTCCAAGTAAAAAACGCGAGGTTTGGCATTAAAGCCAATTGACTTAAAAGCTTAATCATAATTACCATAAGTTTTTGTGTTAATTATGAGGACGCAAATTTTAGATAATCAAGAAAACAAATCAAAGTCAATTGGTTTACAAAGATTAATTTTCATTAGTGATTGATTGTTAATCGTTGTTGCCTCTAAATTGGTTGGTCAATGTTGTGGTCATTGCTTTTTAGTATTAAATCATCATCAATGTTATTAAGCTTTATCGTGATGTAATTAACTTTTAACGGTAACAATTTGCTTGAATTAATTAACTGGTTTCATTTGCTTACATTGTTTTGTTTTGTATTGTGACTTTCTTATTGTTGTTTTTATTGGTGTTTTCTCATTGTGATTAGTTGATTGTTTTTGATAATTTTGTTGCAATTTGATTTTAACTGTGACTTTTTCTTTTCATTTTCTGATTTAAATCAATAGAAACCTGAGATTTTTACCAAACCCTTACAGAATCAAAAGTGTAAGGAAGGAAGAGATAAAAAAATTCGATTCGAATGTGTCTTCAGTAAGGTTGGAATTAAAGCTAAATGGTTCAAGAATAAGCAAGAGCTTTTCATGGGACGGAAAAACCACATGGTCTCACAGGGCGATCTTCATGTATTGGAGATAATTAACCCGTTAGTTGAAGACGAAGGCAAATATATTTGTAAATGTTTAGATGCGACCACCGAGGCTTATCTGGATGTCGAACCACCGGATCCCGTTTACAAATTTGTCAAGAAATTACCACCACAGAGTAAAGGTTACACCGATCGTGAATGTGTCCTAGAATGTGCCTGTAACTCACCTAAGGCACCAGTTAAATGGTATAAAGGTGAAAAGAAATTGGAAAATTCTGACAAATACATTATCGAGCAAGATGGTTTGGGGAAGAAGTTTCTCAAAATTCAAAACTGCACCATGGACGATGCGTCTGAATATACCTGTCGAATAAGTTCTGAAGAGTTCACCTCGACCAAATTGACCATCGCAGAACAAGCCTTCAAATTCATGAGGGTTCTAAGATCAATGAGGGTCAACGAAGGTGAAACCATTACTCTTGAGTGTGAGGTTGATGATTGGGAAGCTCCAGTTACCTGGTATTTTCAAGGGGAAGAGATTAAGAAGGATAAACATTATGATATTATTGCAGAAGGTAGGAAACGGAAATTGATCATCAAGAAGTGTAAAGTTACCGATGAAGGAAAATATTTAGCAAAGACCAAAGGAGATGAAACGGAATCTGAGGTTCTCGTTGAACCTGCAAATCGATTCAAAAAGAAACTCGAAGATGTTCACACCCTTGAGAAGAAACAAATTGTCTTCGAAGTTGAAATGACCGATACTCGAGCGCCATTGAAATGGTACAAAGATGGTCAAGAGGTAGCACCCAATGAAAGAATTCACATCAAGTACCATGATGATAAATATACGCTCACCATTGATGCGGCCAAACTTGAAGATGCCGGTGAATACATGGCAGCAACGCCAAATATTAAAACCAAATGTCGACTTACAGTTGATGAGGGTAAGTTGATTGTCACTTAATCGACGATTTCAATGTGATCTAATTTTCATTTCGTTTCCGTTTTTCAGCTGAACGACCTCCGATAATTAAACTTGAACAGACTGACTTTCAATCTGACGTTGGAAAACCGCTTATAATTGATGTTCCCTATTCAGGTAATCACAATTGTTTATCGGTGATTAAGTTATCGATTATTATTTTATCGGATTTTCATCTGGAATTCGGTTTTTTTTGTTTTTTCAGTTCCGGGAACAAGGACTTCAGATATTGTCGCTAAATTGACTCGCAATGGTAAAACAGTTTCTTCTAAGGATGTTGAGGTTGTTGTTCGTCCCGACAAAGTGATTTTGACCTTCCGAAAAACAACTCGTGATAATTCAGATGATTATCAATTCTCTTTAGCAAATGCTGAAGGTGAAACTAAAAAGGCTTTGAAAATTAACTTTATCGGTGTCCCCGCACCACCTGAAGGTCCACTTGAAATATTGGACCTTTTCCGTGATCGTTGTAAACTGGCCTGGAAGCCGACCAAAGATACTGGTGGATTACCTTTGAAACATTATGTCGTTGAAAGGCAAGCAGTCAGTTCTCGAGGAGGTTGGGTTGAAATTGGTACAACCGAAGATTGTAAATTTGAAGTTAACGATCTCGAATACAAGAAAGAGTATCGTTTCCGTGTTCGAGCGGTCAACAAAAAAGGTGCCTCGGAACCGCTTAATTGTGCCAAAGATATAATTGCCAAGGATCCTTATGATGAACCATCTAAACCAAAGTCTCCCGAAGTCACTGATTGGGACAAAGATCATGTAAGTTTATCAAAGATTTTGATCTGAATGTGACCTTAACCTTTGTCTTGATTTGTAACCTCACAGGTTGACCTTAAATGGCAAGCACCAGAAAAAGATGGTGGAAGTCCAATCACAGATTATATCATTGAATTCAAAGACAAATTTTCCCCCGAATGGGCGGTTGGACCTAAAGTACCCGGGAATAAGACCACATGTAAAGTAACGGGTCTTAAGGAAAACATGCAATACCAGTTCCGTGTGATTGCCGTTAACAAAGCGGGTCCTAGTGAACCTTCAGACCCAACAAAGCCTCACATTGTTAAAGCTCGGTTCGTGAAGCCTTACCTTGTCGGCGATGGACTTAAAAATTTGGTCGTTAAAAAAGGAGCCGTCATCAAGTACGATATACAATTCTTTGGTGAACCCGCTCCAGAGATCATTTGGTCACTGAACGGAGAGGAATTATTCCCCGGTAGTAAAATTGTGATCGATAAAAATGAGAAGAATTCAGTTTTCCAGAACAAAAGTGCTGTTCGTGGGGACAGTGGTAAATATCGTATCACTTTGACCAATTCAACGGGAACTTGTTATTCTGAGGCCGATGTTGTTGTTTTGGATAAACCAAGTGCACCAGAAGGTCCACTTATCCTGGAAGAGATTCGAGCTGATCATGTAACGGTCAAATGGCGAAAGCCTAAGGATACTGGTGGAACTGACCTTAAGGGTTATGTTATTGAAAAAATGGACTTGGACACTGGTAAATGGGTCCAGGCCGGTGAGGTTGGTCCTAATGACGATCATTTCAAGGTTGAAGGATTAACCAAAAATAAGAAATACAAATTTCGAGTTCGAGCTGTAAACAAAGAAGGCTTATCTGATCCTCTTGAGACAACGGACCCTGTAGTGGCCAAAAATCCATATGACGAACCCTCTAAACCTGGTAAACCAGAAATCGTCGACTATGACAACACAAAATGTGACCTTAAATGGGCTGTACCTGAAAAAGATGGTGGCAGGCCAATTACTCATTACATCATTGAAATGAAAGATAAATTCAGTTCCGATTGGACTGAAGTTTTGGTCACCCCTGACGCCAAAAACGAAGCCTCTGTTACTGGGCTTAAAGAAGGTAACACAGTTCAATTTAGAGTTCGAGCTGTGAACAAGGCCGGACCAAGTGAACCAAGTGACGCAACTGACCCTCATATCGTTAAACATCGCAACTTAAAGCCGAAAATTGATCGAACCAATCTGAAAAATATAACCATCAAGGCCGGAAGGTCAGTTAAATTTTTGGTCGATATCACTGGAGAACCTCCGCCAACCGTTGTTTGGACTTATGGTGAGGCCAAGAAAAAGCTAACCGACGATGATCACATTAAGATAGTCAATAAAGATTATCAGACCGATTTTAACCTTCATAAGGCCAAAAGATCACACACTGGATTGTACACAATTACAGCATCAAATGCTTCTGGTAGCGATACAGTTACCGTTGAGATTAAAGTCCTTTCGAAACCAGGTAAACCTGAAGGTCCACTAGAAGTGACCGATGTCCATAAAGAAGGATGTAAATTGGCATGGAAAAAACCTAAAGACGACGGCGGGTCAACAATCAAAGGTTATGAAGTCGAAAAGTTCGACAAAGATTCTGGCCGTTGGACTCGTTGTGGTAAAACCGATAAACCAGAATTCGAGGTAACTGGTCTGATTCCAGGTAAAGAATATTTATTCCGTGTTGTTGCTCAAAATGACGAAGGAGATTCCGAACCATTAGAAGCCTCATCTCCGATCATTGCTAAAAATCCTTACGACGAACCTGACAAACCAGGTACACCTGAGATTGTTGATTATGACAACAAATCTGTTGACCTTAAATGGGCACCTCCAAAGAGCGATGGTGGTGCTAAGATTAGTCGTTATATCATCGAAAAGAAAGAAAGATTCCAGTTGATCTGGGAACGAGCTTGTGAAGTTCCCGGTGATGTTAATGAGGCCAAAGTTGAAGACCTTCACGAAAGATCAGAGTATCAATTCCGTGTGATTGCCGTGAACAAAGCGGGTCCAAGTGAACCCTCCGATCCAACTGGTAATCATCTTGTTAAACACCGAAAGTTAAAACCAAGAATTGATCGAACCAATTTGGAAACGATTACGATCAAAAAAGGTAAATCGGTCAAATTAGATGTCAACATTTCTGGTGAACCACCGCCAAAGGTTCAGTGGTTCCTCAAGGACAATGAGGTCAAAAACGATGAACATTATGATATCATTAATGTTGATTATAATACGAAATTTAATATTACCGATGGATTGAGAAAACACTCCGGTAAATATAAAATCGTCGCTACTAATGAACATGGTAAGGACGAGGCTGAGATTGAAATTGTTGTTCTAGCGGCACCGAGTAGACCCAAAGGTCCATTAAAGGTCAACGATGTCACCGCTAAAGGTTGTAAATTGGCCTGGCAACCACCGGATGATGATGGAGGTAAACCAATCCAATCATATGTTATTGAAAAACTGGACTTGGCCTCTGGTAATTGGGTTCCAATTGGACGTACCGATGATACTTCATTCGAGGTCACTGGACTCACACCCGGTAAACGATATCAGTTCAGAATTAAGGCTAAGAACGCTGAAGGTGAATCTGAGCCGTTGGTTAGTGATGAACCAACGATTGCTAAAAATCCCTACGATGAACCTGACGCACCAACTGATGTAAAAGTCGACGATTGGGATAATCAAAGTGCTCAACTTGTTTGGAAACGACCTGCGAATGATGGAGGTGCTCCAATCACTGGTTACATTGTCGAAAAGAAGGAAAAATTTGGTTCTTCTTGGGAACCTTGTGCCGAAGTTTCGGGAGATAGTTGTAAGGCTAAAGTGGAAAATCTTAAAGAAAAGGCTGAATATCAATTCCGTGTTAAAGCCGTTAACAAAGCGGGTCCCAGCGAACCGAGTGAACCAACAAAACCTCATCTGGTCAAACATCGGCATCTTGCACCTCGAATTAATCGTGATAATTTACAACAGATTACCGTTAAAGCGGGTAATATGGCTCGACTTGATGTAGAGGTTTCTGGTGAGCCACCGCCAACCATCAGCTGGTCATTCGCTGGCAAACCATTGGAAGAAACTGGCGACATTAAGATTGAAAATAAAGACTACGAAACTCACATTCAAATGCGAAATATGACTCGAGCTCAAAGTGGAAAATACAAAATCAACGCTGAAAATGCTTCAGGCAAAGATGAAGCCGAAGTCGAAGTTATTGTACTCGACAGGCCAGGAAAGCCCGAAGGTCCTCTTGAAGTGTCTGATGTTCATGCCGAAGGTTGTAAGCTCTCATGGAATCCACCTAAGGATGATGGTGGTGTTCCAATTGAGAACTATCAAATCGAGAAACAAGATGCGGCCACTGGTCGTTGGGTCCCTGTCGGCAAAGTACCAGGGGATAAAACTGAATTTGCTCTCGCTGGTTTGGAACCAAATAAAAGATACAATTTCCGAGTCAAGGCTTGTAACAACGAAGGAGCTTCTGATCCTCTGGAAACTGATCGCTCAACTGTTGCCAAAAATCCGTTCGATCCTCCAGGACCACCAGGATTACCTAAAGTCGACGATTACGATGAGAAATTCGTGCTCTTAAAATGGGAGCCACCGGTACGCGATGGAGGAGCTCCAGTGACTGGTTATTTAATTGAAAAGAAAAGTAAATACTCACCCGATTGGGTTACATGTGCCGAAGTCTCTGGACCTCAATGTCAAGGTCGAGTTAACGATTTAACCCCTGGTGACAAGTACGAATTCCGAGTTAAAGCGATAAACAAAGCTGGACCTGGTGCACCTTCCGACTCAACTGGACCTTTCTTAATGAAACCTCGATTCTTAAAACCTAAAATCGATCGAGCAAATTTGAAAAGTATTACCGTTAAAGTCGGTCAAATGGTTCAATTCGATGTCAACGTTATTGGCGAACCAGCACCGAAAACCATTTGGAAACATGAAGATAAAGAACTTGAAAATGGTCAAATTTATCAAATCGATAACATCGATTATAATACAAAGTTTTGTTTACTTCGAGCCACTCGAAAAGAAACTGGAACTTATAAATTGACCGCAACCAACGAGGTTGGTTCAGACGAAGCCGAAGTTGTCATTACGGTTTTGGGTAAACCTTCAAAACCGAAAGGACCACTCACAGTGTCTGACGTTCACGCAGAAGGTAATTTACAGCACAATTAAAACAAATTCCTTTTTTATCTTTTTCAATCGAGATTCGAGTTGATACAATTGATTTTCTTTTTACTAACTTTTACTTTTATCACTGAAAATTGCAGGATGCAAACTTGCATGGAAACCACCGGAAGACGATGGTGGATGTCCAATCGAATGCTATGAGATCGAAAAGCTCGATGAAGAAACTGGTCGCTGGGTTCCAGCTGGTAAATCATCTGAGCCTCATTTCGAAGTAACGAATTTAACGCCAGGACGAAAATACAAGTTTAGAGTTCGAGCTGTAAACAAAGAGGGAGATTCAGATGAACTTGAGACTGATACAAGTATTGAAGCTAAAAATCCATTCGACGAACCTAATAAACCAGGTCGTCCTGAACCAACTGACTGGGATGTCGATCATGTTGACCTTACCTGGACTCCTCCAGCTTCGGATGGAGGTAGTCCAATCACTGGATACATCATTGAAAAGAGAAAAAAAGGAGGACGAAAATGGGAAAAAGGTCGCGAGATTCATGGTAATGTAACTAATGGAACTGTTCCCGATCTTGAAGAGGGAACTGAGTACGAGTTCCGTGTTCTAGCGGTGAACAAAGCTGGTCCTGGTGAGCCAAGTGATCCATCAAGACCGATCACTGCTAAGCCCCGTCGACTTGCTCCTCGAATTGATCGAACCAATTTGAAACCAACTACAATTAAAGCCGGACAACCAGTTAAATTTGACGTTGATGTTAAAGGTGAACCCGCACCAACGATCACTTGGACTTTCAAAAATGAGCCTCTTCAGTCAGGAGAAAATGTTTCGCTCGAAAATGAGCCCTATCATACTTTACTAATGCTGACCAAGACTAAACGTGCTCAAAATGGTGTTTACACTATCACAGCTAAAAACGAACACGGTGTCGATGAAGCGACAGTTGAAGTGACTGTTCTCGCTAAACCAAGTAAACCAAAAGGTCCACTCGAAGTATCCGATGTCCACGCTGAAGGTTGTAAACTTTCATGGAAAAAGCCTGAAGACGATGGAGGCGAACCAGTAACTGGATATGTTGTCGAAAAACTCGACCTAGAATCTGGCCGTTGGGTCCCCGTTACAACGACTCGTGATCCTGAGGCAGAAATTACTGGCCTCATTCCAGGCAAAGAATACAAATTCAGAGTAAAAGCTTTGAATGCCGAAGGTGAATCTGAACCTTTAGAAACAGAAAAACCGACATTAGCCAAGAATCCGTTCGACCAACCGGATAAACCAGGTAAACCCAAAGCCACGAATTGGGACAAGAACTTTGTTGACCTCGTCTGGGACGCACCAGTGTCCGATGGAGGAAGTCCCATCACGGGCTATATAATCGAGAAACAAGATAAGTACAGTAATAAATGGGTCAAAGCGGGCGAGGTTCCTGGAAATGAAACGGAAGCTCATGTAACTGACCTGATCGAGGGAATGGTTTACAAATTCCGAATTAAAGCTGTGAACAAAGCTGGACCCAGTCAACCAAGTGAGGCGAGCGATTCCGTCACTGCTAAGCCAAGAAATTTAGCTCCTCGAATCGATCGAACTAATTTACGTGACCTTATCATCCATGCTGGACAAAGTATCAAGTTTGATGTTAAAGTTGCGGGTGAACCAACACCAAAGGTCACTTGGAGCCAAAATGATAAACCCTTAGCAGCAGATACTCATGTTTTAATTGATAACGAACCCAATCGAAGCAAATTCCTGGTCACTTCTGCTGATAGGAAAGACACTGGTGTTTACAAAATCAAAGCCGAAAACATCAACGGTGTTGATGAAGTCGATGTCAATGTAACCGTACTGGATAAACCATCAGCACCCGAAGGTCCATTGGAAGTTTCTAATGTCCACGCTGAAGGTCAGTTGTATTTTCAATTTGAAGAGAAAATTTTGGTCACTCAATTAATAATTAAGATTTTTTTTAATTATGAACAAATGACCTTGAGCTAAGAAAATTTATTAATAATTGCTAATCAATTAAATCATTATAAACTAATCGATGTTTTGATTATTCTAAATTTAAATTAAGGTTGTAAATTGAAATGGAAGAAGCCGAAAGACGATGGCGGAGTTCCAATTGAACATTACGCCATTGAAAAGATGGACACTGCAACTGGACGTTGGGTCCCATGTGGTCGAGCGTTTGAACCACAATTTGAGGTCGCTAATCTTGAGCCAGGAAAAGAATACAAATTCAGAGTCGCAGCTGTTAACGCCGAAGGTGAATCGGTTCCTTTAGAAGCTGAACAAGCGATTATCGCTAAGAATCCCTTTGATCCTCCAAGTACTCCTGGTCGACCTGAAGTTACAGGAGTCGATCGTCACCATGTTGACCTTAAGTGGGACGCTCCAACTAAGGATGGTGGGGCTCCGATCACGGGTTATATTGTTGAGAAGAAATCAGCTGATGGAACTAAATGGGTTAAAGCGATTCAAACTGACGGGCCAGCAACCGAGGTTCGCGTACCTGATCTAGAAAATGGAGAAACATATCAATTCCGTGTGAAAGCGATCAATGCTGGTGGACAAAGTGAACCGAGTGAACCAACCAAACCGGTCACTTGTAAACCAAGTAAATTACCTCCTCGAATCGATAGACGTAACTTGCGTCCAGTTGATATTAAAGTCGGTGAAACATTTGGATTTGACGTTGACGTTCAAGGTGAACCAGCACCAGAGATCCGTTGGTATATTAAAGAATCACCAGTAGGAGAAACAAGTGCGCTTACGATAACAAACAAACCATATCATACGAAATTACAATGTGACAAAGCCGAACGCAAAGACTCAGCCGTTTATCGTATTGTAGCTAAAAATCAATACGGTATGGACGAAGCCGATGTTGAAGTGACTGTTGTTAGTAAACCAAGTAAACCAGAGGGACCATTGGAAGTTAGTGATGTTAATAAGAATGGTAAGAGTTACAATTACAATTAGTTAACCAATTGATTGATTGATTGATTCTGATTGGATATCTTTCGATTTTGATTGACAGGATGTAAATTAAAATGGAATAAGCCAAAGGACGACGGAGGAATTCCTCTTGATGGTTATGTGGTCGAAAAGCTCGACCCTGACACTGGCTCTTGGGTTCCAATCGGTAAAACATTTTTACCAGAATTCGATGTAACTGGATTAACTCCGGGCAAAGATTATTCATTCCGAGTGAAGGCTGTTAATAAGGAAGGTGAATCTGAACCATTACAAACTCTTGCACCAATCACTGCCAAGGATCCATTCTCACCTCCTGGTCAATCGGGTACACCTCAAGTTACAGCATTTTCACCAAATTCAGCGGACATTAAATGGGAAGCACCAGAGAGAGATGGTGGAGCACCGATCACCAGTTATATCGTTGAAAAGAAAGAAAAAGGTAATTTGAAATCACAGTTCAATCTAATCAAACACTTTGACAATTATCTGGCAATCAAATGTAAAAAGTTCCTTATTTCCTGAGGCTCTAATAAAATCTTAAGGTTTTATCAGATTCACAATGACGAGAATTTATAATATTGGATAACTTACATATTGTATTTTAAATCATCAATTGAGTTAATTCTACTTTTCTCTTTTTAATTGTAGGAGGTTTATGGGAAAAAGCCCTCGAGATTCCAAGTGACATTACCAAAGCTCATATTCCTAATTTGAAAGAGGGTAAAGAATATGAATTCAGAGTAATAGCTGTAAATAAATCTGGTCCTGGTGAACCAAGTCTTCCCTCTAGATCAATAACTGCCAAGAATCCATTCGATGAACCAGGAGCTCCAGGACGACCAGAACCGACCGATTGGGACGCCGATCATGTAGACTTGACCTGGAAAGCACCAGAATCAGATGGTGGAAGTCCAGTTACAGGTTATATCATCGAGAAGAAGAAGAAAGGAACTCGAAAATGGGAAAAAGGACGTGAAATTATCGGTAATGTTACCAGTGGAACATGTCCTGATCTTGAAGAAGGAGCTGAATACGAATTCAGAGTTATCGCTGTCAACAAAGCGGGTCCTGGTGAACCAAGTGAACCCTCTCGTTCAGTAATTGCTAAGCCAAGAAAACTTGCTCCTCGAATTGATCGAACCAATTTGAAACCAACTACAATTAAAGCCGGACAACCAGTTAAATTTGACGTTGATGTTAAAGGTGAACCCGCACCAACGATCACTTGGACTTTCAAAGAGTCTCCACTTAAAACTGTCGGCAATGTGACCGTAGACACCGAACCATATCATACTCTATTGATGCTCGTGAAAACAACTCGGGAGCAATCAGGAAGCTATGTGATCACAGCTAAAAATGAACACGGAATGGACGAAGCTACTGTCGAGCTTAATATTATCGGTAAGCCTTCACCTCCACAAGGTCCATTAGAAACGTCTGATGTGCACGCTGAAGGCTGTAAGCTTTCATGGAAAAAGCCGCTCGACGATGGAGGATTACCTTTGTCCAATTATGTGGTTGAAAAAATGGACACAGATACTGGCCGATGGGTACCCGTTTTGACCACTCGTGATACCGAAGCTGAAGTTAAAGGTTTAACTCCAGGTAAAGAATATAAATTCCGAGTTCGAGCTGTTAACCCAGAAGGTGAATCTGAACCATTAGAGACAGAAAAGCCGATTGAGGCCAAGAATCCATTCGATGAACCTGGAAAACCAGGTAAGCCTCAAGCAACTGATTGGGATCGGCACCATGCCGACATCACTTGGACCGCTCCAGAGTCCAATGGTGGTAGTCCCATCACCTCATATATCGTTGAAAAGAAAGACAATTTAAGTACCAAATGGCAAAAGGCTTGCGAGATTATCGGAGACAAATGTCAAGCTCGAGTTTCCAACTTGACTGAGGGAATGGAATATCAATTCCGTGTTCGAGCCGTTAATAAAGCCGGTCCTAGTCAACCAAGTGATCCAAGTGATACCGTCACAGCTAAAGCGAGAAATGTCCCACCTCGAGTAGACCCGATAAAGGACATTACGCTGCACGCAGGTAAACCACTTAAAATAGATGTCAAAGTATTTGGTGAACCACCTCCAAAGGTCCAATGGTTCTTAAACGATGCACCACTTCCTACCGGTGGTCGAGCGACAATTGAAAGTCCAGCATATCGATCAAAACTCTCAGTACCATTAGCTGAAAGATGCGACGCTGGTGTTTACAAAATCGTTGTTTCAAATGCAAACGGCAAAGACGAAGCAACTGTGCGAGTGAACGTTCTGGACAAACCTTCGCCACCCGAAGGACCATTGGACGTTTCCGATATCCATGCAGAAGGTAATTTTTAATTTCGAAAGTTAAAACTAAATTAGTATTCATGTTTATCAAAACTGTTCAAGTTCTTGTACTAATTATTATTTCTCTTATTATTCTTTAATCATTTTCTTTAAAACGAAAAATTTAGGCTGCAAACTTAAATGGAAGGTAAGTTAATACTCGAAAAATTCTCGACAAAAATGATTCGTTCTAAATTCTGATCACTTGCAATTTTTTCTGAAATTCTAGGAACCAAAGGATAATGGTGGCTCTCCAGTTGATTATTATCAAGTGTACAAGATGGAAACTGGATCAGGAAAATGGATCCCTTGTGGTTAGTTGATTATTTAATTACGATTGTTGATTGTTACGAAATTTAATTTTCTGAATTTTGTTTTTACGTTCTTAGGTAAAGCTTATGGTCCAGAATTGGAAGTAACCAACTTAGAACCAAATCAAGAATATAAGTTCAAAGTAACTGCTGTAAATGCTCAAGGTGAATCTGAACCTTTGGAAGCCGCTCAATCAATTATCGCTAAGAATCCCTTCGATACTCCGGATGCTCCTGGAATGCCACAAGTCGCTGATTACGACAAAAACCATGTAGACCTAAAATGGACTGCACCAATTAAAGATGGTGGATCGCCAATTACTGGATACATTGTAGAAAAGAAAAGCCCAGACTCAAATCGCTGGGTTAAAGCGGCTCAAACTGATGGACCAACAACAGAGGTTCGAGTTGGTGACTTACAAAATGGAGAAACTTATCAATTTAGAGTTCGAGCAGTAAATGCTGGTGGCCAAGGTACACCAAGTGAACCATGTAAACCAGTAACATGTAAACCACGAAAATTAGCACCACGAATTGACCGTAAGAACTTGAAACCAGTTTCGATTAAAGCAGGACAACAATTTGGCTTTGATGTCGCTGTACAAGGTGAACCCGCTCCAGATGTTCAATGGTTCATCAAAGAATCGCCAGTAAGAGAAACAAGCGCGCTCACGATAACAAACAAACCATATCATACGAAATTACAATGTGACAAAGCCGAACGCAAAGACTCAGCCGTTTATCGTATTGTAGCTAAAAATCAATACGGTATGGACGAAGCCGATGTTGAAGTGACTGTTGTTAGTAAACCAAGTAAACCAGAGGGACCATTGGAAGTTAGTGATGTTAATAAGAATGGTAAGAGTTACAATTACAATTAGTTAACCAATTGATTGATTGATTGATTCTGATTGGATATCTTTCGATTTTGATTGACAGGATGTAAATTAAAATGGAATAAGCCAAAGGACGACGGAGGAATTCCTCTTGATGGTTATGTGGTCGAAAAGCTCGACCCTGACACTGGCTCTTGGGTTCCAATCGGTAAAACATTTTTACCAGAATTCGATGTAACTGGATTAACTCCGGGCAAAGATTATTCATTCCGAGTGAAGGCTGTTAATAAGGAAGGTGAATCTGAACCATTACAAACTCTTGCACCAATCACTGCCAAGGATCCATTCTCACCTCCTGGTCAACCAGGTAAGCCCGAAGCAACTGATTGGGCTGCTGATCATGTTGACCTCAAATGGGAAAGTCCAGCTACTGATGGAGGAGTTCCAATATCTCACTATACAATCCAAAAGAAAGAAAAAGGCTCAACCAAATGGACAGATGCTGTCGAGGTTCCTGGTTCCGTTTGTAAAGGAACTGTACCTTTCCTAATGGAAGGTAAAGAATATCAATTCCGGGTTATTGCTCATAACAAAGCGGGACCAGGAGAGCCAAGTTTACCCTCCAATACAATTCTTGCCAAAGCGAGATATCGTAAGTTGAATAAAAAATTTTTCGAATCAATCAATTTTTACTAATTACTATTTTATTCTACAGTTGCACCTCAAATTGATCGAAAGAATCTTAAAGATTTGAAGATCAGTGCTGGACAAACGATTCGTTTCAATGCAGGTTAGTTAATTATTGTATTTATCTAATTGGATTGCACGATTTTCCTCTTCATTATTAATCAATTTTTCATCTTAAAAAGTTCCCAAATCGATTACTAATAATGACTTTTTTTTAAATTTGCATGAGCTAACTGTCGATAAGTAATTATCCTGATTAGGATTTGGATGAATTATTAATAATTAATCATTTGCATCAAAATCTAATCCAATGAGTTAATTGTAAACTCTGAAGATAAGTTACAATTCATTATTTTTTTACTGTTCGATGTTCCTAATTGTTTGTGTCTTATTATTGACCAGACGTAATCGGTGAACCCGCTCCAACTGTAACTTGGACACTTAATGATCAAGGAATTCGTGGAGATGACCACTTTAATTTGGAAAATGTTGATTACAACACTAAACTGACCATTCGAAATTCAAAGAGATCCGATTCAGGAAAATATGTCGTCACTGCTGTGAATAGTTCGGGTAAAGATCAGGTTACTATTCAAGTGACCGTTATCGATGTACCTTCATCACCAGAAGGTCCAATTGAAGTGACTGATATCACTCGTGTTGGTGCAACGATTGGATGTCGGGTGCGATGGCGTAAACCTAAAGACGATGGTGGAGCAAAAATAATTGGTTATATTGTAGAGAAACGTTTGAAAGGAGCTAAAGAGTTTGAAGCTTGTAATGAAGTTCCGGTTCCGGATACCAACTTAATGGTTTCTGGACTTAAAGAGGGTGAGGAATATGAATTCCGAGTTGTTGCCGTTAACGAGATGGGTGAAAGTCCACCTTCAGCTCCATCCGCTCTCACCAAGATGGAACCACAACCAGATCGACCTCGAATCGATGCTTCCGGAGTCAAAGACATTACCGTTAAAGCGGGACAAGAGTTCGTGATCAAAGTGCCATATGTCGGTTTCCCTAAACCAACCGCTCATTGGGTGAATGAAGATAAACCGATCGATGAGGACGATAAACGGTTAATGTCCAAGGTCGGCGATGACTACGTGCTACTCGCTTGTTCATCGGCTAAACGTGATGACACTGGACGTTATATGGTAACATTGAAAAATCCATGTGGTACTGATTCGGTTTCGTTGAATGTCAAAGTCCTCGATCGACCTGGGCCACCACAAAATGTGCGAGGTGAGGATGTTGACGGTGATAGTTTGACTCTTCTCTGGTCTCCACCTAAAGATGATGGTGGTGCCGAAATTACCAATTATGTTGTCGAAAAACGTGAAGTTGGTTCAACCGCTTGGTCACGAATTTCTAGTTTCGCTTCTGGTACCGATATACGAGTTCGTAACTTAACCATTGGTAAATCTTACGATTTCCGAGTGATGGCTGAGAATCAGTATGGTACAAGTGATCCAGCACAAACCGCTGAGCCCATTTTAGCGAAACTACCATTTGATCCACCTTCCGCTCCAGGAATTCCTCGAAGTCTTGAGACATCTCCCGACTCGATTACAATTGGTTGGTCCAAACCTCGAGACGATGGTGGATCACCAATCATTGGATATGTCATCGAGAAACGTAAGGTCGGTGAAAAAGGCTGGACTCGAGTTAATCCTAACCCAGTTCCTGAACTCAATCATCGTGTCGGTGGCCTTCAAGAAAATGGTGAATACGAATTCCGAGTGGCCGCAGTAAACGCTGCTGGTCAAGGTGCATTTAGCGAGGCTTCAGATGGTATTTTCGCTCGACATGCCGCTTGTCCTCCGAAGATCGATTCTGGTTTCCATCTTCGAGACTTGGTTGTCATGGCTGGTGAACAGTTTAACATTCGAGTTCCTTTCAATGGTTATCCATTGCCAAAAGCTGAATGGCTTATCAATGGTACAATTGTGGTACCCGACGATCGCGTCTATTCAGAGGTCAATGTAGCCTTTACCATATTGACAAATAAAAAGGCCAAACGAACAGACTCTGGCGGATACACACTACGATTATCCAATCCAGAGGGAACTGATTCTTGTACATGTCGAGTTCAAGTCGTTGATAAACCAGGTCCACCTCAAGGACCACTGGACGTGTTTGATATAACACCAGAGACTTGTAGCATCTCGTGGCGACCTCCACTCGATGATGGTGGAAGTCCAATAACTAATTATGTCGTCGAGAAACAAGATATGGTTACCAAAATTTGGACCAAGTTGAGTTCATTCTGTCGCACGTGTCATTATAATGTGATGGGACTCGAGATGAACAAAAAGTACAACTTCCGTGTGAGTGCTGAAAATCAATACGGTATTTCAATACCATTAGAAACCGATGGACCCATAACCGCTAAATTCCCATTCGATGTACCCGATCCACCGGGTAAACCAAACATAACCGATATTGGACCAAATGACGTGACCCTATCGTATGAACGTCCTCTCCACGATGGCGGCTCTAAGATTCAGGGTTACCAAGTTGAATATCGTGACCCAACCGATGGACGCTGGTTGGCCTCAAATCCATTCTTGATTAGAGAAACAACTTGGATCGCTTCTGGACTTATTGAAGGTCGTGACTATGAGTTCCGAGTCAAGGCCAAAAATGCCGCTGGATTTTCAAAACCAAGTGAATCCTCGGGTCTTATTAAAACTCGACCTAAATTTAGTGTTCCCTCACCACCACAAAATCTTCACATCACCAAAGTTGGTAAATCATATGTTGACCTGGCCTGGAATAAACCTAAATCTGATGGTGGATCAAAGATTAGCGCTTACGTTGTCGAAAGACGGGAAAAAGGATCAACCTATTGGATTAAGGTCAACGAGTATGGTTGCCTTGATTGTCAGTATACAGTTTTAAATTTGATTGAAAACAATGAATATGAATTCCAAGTGTCCGCTGTGAACGCGGCTGGTAAAAGTGAACCATGTGCTCTTGCACAGCCCGTTAAGGTTACCGATATTGCAGACGGTGTTAAACCTGAATTTGTTCGTAAATTGTTCAATAAAAACGCCAATCTCAAGGGTACTTTACGATTTGAATGTGAGGCTATGGGTAAACCCGTTCCAAAGGCTCGTTGGCTTAAAAACGGAGTTGAGGTCTTACTTGGAACACGAATTCGTGCTCTTGACGATGGCGAAGGTGTTTACCGATTGGTGTTTGATGAAGTTCTCGAAGTAGACGAAGGCACTTATACTTGCGAGGTGACAAATCCCCTTGGTTCAGATCGTTGTTCAGCTTTACTTAAGATCGCGTCCCCACCCTCGATCCTGAGATGTCCAGAGGAAGTTTTCTTCCCCGAACATGATAACGGTAAAGTTAAAATTTACTTCAGTGGGTCAAGTCCATTTGAGGTTACTCTTTATAAGGATGGACTTGAAATATCAGAAAGTGATCATCTTAAGGTCACTTTGTTTGACGATTATGCGATCATTTTTGTCCGTGATGTGGCCAAAGGTGATCAAGGTAAATACAAGTTGGTTGTTAAAAATGATTCTGGTTCAGCTGATGCCAATTTCATTTTAATGGTCACTGGTTTACCTGGTCCACCTGTTGGTCCATTGGGAGTTGCCGATGTTACCGCTCATTCGGCCGCTCTTTCCTGGCGACCACCGACTCACAATGGTGGTTGTAAGGTGACACATTACGTTATTGAACGAAAGGAAACTTCAATGGGACAATGGGTCACAGTTGCATCCATGTGTCGGGATACATCAACCGTCGTCCAGGGATTGACACAAAATGGGGAATATTTATTCCGTGTAATGGCCGTTAATGAGAATGGTCAAAGTATTCCATTGGTCGGTGATAAACCGATCATTGCCAAATTACCCTTTGATCCACCTTCGGCACCAGGAATACCAAATGTTACCGAGGTTGGTGGTGATTTTGTTAATCTCTCATGGGCCAAACCAGAATCAGACGGAGGGTCAAGAATTCTTGGTTATCTCATCGAGAAACGGGAAGTTGGTACTCAAGGTTGGCAACCAGTCAACTCGATGTCTCTTTGTCATCCAACTCAAATAAACATTAGTAATCTGATAGAAGATCGTCAATATGAGTTCCGTGTATTTGCCGTTAATGAGGCCGGAAATTCACCTCCATCTCAAGCATCCGGGTCGGTTAAGATTAAAGATCCCCAAGCAGCGGTTCCACCCGAATTCGTAACGCCCTTAAAAAATGTTATGGTTATTGAAAATAAATCGGCTCAATTTACTTGTACAATAACGGGAACGCCAACACCTCATGTGACCTGGTACAAGGGAGCTCGAGAAATTCACGATGGTGGCAAATATGCCATCTTAAAAGACGGAGACAATTACATTCTGGGAATATCTAATGTGTATGGTGAGGATGCCGACGAGTACACTTGTCGAGCGACCAACAAAGGTGGTGTTCGAACCTCAAGAGGTGAACTGATCATTAAAACAGCACCTAAAATCCATGTACCACCTCGTTTCAAGGAAATGGCCTGTTTTGATCGCGGAGAAAATGTGATCATTAAAATTCCTTTCACTGGTTTTCCTAAGCCAAAGATCAAGTGGTTTAAAGAAGGTGAGGAAATCGAATCGGGTGCTCATTTTGATGTACAAATTAAGGAAAGACACGCGATCCTTGTGATTCGCGATGCATCACGGGAAGACAATGGACTTTACTCGATTAAAGCAGAAAATGAACTTGGTTCTGATTCAGCGGTAATCAAAGTATCGATTTCTGATCGACCTGATCCGCCAAGATTCCCGACAGTTGAGACAGTGGGCGATGAATTTATCACCATGTCATGGAAACCACCGGCTTGGGATGGTGGCAGTTCGATAACAACTTATATGATCGAGAAGAAAGAACCAACAATGTCAACTTGGGTTCGTTGTGCCAATACCCGATTTACCCTTCACCAGGTCACCGGGTTAAATCCTGAAAAAGAATATGAATTCCGTGTGTACGCTGAAAACATTTACGGACGAAGTGAACCTTCCGATGTGACCTCAGTGATTCGTACACGACCAAGCGAAAAGGATAAATTAAAGAAACGCCATTGGTTAACCGATGCTCATGGACGAAAGGTTCGAGGTAAAGATGAAGGTAAAATAACCAATTACGATCAATTTGTAACGGAAGAGATCAAATTCCAAGGTCCAGTTGATATTAAGACTTCGTCTATTTACGATTTCTATGATGTCTTGGAGGAAATTGGTACCGGTGCATTTGGAGTTGTCCATAGGTGCCGAGAGAAACGATCAGGTCAAATATTTGCCGCTAAATTCATTCCAGTGGCTCATCCTTACGAGAAATCAGTTATTCGTAAAGAAATTGATATAATGAATCAACTTCATCACAATAAGTTGATCCGTTTACACGATGCCTTCGAAGATGATGATGAAATGATCTTAATTTACGAGTTCATGTCAGGGGGTGAACTTTTCGAGCGCATTACAACGGAAGGTTATCACATGTCGGAAGCAGAGGTTATCAATTATATGAGACAAATTTGCGAGGGTGTAAAGCATATGCACGAGAAAAACATTATCCATCTCGACTTGAAACCAGAAAATATAATGTGCCAGACCAAAAATTCATCGGCCGTTAAAATCATCGACTTTGGTTTGGCCGCTAAACTTGATCCAAACGAAGTAATCAAAATATCAACTGGAACCGCTGAATTTGCTGCACCAGAGATCGTTGAACGGGAACCAGTTGGATTTTACACCGACATGTGGGCTGTTGGCGTTTTGGCTTATGTTCTACTTTCGGGTTTATCACCTTTCGCTGGTGACAATGACATTGAGACACTGAAAAATGTGAAAGCCTGTGATTGGGATTTCGATGAAGACGCTTTTAGAAACATCTCATCAGAGGCTAAAGATTTTATTCGTAAATTATTAACTCGACACAAGGAGAAACGTTTAACTGCCCATGAGTGTTTAGAACACGCTTGGCTTAAAGGAACCACCGGTGGAACGACACCCATACCAAATAGAAAATATGTTCCAATTCGTGATCGAATTCGTGCCAAATATGGTGACTATTGGTGGTCAGTTCTTTTACCAATTGGTCATATTTCAAATTATTCGTCACTTCGTAAATTACACGAAGAAAGATACAAAATCCATGAGACTTACATCGATCGTCGTGAAGCTGCCCCTCGATTTGTTATCCGTCCACAGTCAACCTTTGCCTATGAAGGTCAAGCGGCCAAATTTTTCTGTCGGGTCATCGCTGCAGCACCAGTTACACTCGCCTGGTATCATGATAACTCTGAACTGAAGCAAAGTGTTAAATACATGAAGAGATACGAAGGTCACGATTTTACATTCATCATTAATCGTTGTAAACTTGACGATCGAGGTGAATACATTATTCGTGCTGAAAATACTTATGGTTGGAGAGAAGAGCCCGTTTTCTTAAACGTCCAATCTAAACCCCTGGATATACCCCAGGTTCGCCTAGATGAGCCCAAAGTACGTCGTCGAGATCCACCTCCTCCATTGTGGCTCGATGAACCTGATTGTGGGCCAGTTTTCACATTCCATTTGAGACCTCGAGTGATTCAAAGTGGCATTGGAGTGAAACTATTGGCCTGTTTACAGGGTAAACCACCACCAGAGATCCGATGGTTTAAAGATGGCAAAGAATTGTCCAAATATGATTACACAATGACCCATGCAGCGGGTGTTATTACCTGTGACATTCAATCATGTACCTTAGAAGATGCCGGTAAATATACGGTAACGGCAACTAATTCGCTTGGTGAAGCCGAAAGCTCTTGCCAGGTAATCGTTGAAAAACGTAAAGTAGGCCCACCGCCTGGGGCACCGGTTGTTTCTGGCCCTAAACCGACAGCAGCTCATAAAGCACCTTCCATAGCTTCACCGATGGGCTCGTTTATCAATGATTTACCTGTTCCCCACTCCGCCACCTCCACATCTTCATCAACCGGTTATCATCATCATCACACTTCCTCCTCGGGCTATAAAAAGGATTACACTTCCTCAGCCAATTATTCAACCGTGAAAAAAGCCGGATCAACATATTCAAGTTCATCATCAACAACTAGTGATAATCAATATTCAAATAAGTTTACAAAGGTAACCACATCCTCATCAACAACTGCTCATCGAGATTATTTATCATCTTCAAGCCACAAATCAGATTTTAAATCGACATCGTCCTCATCTCATCAGAAACATAAAAGTGATTATAAATCAACATCGTCAGATTTTAAGACAAGATTGTCACCAGCAAGTTCATTAGGCAGTGGTGGTGGTGGTAGTGGTGTTGGAGGTCACTCTGCACCCTCGCCCATCAGAAGTGTCACTCCACTCTCTGCAGCGAGTCCTGATATGACACTTAAAAAGCCCGTAGCAAAACGTTACGGTGAAAGTGAATCAGGTGATATCAGTCCTTCCAGAACTCGAACCAAAGATTTAGCATGTAAGTTGAATTGAATAATCTAATTAATGGAAGATGAAATTTAATGATTACCATCTCTTATTCTCTCTCACTTGATTAGTACCCGAAGATGCTGAAAGTATACCAGAATTTATGGAGAAACTATCAGACCTGGAGATTAAAGATGGAGACTCATTACTATTGAAATGTAGCATTAAGGGTGTCCCAGAACCTCAGGTAGAATGGAGTAAAAATGATGAGATATTAAGATCGTCCGATATTATTGATCTTAAATATAAAAACGGAGTCGCTTCATTGGCCATTGGTGAGGTTTTCCCTGAAGATGAAGGTGAATATGTTTGTAAAGCAACAAATTCACAAGGAACAGTAACAACTAAATGCAAATTAACTGTTATCCGTAAGTTATAACTGAATTAACTTTAATATAACAGACAATTTCAATATATAAAAAATGATCCATTTCTTTAGCTATGCCAAATCCAACGCCTGGGGCTAAACAAGGTTCTGCTAAGGGTTCACCAAGAATCATTTCTCATCTGAAAAGTATGATCACCAAAGATGGAGATAAAGATGTTACCCTTAAATTTACAGTTAAAGGTAAGATATTTTCACATGAACAATTAACTAATTGTTCAACTAGAAGCTTAATATTAATTGATTGATTGTTTTCCCTCTTCAAAGGCTCAACTAAATTTGAAGTAATTTGGCTTCACAACGACAAGGAAATTAAACCAAGCAAAGATTTCCAATATAAGAATGATGGAGATGATTATTATTTAATTGTGACTGAAATTTATCCGGAAGATGCCGGAACTTATACCTGCGAGGCATTCAATGAATCTGGCGAAGCCTTTTCAAGTTGCACTCTCCAAGTTATCGGTAAATATATAATTCTCAGAGCAATTAACTGGTTCTAAGTGTTCAATTATCTAATCATTTGCTATGACTTTGTTTCAATTCAGTTCCTGAAGAGGAAATCAAAGGTCCAGAAATTGTTACCTTTCCACAATCGGTAACCGTTCAATTAGGTAAATCTGCAAATTTCACCGTCGAAACTAAAAAGGCCGTTACATCAGGTAAATTTACACTTGTCAAATGATCATTTAAAGTTAATTACGAGACTCATCCTTGAATTTTTCTCAATCTATTCTCAGCTCAATGGTTCCAGGATGGTAAAATAATCTCCGAGACAAGTAGTCATCATAAAATGACCAAAGAAAGTCCGAAAAAGTATTCACTGGCACTTCCAGCAACCCTACTTACGGACATTGGACAGTTTTCGGTCAAATTAACGGACCCCACCGGGGAAACGAATGCAACTGTCGCTTTAAATGTTGTCACTGACGATGAATAATTTGATCTCTTTCTAATCCCTTCCCTTAATTGTTAATTTGTGTGTTAATCATTGATTATCTTAATCTTTAACTTTCTCTCTCTCCCTCTCTCCCTATTTCGCAAATTATTTCATCATCCACAATTTCACATCCATTCATAATCTCATGTCATCATCACAATCATTTGTTAGATTGAAGAAACAACAACAAAGACAATCATCTCAATCAAGCTCAATCATTGAATTGTGAAATCATTGGAGTCTAATTATGCTTAAAAAAGTTAATGTTTTTTCATCCTTAAGGATAATTTACCGATAGTTAAGCATAGACCAATATAATTGTCATTATTATCTAAATTGTAAACAAAAGTTAATGACTTCATTAATTCAATTATGTTAATGGCTCAACTAAACTTGATTAATATCCTTCAATTTTCAATAAATATCACATTTTCATTTGGCAAATAAACAATTTCATTGTTTGAGTCTCTGTCATTACCAACCTTGTGTTAGTGACCAATGGTCATCTACTTTTACTCTTACCTTTCATGTGTCATAAAAATTTAAATTCAGACTTGAAATGAAAGTGAAAAAAGCAAAGAAATAATTAACCTTAATTGTGACACTTAAACTCAATTAGTATCTATTATCCGATCATCTTCTCGCTCATCATCATCTTCGTCTTCATCGTTCTCTATGATAATGGGAACGAAGATGATGATCAGAATCTCGATACTTTTAATTACCACAACCAACTTTTACTGTTTGATTGTTAAATTATAAAACAACTAATGTAGAGTATTAGTTGATTTACTTTACAATTTACCTTAATTATAAATCAACAGTTTATTGGACAAAAGAACACAACTCAAGTTGATTAAAATAAGAGAAACAAGAAAAAAAGGTAAATGGAAAAATGAACAATCAATATAATTGAACGGATTAAATTTCATTGAGATTAAGACCAAGTTTTGGATTATTGATAAATAATGAATATCATTATACATTGTATTCGTTCAATAGGAATCAAATGATTACCATCACAATATTTAGATTCGATTTACAATCTATTTCCTGTAATAATATTAATCAAAAAGCGTTTCAACTTAATCACCATTTATTTATTTGTTATCGTTTTCATTAAACTAAAATCAAAGTGCAGCAAAATTTTCAATCCGATTTGATTATCTTATTGTTTATTGAAAGGACAAATCTCTCTGAGCCATTTAAACTAATTGGAGTAATCAACTTACAATGAACATTTCGTTATCATTGACAATATGAAACATTGTAAATGTTGATGAAACTCACTAATTGAAGATAAATTCATATAAATGGAATAGTCAAAGTCTTTATCGATTTGCGTCCTCATTATTGATTCACGAATCCCAATCAATATTGCGACTGTAGATTAAATTATATGTTGGTCATGTTAAACTTGAAACAAGGATGAAGACACTTTCACAATTTATCACTGTTTTCATTTGCAAGGTAAATTCAATCAATAATTTGAAGCCAGATTGGGAAGAGAAAAGCAGAACCAAAGAGATAAGTCCAATTTCCATAAATGTACCAATCCTCCAGTTGACCAAGTAGCAACGATTTATGATTCTGAAAAGACTGTTGAATATGAGAGGTAATGTCCAATTGAGAATTGAACCATAATGATGTACCAAGTATACAAAGATAACTTATTGATAGAGGATGAATGAGAAACACCAATGGTGAAAAAAGTTTTCTAAGCAAATTGTTTGGAAGAGAAACACAAATGTAAGCAATGGGCATCATAAGGATGGTAAGGAAAAGAGCCAAAGAAATATTAAAAAGAGATAAACATGATAGAATTAAAGCCAAATTTATGAGAGTGACACACTGCCTTGCTTTCAGAAGTTCGATTGAGTTTTTGTTCAGCTTGACCAGAGGATTAAAGATGAACAATAGTGAGGAAACAATTAAAGAATAATAAATGGCCTCTTTAAAAGCTAGATTATGGCTTTGGTAAATCCAAGCAAATCTTTGTAGAAAGAACGGCAAAGACGCGACCAGAAATCCACAAACGTGACAATAAAAGTTGAAAGGCAACGCAGCCCATAAAGACCCCGATTCATCATGGCAACTATCCAGATTCATTTTCAAATAAATATTTAAGGCTTTGAATAGCAAAGGTATCACCAGCAGCCCGAATGGAATCATGTAATAGCCTATGGAAATGTACCGACGGGTTGAAGGTAGCAAGTAAAACCAATACGAACGATTAAATCTCTCCAATAAATTGTTGAGACTTCGAAAAACACCTTCAACAACTCGACCAACAACATAAAAAGGAACAGAAAGGTAATCATCTTGTTTGTTTCCAGAATTCTGACCGATCCCTTTCAAGGTAATTGCTTGGATTGCATATTTTTGAAAAATACCATGAAGTCCTGTTGATTTTGTTTTCCTTGGGAAATCATCATAGAAGCTGAGATAAAATTAAAAATATTATCAATCATTTGTTGATTAGTATTGTGGCAAAAAAATGTAAACAGAGAAAATGGTTTACCTGTTGTTAAAGCATAATTTTGGGAAACTTGATAAAAGTCTGTTGAGAAAGGATGCGATTTTCCATGAAATGTTGGCGTTATCGATTCTCTGGTTGCTAATTCCACGGCGACATTGAACAAATCTAAATTGGGTAACTGGCCGTTGATTCCTTCAATCTCAATCTCCAATTGAGTGATATCTTCATCATCAATTTGTAAATTAACGGCTGCTTGTATGGGCCTCTTAGCTGTCAGATAACCAGAAGTTAAAACAGGTGATGAGTAAACTTCATGGTAAGAATCGAGCCATGCCTGGAATCCAATCTCTTGACCAGAAATCAAGAATATTACATCTTTAGCTAGATAACTTTTCTTGCTAAAATATTTAGCCATCGCCAACATCAAACCGATGCCAGGTAAAGTTTTCCCATTGAACTTTTTTGAAGATTGGTACGGGGATGATATTATCAGAGCTTCTGTATTTGGTGCTCTTGGAGCTTCAAGAATTGCATAAACAGATTTGCCATTAATTATCTAAAATGAAAATAAACAGATAATTAGATTAGCTGCTTAAGATTTCTAGAAAAGGAATCTAAAAAATTACCTTTTTATCATCAAAAGGATATTCAAAAGTGTAATTGTGTTCATATGAATGTAAACCGATTGAATTGAATTCATTGACGAGCCAATCAGACACAAATTCACCAGGTCTTGATTTTGTTACATCTTTTAGTCTGGTCAACACAGAGTTAAGATAAGGCTGAGCACTGAATTCCCGGTTCACATATCCAGGTAAAAGAGCATTTTCACTAAAATATGTTGGATCGACATATCCTTCTGACACCAAAGTAAAAGTAACGATAATTGCAGAGCAAATACATAAAAAGGAGATTTTATTACAATGATTGGTAAATAAGGTGAGAATTTGCTTATTTTCATCAAATAATAAGCCCATGATCAATCGACAATTGAAACAGTTTCAAAACACCAACTCAGTGTCACCGATGTCAGTAAACACCAACATCTGTTTGCTTGATGATCAACAAACCGAAGAAGCGCCAATTTTGAACTGTGTGAGTTTTCTTGAAAAAATCGGAAATTATCGCACCAAAAAATCATATTTACTCTCATAGATTCATCATTTTAATCGCATTCGATTATTCTAAAGATTTAAAAGAAAAAATGGAAAAATAATCATACAGGTTGTGAATTGATGGCTGCTTATCAGTCATTAATCAAGAGACTAATTAACAAAGTTGAGTTTCGATCAACAAATGAATCAATTTGATGAAGGAAAATTCCGATGATTAGTGAAAGTAATTTCTCAGAGATCATTGAAATGAAAAAACTGATTGTGATTCTAATTAAGATTATGATCAACAATCACCAAATATGGACATACTTGTAAATGATATTATATCGTAGTCAATAACGATTATCATTTTGCCTTGGTAACAATTAACCAAATGCGATTGATCAAAAGTAACTCTTACATTTTCATTCAACTCTCACGTTGAATTGACACAAGACCAACGATGCAAATGATTAATACCACAATCATCTTCATGATAAAAGATTATAATTATAAAGCAATTATCATGATCACAGTTAGTTAGTGAGTTTAGTTTCAAATCATTTGTCCATTTGAAAGGTTCAATCAATTCTTATTATTAATCTGTCAACGTAATTTCTTAGTTATCCTAATCTTAAGTTACCTTCCCAATTTATTGACTTAATCATTGTCGATATCGTTGCCCAATTGTCATTACAATTTCTTGTTTATTGATTGACTAACATAATCATTTGTTCACATTTTTTGTCAATTTAGTTAATGGAAACTAAAGTGAAACAGTTTTTCGACCAGGTAATTGTTTAGTTAATTGTTAATCTAATTGTTGTTTCTCAACAATTTCTACTTTCAATTACTTTTAATTAATTGACTAATGTTTGTTTCTTTTTCATATGATTTTATGCTTGTTTTTCCACAAATTGTTACAAAATCGAAAGGTTCAACTTCCAATTGTTCTTATTTGATATTCAAGATCTAAAGTTAACCATTCAATTAACTTTTCTAATTGTAGCAATTGTCTGATAACTTTTTCCACATTCTAAACACGATAATAAAGTAATACAGTAAAATACTTATGATTTAACAATCATAATTTGATTAAGCGTTTGAGTAATTAAGTGATTAGTGATTACAACTACATTTGTTTGGAAATTATCATTAGCAGAACTTTTGGCGATTTGATAAACGATAATTTCTGAGCTGATTCAACTACATTTTTCGTCGTTAAATGTTAAACAAGAAACGAATCAGTTTAATCTAGTTACTAATCGTCTTGAATGGAATCTTAGTTTAAATATCGAAACAAGGTCAAGTCTTTTTCGAAATTCAGAGCTTCACTTTTAGATATAATCAGCAGATGAAATTCTATTAATTAGTCAATTAGTCAGTTTAATTAGTTTGATATTTTCATATTCAATGAATAACTTGTTTGTACAATTAGATTGTCAACGCAAATTTTGATCAGTTCCTGAAAATGCTTAAATCTATCAGCCAACAATCTATTATGCAATTGTTTGATTAAATTGTCACGATAATTAGTCATCGATAGAGTTAGAATTTATTATCTTTCGATTGTAACTGAAAACGTCATAGATTGTAATCAATTGATTAAATTGATCCAATCAGTCGGACGATTATTTTCAACCACAAATCTGGTTTAATCTGCAATAACAGGAAAAGCTTATAACTGATGATGGAAACAATCAAGATAATTAAAAGATGCTAAAAACGATAATCACAATTAACATTAAACTGTTGTTTTCAATATGGTTCATTTCATTATCTAGGACAATTAGTGGCAGTTGACTCAATGATAATCAGATTTGATCAACATCTTTGTTGTTTGCTAATAATTGTTGATTGTCAAGTCAAATTATTATCATTATCATACTTATTCAATCAACTACAAATCTAATTAATATCATTAATCAATAATAAGATGATCATGATGGTTTTTTAAAGTAGATAGTCAACAATCAGTGGTGATAATATGCTTATAATCATGAAATGTGATCGATGGAATCAGTGATTAAGGTTAACAATTGCTTTCTATTAGTTTTGATTACGAATCTAATTGATAATAATCAAAGTGGGTTGTGAAATTATTGATAATTAATGTATTTGAAAGGATTGATTGTAATCTTTTTCAACTTGATCTTTGTTGGGAAGCAGATAATTTGTTAACTTTTATTCACAAGTTAATTGCTGAAAATGATTGATACAAGTTCATCTAAATTAATTGATTACCTTCAACAGAATCCAGTGGCTCGTTCATTTATCGTTGGCTCGTTTAGTTCAACATGTTCAACTTTATTGTTCCAACCTCTGGATTTATTAAAGACGCGAATGCAAAATGTTCAATATTTAACTGCCAATTCTCATGATTCAGGGTAAGTGATTTGCTTACTTAAATCATTCAATTTAAACTAATCATTGGACTTACAATTTTAGAGTTACAGTTAACAAAATAAAATTGATGACAACGTTTTCTGATGTGATTCGCAGTGAAAGTATAGTTGGTCTATGGAGAGGAACAGTTCCGGTAAATTCTAATCCACAAAGTGATTAACTGATTACTTTGTATCCTCATTGATTGATTTTTGACGAAAATTATCTTCTAAATTTAGTCGCTTCTTCGCTGTATTCCTGGTGTTGGACTTTATTTCGCTTCTCTCCACCAACTACAAACGTTAATTTGTACTACAGATGAAAAACCTTCGGCTGGTCAAGCGATGGTTATTGGACTTTCTGCTCGTTTATTAGCGGCATCAATTCTCATTCCAGTTACTGTGATTAAAACTCAATTCGAAAGTGGTCAATTTAGTAATAAAAGTATTCCAAGTGCCTTTCGATTGGTCTACAGTCAGCATGGACTTCGTGGACTTTATTCTGGAGCATTTCCAACAATATTGAGAGATGTTCCCTATTCAGGAATATATTACATGTTTTACAGTCAATTACGAAATTATGCTGCTAATTGTTGTTTAAATTCACGTAATCATCATGATAATCCACAGCCCAACCTCGAGACTTTCATCAATTTCACTTGTTCATTGGTCTCGGGCATCTTTGCATCGATAATAACTCATCCAGCTGATGTGATTAAAACCAGAATGCAACTTGATCCAAAAGGATTTCCTGGATTAAGTTCATCGGTAGCTATTATCTTTAGAGATAAAGGATCAATTGGTTTCTTTATTGGATTAACTCCACGATTAATGAGAAGAGCTGCCATGACTGCTTTCACTTGGACTATTTTTGAACATTGTATTCGTTCAATAGGAATCAAATGATTACTATCACAATATTTAGATTCGATTTACAATCTATTTCCTGTAATAATATTAATCAAAAAGCGTTTCAACTTAATCACCATTTATTTATTTGTTATCGTTTTCATTAAACTAAAATCAAAGTGCAGCAAAATTTTCAATCCGATTTGATTATCTTATTGTTTATTGAAAGGACAAATCTCTCTGAGCCATTTAAACTAATTGGAGTAATCAACTTACAATGAACATTTCGTTATCATTGACAATATGAAACATTGTAAATGTTGATGAAACTCACTAATTGAAGATAAATTCATATAAATGGAATAGTCAAAGTCTTTATCGATTTGCGTCCTCATTATTGATTCACGAATCCCAATCAATATTGCGACTGTAGATTAAATTATATGTTGGTCATGTTAAACTTGAAACAAGGATGAAGACACTTTCACAATTTATCACTGTTTTCATTTGCAAGGTAAATTCAATCAATAATTTCTGGTTAGTATTTTTCACTAAAATGGTTAATCCAATTTTCTGATTAGATAATGACAATCAAGGATCCGCCTCGAGTTGTTTTAACATTGAAGAGATAACCAGATGATTCGATTGATTGATAGAGACGACGAACAGTAATTAGCCGAAATCCTTTGGTAACTAGACTCCAACCAGAATCCAGAGCTAAATAGGAATAGAATCAATCGCAATCAAAGATTAGAATACTCACCAAACTGTTTAAATGTCGTCGAAAGAAATTCAACCAGAAATGTTCGCTGAAAGTCCAAGAGATGGCGCATTCATTTTCTCTGGTTTGTTGGTGTGTTGTGAGTTTTTCTGTCTTTCCAATTTGTCTAATTGTGTTTATTTATTTTCTTTCTTTTGTGGTTGAAGTTGAATTTAATCTCAGGTAAACTGTTTGTTTCCAAGGATTTATTTTAATCTCTGTTGAAAAATGTCCATTCGTTTAGTTTTCGTCTAGACTTTTTATCCGGTTGCTCAAAAGTCGCGAAAGAGTAAAAGAAAAGTGAAACCCCGTCAATATCAAGAAAGAATTGTTTTCAGATGCAATCTCAAATGAGAATATCTTCAGCTTCTTCGAGTGTGGCTGGAGGTGCCTCTGGCGCTCTCATGGTCGGGCCCAATTTCAAGGTGGGCAAAAAAATCGGTTCCGGTAATTTCGGTGAACTCAGATTAGGTAAGTTGGATTAAGGCCTAGAAGATGGAGTTTGGCCTTTTTGTGCTATCTGCTTATCTCTATCTCCCCTCTTCTCTCTTCTACTAAAACTGGTTGAATGGGAAGATGGTTGAACCACACATACAAGTGGAAAGAAAAAGAGAGCATCAAGAATAAGAAAGGAACCATTTACCTTGCCCATCACCGAAATCCTGTTAATGTTCCTCCTCGTTCTTTGTTTCACTTTATTCCGGCCTTTGACTTTTACTCTCTCACCTTTTCCTCTCCTTTCCTCCTACTCCATCCCCTTCTCTTTATATCTCTTTTTCCTCTCTTATCACCCACATTCTCTCTCTCTCTCTTGCTCTTGCTCTTGTTCTCCATACAACCACCTAATCATAATCTAGTTATTTATTTATACAACAACCGGTATATCAAATTTATGATCCTTAAGAAATAGATTAATCCAAATGAAATTGATTGTAGTCATGTCTCCAATCAATAGCGATTTTCTTTCGCAAAGAATAAACATTGTTGCTCTTTCTCCATTTAGGTAAAAATTTATACACTGGCGAACATGTGGCCATTAAATTGGAAGCTATGAAAACCAAAGCTCCTCAATTGCACTTGGAATACAGATTCTACAAACTTCTTGGCAACCATGGTGAGTATTTGTAGTAATACTCCCTCTCTCTTTCTCTGTGGCCTTGTTTGACTCACGAAAAACCCAAATCTCAATCATGTGTTTACCATTTGTGTGAGTGATTCATTGCCCATTCTAATAGCTTTTTGTCATTTCTTTCTCAGAGGGCATTCCAAAAATCTATTACTTTGGACCTTGTGGTAAGTTTAATGCCTTGGTTATGGAACTACTGGGTCCAAGTTTAGAAGATCTTTTCGATCTTTGCGAGCGTCGGTTTTCAGTAAAAACAGTCATCCAAATAGCTCTTCAATTGGTATGTGAATTTTTCTGTGATTTTTGATCATTCACCTTTGATGACTTTTCTATTTTCCTTTTTCTCATAGTTTAATAGAATAGAATATGTTCATTCCAAGCATCTCATCTACCGAGACGTGAAACCAGAAAACTTTCTCTTGGGAAGGCCAAACTCCAAGAAGACGGTAATTCATATGATCGACTTTGGTTTGGCCAAGGAATACATCGATCCGGAGACAAATAAACATATTCCTTACCGGGAACATAAAAGTTTAACCGGCACTGCCAGATACATGAGTATCAACACACATCTTGGCAAAGGTTAGAGATCCTCTTGAATCCGTAAATACTTAACAGGTTGTCTTTGATTGAACTCACCTGAGTAGCCATGCTTTTAGTCTTTTATATTGGAAACAATTTTTAATTTTCAAGCAGAGTGATTATGTATGTTACAACTGATTGAAAGGTTAAAATTCTGACACTTTGTAGAAATATGATTAAGTTTGACCTTGTTTCGACCAAGGATTCAGAAGTTTAATTCACTTCCTACCAAATTCTGACAAATTTTGTTTCTTTTCCAGAGCAAAGTCGTCGAGATGATTTGGAAGCTCTTGGTCACATGTTCATGTATTTCTTGCGAGGAAGTTTACCTTGGCAAGGATTAAAGGCCGATACTCTGAAAGAAAGATATCAAAAAATTGGTGATACGAAACGAGCAACACCGATTGAAATTCTATGTGAAGGATTTCCGGAAGAATTTGCTACATACTTACGTTATGTTCGTCGACTGGATTTCTTTGAAACTCCAGACTACGAATACCTGAAAAAATTATTCATCGATTTATTTCACCGAGAAGGATTTGCAGATGATGGAATATTTGATTGGCACTCAGTAAATCAAGTATGTGTTCAAAAATGAATTAATCTTTACATCTTACAGTCGAATCTAATTAACGATAACCTTGATACCAACTCATTTTCACCTTTTAGGTTTGTGTTGAGACTGATTCATTTAGAGTTCAGCCCAACCACTTGTTTCGTATTTTATACTTTTATTGTTTACTCTTTCGAGTTATCATGAAAGAATATCCTTCTATCAATTGTAAAAGATGTATAAAAATAAACACTAATCTCTTCGATCTGATATTAATTTTTTTCTTATTTTATTTTGATTCAATTGGTGACTCTCTCTGGATCCATTTGCGGAAATGTCTCTGAACTCAAAAGCAATGGGGTGATGGTGATAAAAGCATGGACTCTGATAGATTTAGACTAAATGAAAGAAGCGACAGAATTGGACAAAAGGACTTCACTAAAAACATAGGACCCATGAAAGAATACTTGACTCCAGCCGATAGACATGGCTCCGTACAAGTAGTTAGCTCAACTAATGGCGAATTAACCAATGATGATCCAACCACCGGTCATTCTAGATCCAAAGTTCAAGATCCCGCTGAAGTGGAAGTTGTGTCGGAAACAAAGTAATTTGACCTTTTCTCTTCATTCGGTGTATTAGAGTTTCTTTCATCTGATTCTTTTGGCTATCATTCAAATTGCTCAATCAATTCATATTAATTTTCCATTATTTCATTTCATCTCTTTTTAGATGCTGCTGTTTTTACAAAAGAAAAAAAAATCTTCTCGACCCAAAGATTAATTAATGGCACATTTCAGTTTCACCAATCCTGAGCTGAAATGAATCTGTTTTCATCAATCCCTCTCGGACTTCATATCTGCGTGACGACTTAAAGCTCTCTCTCCCCCTCTCTTTCTTTCTCTCTCTCTCTCTTTGTTTCTATTTCCACCTGTTATCTCCAATTTCATTTAAATTCTCTTTTGTCACTATCACTGTCGCTTTCACTGTCTCTCCAGTCCATAATCACATCATCTTCATTTTCTATTCTTACTTTCCCCTCTTATATCTAATTCTGATCCGAGAAATGAAAACAGGAACGGCAAAGGACCAAATATCTGCATCCTTCATTGTCCACTTAGATCGAGTGTCAACATGTAAATTTTGAAATCAAGTTCCAGAAGCAGAATACCTGTAACATCCTAACTTTAAATCAATTCAACGAAAGGCTTGGAATGATCTAAGCGAAGGTTAATCTACAACTTTGATAAACGCTTGAATATCTGGGCTATCATACCAGATAATATTTTAAATGGTCATGTTGATTGTTGATTGTACAATTTACTGGCCCTGGTATCAAGCACATTCATCGTTTTTTTCAATAAAATTTATCGTCACAGTAAATCAGCTGAGACTTTATCATGACCAAGATAACTTCGTTTACCTCATTACTTTGGATGGATTAACATTATATTGGCTCTCGTTCTGTGTACCAATTTGGATCATCGAAATGTTTGCTCGTATCAGAATTAGCTCATCGATTGACTTGATCATTTCTAATTGATTTAAGCGAAGCAAATTCGAACTCATCAATTTAGCTCAACCATCATGGAATCACAAGTTAAATAATGCTCATGGACGTTGAAATAACACTACAAACATTTGAGAGAGTTTAGATTTGAATCAATTGCATATTCCTGACAAAGAAATTAATCTTTTTCTAATTTAGTCTCATGGCTCTGATAAGACGCTCAATGGATCAGTTATTATATCATAAACCGTAATTTTTTTGATATTTGCAAAGCCTTTTATCGGATCTCAAATCAAATGGTTTATACATGTACCACAATTAATGGACTTGAAGTAAATGATTTCAGTTTTTGGTCAACGATTAATAATAGAATTGGATCAAGATTAATAAAGTTGTATCAAAATCTGTGATTAAAACAAAGCTAAAGTTTCCAATCATTTACTTTTTCCATTTTAGAAATTATTTCAATCCAATCAACAAGTGTCATGATTAATCAACAACAATTAGAGGTTAAAATTTGCCTTTGATTCAAGGTTGAGCTCAATAAGTTGATTGATCAACTATTTTCTTAATTGTTTGTTTCAATTATTCACAAATGCGTAGGTTTTCACTTATCATTTCTTTGAATCTTAACCCGAAAAACACCTGACGAAGTGATGAATGAAAAATATAATTACTATTGTAACTTTCTGATTACAAGCAATTAATTTCAGAATTAAATTTCGGAAAATTTAACTGATTTATCATTCCCTCGAGGCCTTTGATATCTTTGTCAATAAACTCGTAACTGGGTCATCAGGTAAATTGATGCAACTGAGTTGAAAATAATTGAAGTTATAAATCCAAG